AACGGCTCTTACATACCCCTCAAAAAAACCCCTTATAACTTTCCACTCACTATAGAAGCACTCACAAAACTATATTACCACGTGGGCCATACTAACCAGTCAAATTTCCTACAATCATACACTACCCATTATCAAAAGGATTAGAATTATTATTATTAGAATTATATATTATTTTCTTGTATAAATCAATAAACCTAAGCCTTTTTCTCTTTTCTTGAATCAAAAACATGACCAGATCAATTGCTTGTGAATTTTTTTTCTTCTCAAGTTTTTTTTTTTCCTATTGATTGATGGGTCTTTCAATTGCTTGAATCCAAGTAATTCATTCTTTTTGATAAAGCAAAGTTGATGTGACTTGTCCAATTTTATCCAAGTAGTTTTTGTGAACATGACCTCAAATTACTTGAAGAACAACTTGAGAATTACATTTTGGACGTGAGCTCTAATAATGACATTACAGAATTGAAAGGGATTACTAATCTTGCACAAAAGATGGTTGAGACAAAAAAAGATCAAATCTACCCTTTAGTGTACTTTCTTATGACACTAGCACTAATCCTATATGTTGCGACCGCAAGTGTAGAGCTAGTATTTTCTGCTATAAATATTGTGAAGAATCAATTACGCAATCGAATAGGGGATTTATGGATAAATGATTACTTGGTTGCATATATTGAGAAAGACATTTTTAATAGTATAGATGACGAGGTTGTTATGCAACAATTTCACAATACAAAAACTCGTCAATGGCAATTATGATTCTAATGAATAGACAATACATACAATATGATTTATGATGTTTTGATGTCTTGTGAGTTCGAAGTTTTTATTATTTATATTTTGTGAGAGGCCCCTAGACATATGAAATCCTATCTTTGCTACAAGGATGAAGGCTCTACAACAATTAAGACAAGCACCACACATGTTAAATTCACGGATCCGAATCCTAAACTATAACCCGATTTGTATTTTCATCATTGAATTCTAATACTAAATCTAGTGGTTCTTAAATTTGAATTATGTCGTTGAGATTGGAAATGAAATGTCAAAGTGACAATGGCACATGTAACGACCATCCTGAGATTTCAATTGATTTATTTAAATTTAAACGTACTTCGACCATTATGTCTTTAGTATATGTATATTTAAAATTAGTGGACATTTTATTTCGACACTAGTGGCGAGATTTTTCTTAGCATAATGATGTAGAGAGCATGTAGGCTCAAACAATTCCCAAATCGAAGTTGTAACAAATAAATGGAGCCATATGGGCATATTTTGTAATAATATGTTATATATTATATATTCTGCCATTTTAAATAGAAGACCTACAATTATATGTACAAAGATAGCTTCAGTTGAAAGATTTCTCAAATAAGCCTATTTGAGGGACACTCTTGTAGGGCTAACTTGCATTGTGTTTCAATTATATGAATTGTCTATCGTTTAGATATTCTTCAGGGATCCCTCAGTAGAAAGGGACTAATTATATACATATATGTATGCATATTTAAGGAGCTTCATTTGAGGGGCACCCTTAGAGGACTTACTCTAAATTGTATTTCAATGATCTAACCACCTAATTTTCAAGTCTTGATTCATATAACATTTCCTCCAAAAAAAATCACCAAAATTGGAAAATTTATGACCATTTGATTAGAAGGTAGTCATTTTAATGTTTGTTAAAAAAACCGTGTTCATCTATCGGTTTGATCACAACTACATGCATTATTGTTTTGTGATTTGTATAAATTTTTTCAAGGATGACCTATGAATGAAGACTTGAAAAATTGATAGATTGGATTATTGAAATCCCACAAAGTGTTCCTCAAATAAGTTATTTTACGAAATAAGCTTCTTTGATGGATACATTATGGGACACACTCCATATTATGTTTCAGTCATCTAAGTTAATATTTTTGAAGTCTACATTCAAAGATCAACCTATAGAAAAAAAAGAAAAAAGAAAAAAAAAGACAAACCATAAACTATTAAGACATTTTGTAATGAAATAAATATATGAACACGGTGTTTCAAAAAATTGATATAATGACTACAATTTAATCATATGGTTAAACATTTTCCTATTTGGATTCTTTTTTTCTTTTTTTCTTTTTTGTGTAGAAATGATATTTCAAGAAATACCTTAAAATTGTCAATTTAAATCATTGAAATACAATGCGAATTGAATCCTACAAATGTATCCCTCAAATAATTGATTTTAAGCATCTTCAATTGGAACTCCCTCCAAGAGACGAAAAATGATGTAAATCCTTGGTAAGTAGGTATATGCTTGTTTACTTACAAGGAATAGGGAAAATCATGAATCGGGGAACTTAAAAATTTGGGAATAAGGAATTGGAATTAGATCAACTACTCTACCTAATTGATTCGATTTCTAGCTTTGAGGGTATTTGATTACGGATTTTACCTCATATTTTTTTATTTCACAAATAAACGCATGGGAAGTAAGGAATTGAAACCATTCCGATACCCATTACTGATAAGTAAACATACCAATAAGTTCATAACAATGTTAGTGATATATGTACACACGTGCTTCACATATTAGTGTTTAAATACACATATAAACATTCTGATTCACTAAAGACATACACAAAAGAACAAATATGTAATCAGGCGACAAAAACAAAAGTCATTTTTAAATAGAAAAAAAAACACATTCGGGAATATTATCCAGCACATGGGATTGCATTTGCATATGTGTGTTTAAATACATATATAAAAACATTCTGCTAGAGTAAACTAACACATTTAAACACAAGTTGGCGATCATGAGACAAACAATGTGTGCAAGGGACAATTAAAAAAGAATTTGATTACATATAAACACAAAGAAGCTTGGAGAATAATACTATTATCCAGCACATACATGTGATCTTTGACTGAGTTGCTGATGGGTGTTCGATCTGATATGACCATTATTTGCCCAACTTGGTCTGTTCGCCTTTATTTTTTTGTTTCATTTGATGTCCATTTTTGCACCATTCATTAACTTTGATGAAGTTGATCTGGTTTAGTACTTTATGGAATTGATATATATATATATATATGAAAATATTCATCGGTAATTATTATTTTTATATGATTAGGGTGTATAAATAGTCCTCCAAATATGTGGCTTTTGCAGCATATCCAAAACCGTAGTTTAGTATAGTGTTTTTTTATACGTAGGTGATAATGGCATTGAAAACTCTATGCTCTCTCTTCACGTTCAATTTCCTTCTCAGCCTCCTTTCTCTCCTCTCTTATGCAGCTTCATCATTAGAACCTCACAACAAAAACTCATCCGCATTTGAATTCCTAGACCATCTTAAGGGGGTTCACAAGGGTGACCACATCCCAGGCATCCATGACCTTAAACTATACCTTGAAAAATTTGGATACTTAAGCTATGCCCACGCAAAGCACAACCCTCATGCCGATGATGACGATTTCGACGACTTCTTAGAGTTGGCCGTGAAGACATATCAACTCAATTACCACCTCAAGACCACCGGAATATTGGATACCAAAACGGTGTCAAAGATGATGATGCCTCGCTGTGGCGTGGCGGATATCATCAATGGTGCCACCTCAATGCAATCGGGAAAGAAAAAGCACCGCGGTCACAACCACGATCATGATTCCAATGTTTATGGAGTATCTCACTATTCTTTCTTCAAGGGAAAGCTAAAATGGCCTCGTTCTAAGCACCATCTAACATATGCATTTCTTCCTACCACCCCAACGGAAGCCATGGGGCCGATTTCACGGGCTTTTCGAACATGGGCCACCAATACACACTTCAGGTTTAGCCGGTCGCAAAATTATAAGCGAGCTGACATAAAGATTAGCTTCGAATACGGTGATCATGGAGATGGGAGCTCATTTGATGGACCCGGTGGGGTTTTGGCCCATGCTTATGCTCCAACATATGGGAAATTCCATTATGATGCTGAGGAACCTTGGTCTGTGGGTGCTTTGGAAGGTTATTATGACTTGGAGACTGTGGCTTTGCATGAAATTGGTCACCTTCTGGGACTTGGGCATAGCTCAGTTGAGGGAGCTGTGATGTACCCCTACATAGCTTCTGGAGCCACCAACCTGTATTTGCACGACGACGATATTCAAGGAATTAAAGTTTTATACAAGTCTTGACGAAGAGTCTGTGAAACAACATGACACTTGGTGTATCGGATGCTTTTAATAATTTTTTTGTGAAAGCAAAATCAATTGTAGCTTTTACATATCAAGTTTAGTGAAAGTCAATATTTTTCCTTCATATTTTGTTTTGTATACCCACACATGAAATTAATTAATTTTTTATTATCTAATATTTTCATCTGGATTTCTTAATAGTAATTTTTTTTTGGATAGATTCTTCACTACACCATAACACATCTATTACGGCGCACAAAGCATGTCGTGAATTATCATTCACGATGCGAAACACGCAAGAAGTAAAAGCCCTCATCGTAAATAGTGTGCCTCAATCATAGCGTGCATGAACGTCGTAATAAAAATTTAAGATGACGGTCCCTGTGAGCCGTAATTCAGTTAAAGAAATTACAACACGCTTTACACGCGGTAAAAGAGTAATTAATTCTCATTTAAGACGTTCAGTGCACGTCGTGTTTAACTTTAAATTTTTTTAAAAAAATATTAATTCCTTGCCTGCTCCTGTTTCATATTTACAATATACTTATATCATATATTACTTTCGTGGATACAAAAATTCACAAAACGAAAAGTAGTATTACAACCAAACTTGAAAGAAAGAACCATTTCATTGAAAAGTATACTAATCATAATCAATTCCAAATACAAACTCTATAAAGTATTAAAAAAAATACATAATAGTGCTGCCAAATTTACAATTAACTTGTACACAGCCTCCAACTCATTCACTCATAATAGTGTTGCCAAACCTACAACGTAACCTATGCAAAAACCTCATGATAGCATTGGCAGTAAACATCATCTAACAACAATCAAACTCACACTTGATCTGCCACCTGCATTTTGTTTGAAAACTTATTTTAGAAACTTAACCATTGTAATTTGCCAAAGGAAAAACCTCATTACAAATTAATATAATGGTTACCTCAATCAAGAGCTAGTCAAAGGAGACGAACTTGATTGGCCATGTGGTTGTACTGAGAACTACATCTTCAATAAGAAAAAAATTCATGTTTTGGCCGAAATAAGGGTTGGCCTCCTACAAGTACCTCAAGGACCCAAACTTTCCAACAATCCGGTCCAAGTGGCGCAAAGTGCACATTACCTTGAGGGTTTGTGGATGAAATTTCAGCAAGTGCAACAACTTCTCCACTTCCTGTCCAATGTAGTAGTTTGCACTTTTTCCCTTAAATATTGGCAGAATTACCACGATGGTGAGTAGAAACAGCCTCAAGGTTAACTGATTTGGATAGAAGGTTGGCAGATTTAGCTTTATGGTTGGCTGAAGAGGCTTCAAGAGCATCATTCTTAATAGCTTTATGGTTGGCAGATTTAGATTTGGATTGAAGGTTGACAAATTTAGCTTTACAATTTGCAGAATTCGCTTGAATGTTGGGAGAACTAGCTTGGTTCGCAGAATTGGCTACCAAGCTTCCAAAACTTTGAGCATTTGCACTAATACAAGGAACTGCCATGAAAATATACAATAAACGATAAACTCGATAAATAAATAAAAATAATTTAACGTCTAATAAAATGTACCTACCGAATTAGCATGCTTCCTCTTAGATCCAGCTAGTAAGGAATTGACAATATTTTTCAACTCTTCGACCTCTTTTTCCAATTTAATAACTCTATCACGAGTATATGTCTGAGTACCCACATGTGAAGGTTTTGCTCCAGACCTAAGTCCTCTTACTCTGCCTCGACGCTCAGGGCCGAGTGCTTTGACAAGAGCATCATAGTTAATAGAGTATTTCTCAGCATGTGTTGCATTCTTGTTTTCTTCTTCTATTTTTTTCTGAAATGAAATAGCCAAATATTGATGGAGCAATTTGAATGCCAAATTCAATCAAGTGATTAGTGGAATGAACCACAAAGGAATGGATTTGTCTATTACCACTGCATTTGCAACTTCTTCATTTAAAAATCCACTAGATTTCCTTGTATGCCTGTGAATCCATACATTTCCTCTTGTAATGCTATCAAGCAATGTACTTGCCTTTCTCTACAAAGAAACCAATTACCAAGCAATAAGATATTGCAATCAGGTGATGTTCTTGTTAAGAAAAAAAAAATAATTTTACCATCTCATCTTCAAGGCGAGCATAGCCTGCACGACTCATTGTGTGTAGCATTATTTGCATTGCCCTCATCTTCTTAAATCTCTCATTTATCTCCTATAAATATAAGTTATAAATTGTTCGATGTTATTGTAATAGAATAGAAATATTGAAAATTAAATTGCTCTATGTGAAATAATGAAATAGTTTTACCTTGTATTTTGGACCCCAAACATTTCTTGATGAAACTTTGCCATTCTTCCATACTCTTTATATTATCAGGCTTCAGTTGCCTTGTAGCACGTTTAATACCAACAAGCTCTCATCGTTTCCGCATTTCTTTTAGTAATTTACATCTATGATCTTGCCAAAGCTTTGCCATCTTTTGTGATGCATACTTCTTATGACACTCATCAACAATAAATTTATTGTAAAACAGAAAAATTAAAATTATTAGAAATAGAAACATATCTAATTTAACAACAAAAACAGAAAGAAAACATAGCTAATTGAAATTACCCGAGCGTGCTCCCACAACTGATGCGTGAAGTCTTCATAAATATCTTTCCAACTCTCTTGCTATCACTACAAAATATAATGCCTTTAGCGAGGGCAGTTTGTGGTCGAAAAAGGCCTTTTGTCGTCGAAAATACCCTTTTCCGACGGCAATTTGCCGTCGAAAGCCGTCGGAAAAACGCCCGTTGGAAATACTTTTTTTCCGACCAGTCCGTCGGAAATAATTTATTTCCAACGCCCATGTTTCGTCGATATTGCTTATATTTCTGTCGGAAATGGATTTTCAAAACAACTATACAAATTCATTTCCAACCATAAATATGGTCGCAAACACATATGTGCTATATTTTCAACTAGTGACTATTGGTCGAAAATAGTATTTCCGACCATAGATTATTATTTGTGATAAATATAATTTGTCGGAATTGTGCATTTCCGACATGGAAGTGTGTCGAAAAAAATGTTTTTTCGACTACATTTATAGTGATTATCAAGAGTAAAAAGCCGTCGGAATGTACAAATATTTTGTAAAAGAAATATAAAAAATATTTCCAATGAGAAATTGTTGTCCAAAAAATAATATATATTATCATTAATAAAAGATCAATGTAACAAATTCCAAAAGAAACTCATTACAATCCTAAGATATATCCTATATCACTAGTCCTCAAAGCCCACTTCCAACCGAATGAGGTGTTTTCAGGTCTTCATGTGACTTGTATGTAAATACGGCTTCCTTGAAATGCAAAACCTTATCCCATGATTCAAGCACACCTACATACAAATAGTTATGATAACCACAAATTGATCTTTATGAGGTAAAGAAAAAGATTAAGAGTTTACTAACATACCTGAAACATGACAAAATGGATCAAATAAAGAACTAAGGCCAAAAATACTTGTCTAGACCTGCGCCAGAGGTATCCCTTGGAGTATAGCATGTCTTTCTTGGGTTCTAAGTGCCTTTGGAGATATAATTGCTTGCAGCTTTGTCTAAGATCTGCTCCCATCTTGAAACAAAAGAAACCAGTAACTAGATAAGTTTGTTATTTAGTGTTGAGGTATTGAAATTTCAAATAAAATGATAAAGTTTATTTTGCCACAGTTCTAAGTTGAACATGATAAGAAGTATGTCAATTATTCTGTCCTATATCACACTCATCAAATTTAATACAACATATTGACTATGGACTATGGAGCAAAAGGAGACAAACCATAACAGAGCAGTAGCTCACCTTTACTTGTTGCTGGTCCCAGAACCTATACCCACCAAACCAGAAACAGAGGATATAAAAACATTGCTCCAGATGTTTTCAAAAGAGGATCTGCAAATTGAAAGATGGTATGTAGATTCTATGTTAGTAGCCATGAGTGAAGAATATTCATTAGAGTGCACTCAGCAGTTGGGTTCCTGATATTTGTCTCAACATCATTTACCTAGTCCCACAATCAAATTCAATATAACCCTTATCAATTTGAGAATTGAAGTCATAACCACAACCCGTTTGTACTTAATTAGACTATGAAATATTAAAAAGTTCTTTGTGACATTTATACAAGCAGCTGGAGAACGAAACAAATAGGGGGTTACTTACAAGTAAGTTGAGCTTGCCATTGAAAGAAGAAGCCACTTCCGGTTTTAGACGAGGCGTCACAGACATACCCAGTGACCAGAAAGCCCTTAGCCTCCTAAGCAATTGTAGAGTTCTGCTTGGTTCCAAGAACATGTGTATACAGCCGCTCCAAAACCAGCTAGCTGCTCCACCACGCCTTATCTGACATGAAAAGAGAGCGATAAATTAAAATCCATTTAATTAATTTAAACAAAAAAACTCAGTTTTAAAAGAAACCCATGAGAGTGCAAACAAGATAGAGAGAGGTGCTTACCCGCGACAAAGAGGATGAGTGTTGTTTTGTGCTCTGTTGGCCACAACAGGGAAGAGGAAGATTGATTTTAGGTTTTCCTTATGGCTGCGGAAAGGAAGAGAGAATGGGTTAGGGCGTGTTGAATAGAGAATGGGGTTAGTGCGCGTAGTTAACCTAATTTTGTGCATCTAACTTCCTTTGTCTCTCTCAGAGTTTTTTTTTTTTTTTTTTTTTTTTTGGGGGGTGGGGGGGAAGGCGGCAACAAATTTTTATTTTTAAGTAAGTGTTTTTTAAAAATATTCATTTCTTAAATACTTTGTGAGTAAATTTTTGACTAACTCAAAATTACATTTATGAAAAAAAAATGAACACACAACTACATTTTAAAGAAACAAATATATAAACCAACAGTATATATATATATATATATATTAAAATATGAATAATTATAAAAATAAATGGAGAATAGGAGCTAGTTCAACAGAGATTCTCCACACAAAATGATAGAACAAAAAATAAAAAAACAATAAGGAATTATATTGGCATGCTCTTGAGTGTGTGAAGATAGGCTAGTGGTAATGTAAATTCAAAGTGCCAACTAAAACTCAAATCAGTTTGTAAACAAACAAAACACTAGTTAATGTTCGATAACCTAACGCTCTTGCTTCTTTGATCCAATGATTACTATAAACTTAATTATGTGGAATCATGATTTTAGACCTCTAGAATCAAAAAATTTGTCGTAAGCTATATGTAGCTTTTTTTGGTATACTTTTCTAATTTTTATTTAATTTGTTATGAATTTGTTAAGATAAACAACAAAAAAGTAAGAAAAAAATAGGTGGTGTTGTGGTATAAGGACACGCATCACTAACACAGAAAAAGCACTTGTAAGCAGCTGCCACTTGTCGATCAATTCAGTTTAAAATATATTTTATATGATTTCACTCCTAAAAATCAAAATAAATACATTAAAAATCATTCACCAAAAATTCCTACAAAATCCTAGTGACATTCTCTTTGTCCTAACACTCTTGCTTCTTTGATCCCTCAATTATATGGAATCATGATTATAGACCTCTAGAATTGATGGATTTGTTGTAAGGAATGCGTAGCTTTTTTCAGTGTATTTTTTTTAATTTAATTTATTATGAATATTTTAAGATAGTGATTTCCGATGACCACTAATTCCCCTTGTAAATAGAAAAATTATTACCAGCGACCATATGTTGCCCTTGTAACTAGGTTGTGATTTTCGACAACTGTGAATATGCCCTTGGAAACAAGCACAACTATTAATGAGAAGGATGAGTTTGGTCGTAAATATAAAGTCATTACCGAGCAGACATATTTCTCCTCGGAAATAGTCAAACAATTCCGACGGCATGAGAAGTCCCTCGGAAATAATCACCTTATTTCCGACAAACAAATTTTTTGTCGTTAATAAAGTTGGCGCTAAGTTTTCCCGCCAAATAAATTGCATTTCCGACGGCCATAGACGCTTTTTTCGACAGCCGTTTATTTGTCGGAAATAAATAACAGTCCCGTGACATATTTCCAACGAACAACATTTTTTCGTCAGAAAAAACACTTTTGGCGAGGGAATTTGGGGGCCCTCAGAAAAAGTTGGTCGGTAATGAACCTTTTTTTTGTAGTGTATGGCACCAAGGAGAGAAGCAAACTTAGCTGCATTTTCCCCATGTGTCTGGCCTCGAGGATTGAATTCAACTAGGAGCTTATTTCCTTTGCTAAGATATTGCAATCGTGCTCGACCCCTAGGTTTCCTATTTTCTTCATCAACCTTGCCTTTCCCTTTGGATGACACATTAATTCCTTCTGTACTAGGATTAGCTGCAGCAACTCCATCGGATATTCTTATAGCCCTCATTTTCCTTTCTCGTAGAATAGCTGCAGCAAGAATAGTCGCGTGTTGTTTTTTTTTCTCACTTGGAACCCTGTTTTGAGCACTTTAAAATGATTACATGAGACATGATCATCAATGAACATTTAAAAATAAAATAAAATAAACCTTAAAATTATTAGCTTACTTCAGCAGTCATGTTGTGTTTTTTCCATTCATAGTGCGTCTTGTCTTAGCCTTGAGAAAAGAAAACAACCAAGTACAGTAACTAAGAATAATGATCCAAAGGAATTGACAAAGAGTAAAGAAAGTAGTGTAAAATATCTCAAGTACAGTAACTAAGAATAATGATCCAAATAAATTGACAAAGTAAGAGGTTTTAAGGACTCATAGTCTTACCTTTTCTTTTGGATACTAAGTTGTATCCTCAAAATGGCCAAAAGGATAACTCTCATCATCAAAATTGAGGCCAAGTTTTGTTACATCTAATGGCATGGACAACGTATAAGCATATTCTCATCATGAAAGCCCCTTGTTGGTGCTTTTAGTACCACATACCAATTTGAATTGTTATCAGTTCTAGAGTAAAACACTTGCTTAGCTAGATATGCTAAAATAAATGGATCTTTTCTAAATTGATGTAGGCCTTGATGGAGATTAATTAGCGTAAATCCATCTCCAACTTTGACACCATTCGTTATGTTTGCCCAATCGCAGTCAAATACAGGTACTTTGAACATGCGATAATCTAGCAAAACAATGTATCTTATAACCCCATAATAAGTAATTTTCCCAATGGCCTGAGATGTGTCTTCTGCACTAGATTGACAAATAGTGTTTGCCTCCATAGATACACCACTATCTTGTGTGCTTCTGTTAACATTTCTTGTGTGAAAGCGATGTCCATTGATAACATAACCAGAATAAGACATTACATCTCTCATAGGCCTACATGCAAGCCACTTTACTGTTGTTGACATACCACCAGTGTTGCCAAACTTGACTTTATTTTTAACCATTCACTAAAAGTCAATATATGACATTTTTCTAGCAGGCCTTCATTATTCAAAAGACGTCTATCTAAAAGCTTAAGCTCCTCTCGATGCATTCTAGTACAGAAAAGAAGAGCATGAAGTTAGAATAGAATAGCAAGCAGTCATATGGTCAATTGTAATAGATATATATGTATATATTAGTTTTAAGCTAAGTTCTTATGCTAGGTACGGTTCAACTTCTGCAGTATTTAGCAGAACATAACGATGAGCAATATCCAACATTTCAGAAGTCATGATCTTTAGCTTGCATGCTAAAATAGGTCGTCCTTCAGTTGCTATTCCAAATTCAAAATCCATTTCGGGTGTGTCGAACACCCATTTCAGCAGCATCTTTCATGTGCCCACTACAATGACGTGAGCACTCTTCAGCTGCATAACGCAATGTCATACATCCTTCGGGTCTAGCACAATTTTTCACATATCCTTTCAATATCTTCATATATCTAGTTCATGACATAGAACTAATGAGCATTAGTTGAAATGTATTTGTGAGGTTTTAATGAAGCTTAAATCAAATTGCATATGTAAATGAACATACTGAAACTTAATTAAAGAGTACCTTTCGAATGGGTACATCCAAGCGAATTGGACTGGACCACCTCTTAGGGCTTCTTGACTAAGGTGAATTGTCAAGTGAACCACAACATCAAAGAAACATGGAGGAAAATACCTTTCAAACATACGCAAGGTCTCTGCAACATTGGCATCTAGAGATTCCAATTTGTTTTTGTCAATCACTTTTTGACACAATTCATTGACAAATGAACATAGCCGAAATATGGCAATCCTTGGTTCATTTGACAAAAGGCCCATTAATGCTACTGGTAGTAATTGTTGTAATAAAACGTGACAATCATGTGACTTAAGGCCTAAAATCTTACGATCTTCCAAAAAAACATGACTTGAAATGTTAGAGCTGTAACCATCAGGTAATTTTAATTGTAGCAGTCTCTCACAAAACACTTTCTTCTCTTCTTGTGTTAACATGTGTGGTCCTGGAGGAAAATTGATATTTTCCCCACCCTTTGTTTTTCTCTTCGTATTCAAAAGTGTCCCAACTATAGAATAATGAAGTGAAGGACATCTAGTACTGAATGAAAACTCAGTATCAAGCATGGAGGTTAGGGATTTAGAAAATAGAACCTTAGGAACTGTCACTGAGAATTTAGCTTTGCTCGAGCAATTGTCTTCTAGCAAACGGGGAACTGGAGCTCTTGATTAACTGTGAGACAGAATCCATAAATTGTGAGAGGGAGATGGAGAGAGAAGTGGAGCAATAGTCTTTCAGCTTTGTCTTAACGGTCGTCTGAATGAAAAATAAAACGAGGGAAATTTTTAAAAAATTCTTATATTACAAATATATTAATTCATTTTGGCAAAAAAAAAAATTTGAATTACAAATTACGGCATACTCATCTCACGCCGTAATATATATAGCATTCACAGCGTATTCTCAATCACGCCGTTAAAAGACAAAAAAACCTTTTTAAGTCGTGTTTTCATATGCCGTAAATGTAAGTTATTAATGGCACGCTTTACTATCTTTTTAAGCGTGTTATCATATGCCGTAAATATATGTTATTAATGGCACACTTTACTATATTTTTAAGGCGTTTTTTTTCATATGCAGTAAATATTAGTTATTAACAACACGCACAAAAAACATGTCGTAAATATCAAGTCGTAAATGCTCCAATTTGGTGTAGTGCTTAATAGTCCTTTCAAATCATTTTTCTTTTCAATGAAACGATATTTCAATTAAAGTGGATTCCAATTTCCAAATAAAATATCCTTCATGAATAATACGAGCATCTAGCAAGATACAAAAGTGAATGGGGCTACTTGCTTAATTAAATGTCTGATTGCAAGAGACGATTGTAGATTTTGAAAAGAACAAAAAAAACTAGGAAAAGTTAAATTTTATGTAGTTGTTGTGATACACGGTATTAGAGCCAACTCGGTGGACTTTATCATGTGTGATTGGGGACATGGGTGTGGATCTTGACAAAGATTGTTAATGATCAAATTATAGGCCCTAATGAGGATGTCGTTCATTTAAGTAGTGGAAAATTTAACACCCTAGATTGGTATATTGAGTCTCGCATTGGTAAATTACTAGGTTGATTTGGGCTTCATAACGCTAAGGTGGCATATGGCAGAAAATTGAACTTTTCCCTTTCAAACTCATTTTTTCTTGCCTACAACCCAGGTTAGTATTTGTTTTCCTCTTTTTGGCTGAGGTGGCTGATGAAAGGAATTTTTGGTCCTTCTTCTTCAAGATGCGTAGGCGTGCCACCACCAAGCCACCAAATGGCTTGGATGGAAAATGTTGGATGGATATGTTGCGCTTCTGATTTTTGATCAAGTGACTAATCAGCCAAGCAAGGAACCTCCTCTTGGCCTAGGTTCTTTCACGTCCTTGGGCTCGAGGATGGTTAAGCTTGGTGTGGATGTTTTTGTGATTTTTAGGTTTTTTAAGTGAAAATGATGCAATTAAATTAAAGATGTGATTAAACTTAAAGACAAGAATTAAAGTGCGATAAAATAGATCAAAGAGATGAACGAACGTAAATTAAACAAAGAAGAAAATGAAAAATAACAAGAATGATAAAGCTCTGAAATTAAACTTAATAAAAATTCTTAAACGAAATTCGATAACAAAACAATTTAAATAATTATGAATTTAAAAGCAAGATGATGTAAATAGCAAGAAAGTAAACTTACACTAAGAAAATGAAGAACTTGTTATACTAAGTGCTTCAAAAGTAAAATCCTAGGTCTAGGAAAAGAAAAGTGCGAGATGAAAAATAGGTTTGTGTGTCTGATGATGTGTCTTCTCCCTTCGTCTGACGAAGTTTATATAAGGGCATCCGCCAACCCATGGGTTGGCCATTAAATGGCACGAGGTCCACTCTTTTGAAACTCCTTTCTTTTGAGGCATCCTAAATTCGTGGGATCACATTGATGGAGATATTTTGATTACTTGATTCTCTCTTTCTTTTGGAAAATTATGGATTGTCATCAGTCTCCTTAATTTCTTTCCTTATGAAGCCTCCATCACATGCATGCAATCCTCCAAAAATCTTGGGTTCGAATTCGTGGCTTGGGCTTAGACCTCCGAGACTTCATCTTGACATCTAGCGCAACCTTGTGACCTCCGAATTTCTGGAATTCTAGAGCTCTGGAGTTCTAGACTTGGCCGATGAAGGCCTCATCCTTGGTCAACAGATCCTTAGCTGATGGAGGCAACATTCTTGGACCAACTCTCCAGAGGATTTGGAGATTCCTGCTAGGCAAATCTCACCTTTAGCAAACATCAACTTGACAAATCTCACCTTGACGGAACTCACCTCCACAGATTTCACCTCCACGGATCTCACCTCGACGGAACTCACCTCCGTGGATCTCACCTTGGCAGAACTCACCTCAGCGGATTTCACCTTCGCGAATCTCACCTCCACAAAACTCACCTCTGTGGATCTCACCTTGGCAGATCTCATTTCGGCATAACTCACCTTCACGGATCTCAGCTAGATGAAACTAGCTTCACGAAACTCACCTTGGTGGATCTCACCTTAGTAGATCTCACGTCGGAGGTCTTCGAGTTGGTAGATATGAGGAAATTTGACCACCCCCAAACCGTATATTTTTTTTCTTAGCTAAAGACTAGTTACTAGGATCCAACTAAGGCAATTACCAATGTGTCAAATTCTATATTTTCTGAATTCCTAAAGAGTTTTTTTATTTGAACCCCGCACTTCTCTTTGTTTACCCCATATTCTAAGTTCACCCCAACTTATAATTCGAATTATTACAATTTCTAAGAAAACCACATTATCTTCTCAAACTACCCCTAAATACATATCCAGCATTAAAAAAAAAATTAAAATTAAAAAATTAAAAAACTCATCAACCCCCCACCCCTCTATCTTGCCCCTCACCACTCTACTTTGAAGCTTAGTGATTAACAGCTAATTCCAGCTATCATTACTTATTGTAAAACAGAGAGACTCACAGTCTTTACCTTCCTTGAGGAGCCTTGATCAAATTCTTGTACAAAATTCAGAAGTTTGCTTGAGGAAATCAGCAGGTGGTCTTCCTGATGGAAACTTCTCACATTACATACCTCAATTGAAGACTCACAAGCCATTATTTTCATACCGTATTTAGGGCTTATGAAGAGAAGATTAGTGTGTAGTAGGTTTCTTGAAATTTGAGAGTTGAGTAGATGAGTTTGTGTTTTTCTAAAACTTAATATGAAGAGTGGTGGGGTGTGTGTATAGATGTACTAGGGTTAAAGGTTAAGTTGGATGACCTTTTTTGTCTTTTTACACAATAATAAAACTTAAAAGATTAATGATTTAAGTATTGAGGTGAACAACCTTCATTTGCATGTGTTATGCAATTTTAAACACGCTTGGACTTGTTGGCAAGCCCACATGACCCCCAACCCAAGTCTACTCATTGGAAGTTTCTATCACAATCCAACACACTTGCAACGTATGATGGGACTTTGATGTCCATGACATGCCTTTGTTATCTATGTCCCAATTCCGCTACATATACCACTCCCTTGCCTTTGCTACCTACACTCAGCCCAAGGATGCTTTGCGCACACATGCCTTGCCACGATCTCTTTCACTTTGCTTTGTCTTTGTGCACATCTATTTCACTTTGCCTCTATCTTGGCATGGACCAAGACACCAAAACAATGCCATGGTCTTGCCTCAAATTTCAAGGTTGTTGCAAACCACCACCACCAAAAGAATATAACACCCTCTTCAACTCAACTCCTTGGTGACCCTCATCCATCAACCCATCACTTGGTTCCACCTCAACCATTGTTTCTAACACCCTCTTCAACTCAACTCCTTAGTGACCCTCATCCATCTACTCATCACTTGGTTCCACCTCAACCATTGTTTCCTCTTTGATTTCTTTCTCAGACTCTTCCGTATAATCCTTCTTGGTGTCATCGGCCATTTTTTCCAAATTCAACATCTCTAACGATGTTATCAATCACCATGCTTTACACAACTCATCCTCTTATTCACTTTCTAAAGGGTCTGAAATTGATGGAACACATCGATTTGCCTAACTCATCAAGTCATCAACTTGCTCATCAACATCTTTATGCCTATAGGCCAATTCAAAATCAAACTCCCCAAGCACATCTATATAGATGTCAAAGTCTAATTGGATGAACCTCATATTATACAAGTTGTTGAAGCAGAGAAAATTAAAAGAACAATATTACCCGGAAAATTTGTTGTGAAGCTGAACGATTCTTGGGATGAGTCGCGTACAAAGTTGCTCTTTTTAAGACGTTTTGCGGCTCTGCTCAATTTGTGCTAGCAGTTCAGGAAATGCCACTACGTCCTCAGGATAAAACAGCCCCAGAATCTCCTCTGTCTAGGTTCTTCCTTGCACTGAGGAAGGACCCGAATACAAACACCTTTCTATGTTGCTCAAAACTTCAGTTTAGAAAATAAGAAAAAGATATGAAGAGGAGGAAGGCAGCAACTATGGTCTGTGTCTTTTCTCTCCTAGCCATATAAGATATATATATATATATATATATATATACAAGATTTATCACAAAGAGACGTTATGGGCTTTAAGGACATCAATGCATCAGTTGAAAAAAGATTCACCCCATATTAATAGAAAATAACTCCTATTAATAAAGACAATTTAAGGCAATTATTGAATTATTGAATATATATTTTTTTAAATGAAAAAAAAATACCAAATTCAACAATCCCCCACTTGTTTATTTTAGAAATATATTCATTAAGCAACATATCATAAGACTATGCATAAGTAGAGGTGTTTTTCAACTTGAACCTTTACATAGTGACGGAGCTTCAGAATATACAAGAGTAACATATAGTTTTGAACTCTATCTCTGACAACACCACACACATAGCCCTACTAAGATGAAGTTCAAAAGCCAGCACTTTACGGCCATGTGCTTGTATCCCAATATAATGAATGCTCTAGAAAATTTCCCCCAAAATTTTCATAGAAAGTGGCCTCACTTTCACATTCACATAGGTGAGACTATTATAGATATCCCTGTAGCTAAATATCCCACTCAATATAGAGTATATATCTCATTAAGAGCTATAAACAACTCAACCTTAAATCGCTTCAGGATTTCATGCTTCTAAGGATGGATATGGAACACTAGCATGACTCCACTCATATCACTAAATGACTTCTTATTACTCATTGAACCTATTTCTTGGGATTTCCAATCTATAGGTTGGGTTACCATCACAAGTGACTTAACCTTCTAGGGGTTTTAGTCCCATTCCTTTTGAGGTTTTCCAAACCTTTTCTCGTGCTAGTCCTTTCGTCAAAGGATCAGCCAAATTCTCATTAGACCGTGCATAATCCACTCTTACAGCCCCATTAGAAAGAAACTCTCTAATAGTACTGTGCTTGCGACGTATTTGTCATCTCTTGCCGTTATAATAACGGTTCTGAACTTTTGCAATAGCTGCAGTACTATCACAGTGGATAAGAACAGCTGGTATCGGTCAACGAGTTATTAAAAATAACAACTTTAATTCTCGCAAGTGCACGAACCATTTATAGTATAGCTTATGTAAATACGAGGTCGATCCCACAGAGAATGGTAACTTGGTTCCAAGTTAAATTACTTAGAATGCTAGAAAAACATAGATCAAAGAAACTAACTAACTACCTAAAGGCAAGGTCGAATTCAACAATGCCTCTTGCTAATTACTCAAGGTCTAGGACAGAATCCTAGCACCACACACGCACTCGAAATGGGGGGTTTTTGTTGTTGAAATGAAAAGAAGAAAGTGAAATGAAAGTGCTTGAAAGTAAACACTGGCAGCAATCAACAAGTTGTGAAACAATGATTGAGAGGTGTTAGAGCCTTGGAATCCACCACTAGTTTTCCTATTCAAGTTATGAATGCATAGAAATTGACTCAAGCTTCATCAACAATAGATTATCGCATACAAGCCTATGGTATCTAGGTGCAGGATCCATGATTCTCCTAAGGCATGTGATTATGCATGGTATCTGTGATCTCTAACATGCAACCTATGCATGGTATCTACACAACACATGATCTCTAACATGCAACCTAAGCATGGTATCTACTTAGAATAAAGCATACAAGAGTCATTAAGCTCCTTGAGAATATGATAATCACACAAGTCCTAGAACATGGTATCTGTCCTAGTCAACCTATGGTTATTAACCCCTTGAATGATTCTTAGGCCATTCATGTGTAGCTTGTGAAAGGAGAGTAGAATTGGTGAATCTAAACCCCTTCCCAACTTGTGCTAGATGCATAAAATCCTAGTTAGCTACTCTAAGAAAACATACATCAAGCACATAATAAACTGGAGATTAACAACTTGATAATGAAAGCAAAGAAATCAATTAACTATAAAATCATCCATAACATTGAATATTCATGACTAGGGCTTCATCCTAAGCCCTAACTAAATGGATTAGTTAAACATAACTATGAATACAGAAAATAAGAAATACATAGATAGGATAGAAGAGAAGAGAAGAACTAGCTAGCAGCAATGTAGTTCCCAAGACAGCTCCAAGCTCTCTTCTCTCTTTGTGGTGAATCTGAATGTGTGTATGAGAGTAATGGATGAAGTGAAAATGTGTATCTTTCTCCTTTGAATGAGTGTGCAACTCTCTATTTTTAGAGTGCAATTTCATCTTTCCCTTTGGCTGGTGAAGCACACCTCTCTTAGCTGCTCCCAACTGCTCCAGCTACCTATACTTGCCAACTGCTCCAGTTGACAAATACATGCATTGGTATGGTTTCTTTATGGAAAGCTTGACTTTTGTTCATCCTTCTGAGTTCCTGAGCTGATTTGACTCCCATGTGTGGCTGCCCATACTTAGCACATGGCTCTAGGGATGTAGCCACATTAAATGTTATGGCAGCCAACATGACATTTCTGTGAACTTGGTTCAGTCTTTGGTGTGATGATGGCTCCAGATTTATCCAATTGGGCTGAAATTTGGATATGTTATAATAGACACCCATTGCAACAACTTCTATCAAGGATGTCTCCTCATCCAACCTATGTAAGTTGCTAAAATGAGGCCTGAAAGATGACCTACGAAACTGAACTGACAAGGAGTGTGGCCCAAATTGGGTTTGTCTTTAAGCTCATATTCCTCTTGTGCCACTCAGCCCTTAACATGCATGAATTGTATCAAATGTCATGCCCTTGCTGTCTTAACCTACAAACCACACAAACATAGGTAAGAGACTCAAAATAAAGAGAAGCTAAACAAACTTACTAAGCAAAGAAGGCATGCAAATGTGTGAAATTATGACCTTATCAGGGGTATCTGAGAGTAGGTTTCTCAACCAACCTGCTTCCTCACTAGCCATTGCTAGGGCTATCATCTCTTACTCCATTGTGGACTGAGCCAGAATAGTCTGTTTCTTAGACTTCCATGAAACTGCACCACCAGCAATATTAAATATATATCCACTAGTAGTCTTTGAATCATCTGACAGGGTATTCCAATTAGCAACGCTATATCCTTTTAGGACAGCGGAAAACTTCTCATAGTGTAATCCAAGGTTCATCGTACTTTTAAGGTACCGCATGACCCTCTCAATAGCATACCAATGCTCCAAACTAGGTCTACTTGTAAATCTATATATCTATCAGGAATATTTGCTAGAACATTGCACACAAATGATTAATAGATTTCATCTTAATATCATTAGAGATCACATGTGCATTACTATACATTAAAGTGTAACATAAATTCACTATATATAAATTCATATAATCAAAAATACCTCTCAAATGTTGGTACTCATTAAAATATATCAATTCTTTGGGTGCACCTGCTGAAGCTTTCTTTATTATGCACTTCAAGTGGCTACATGGCATATTCAAGTTGTCACTGCACCTTCTCAATTCTCAATAGAAACTCTTTAAGACAATAAAATGTCTCCACCAAAATTTAATACAAAGAATGTCATTAATCACGCCCACTTTCATATCAAGATCAAACACAAATTAATCTCAAAATAATGTTGCGTGATATAAGAAAATTTCACATAGATATATTGGCATGTTTACCAAAATAAAGTACTTACTTATTAATTAGATAGGTCATTAAATGAATATAACGAATCCCCACATTTTCAAATGGAAAATGTTAGGCTTACTAGAATTCTCAACCCCCACGAGTTGTGGAAATTCTCAACCTTTACAAATAAGAAAACTCCCGAAGTAATCAGAAGTCATTGAGAACCATAACAAATATAATAATGAAATCATCGAATGCTTCACAAAAAGGAGAAGTAGCATGATTCACACACCTGATAGGCTAATTATGCTTCAAAGGATGTAAGGGTCGAAACCCTTACACTGATATAATTTATCATTTTATTTGAGTAATCTCCATATACCCTCCATGGCAACTAACTCAAGTGCCCTGCTCTCAAAGTCCCTTTTTATCAAAGCAAGTCCACTGCCAAACGTTAGTATTTAATGAGTCCGAACTAAATGATATGAAGAATTGAAGAGCTCTCAACATCATACCGTATATGACGTCAATTGACTTTTAATAGTTTGCAATACAAATATAAATATAACTCTCCAGCCAACATAAAAAGAAAATTCCCGTTTTGTAATCGTCATAAAATTCAATTCCAAAAGCTCAAAGGAAAAGCCAACAGCTTGAAGTAGTAAATCAAATATGACAAACCAATAAGCTTATTAGGAGTTACCGAGGTAGAAATCACTTATCTCATGTTCATACCAACCATGGGTATTGTCAAAGCCAAAATTGCCAAAATTGAACCATTAGCCAATGAGATTAGATAAATATTTAGTCCTGCTACCACGGTGTCCTTCAATATGCAGGAATTAGTTACCCGCCGGAAAATACATGAATGATTATGGAAATAATTTGAGTAGCATCCAAAATCTACTTTTAAAATTGGTTCCCAACAACATCTGTGGCAGATAGAATGTCTTAAAATTGTTGAAGCAGAGAAAATTAAAAGAACAATATTACCCGGAAAATTCATTGTGAAGCTGTGAACGATTCTTGGGATGAGTCGCGTACAAAGTCGCTCTCTTTAAGACGTTTCGCGGCTCTGCCCAATTTGTGCAAGTAGTTCAGGAAATGCCACTATGTCCCCAGCATAAAACAGCCCTAGAATCTCCTCTGTCTAGGTTCTTCCTTGCACTGAGAAAGGACCCGAATACAAACACCTTTCTATGTTGCTCAAAAACTTTAGTTTAGAAAATAAGAAAAATATAAGAAGAGGAGGAAGGCATCAACTATGGTCTGTGTCTTTTCTCACCTAGCCATATAAGATATATATATATATATACAAGATTGATCACAAAGAGAAGTTGTGGGCTTTAAGGACATCAATGCATCGGTTGAAAAAAGATTCACCCCATATTAATAGAAAATAACTCCTATTAATGAAGACAATTTAAGGCAATTATTGAATTATTGAATATTTTTTTTGTTTTATAAATGAAAAATAGACATACCAAATTCAACACAAGTCATTGCACAACACGCATGTCTTAGCAACAAACCTTCTATCTAACAAGTAAATCCTTTGTAAGTCTAGCTAGTGTACTAAAGCATCAAATGACATATCTTCCAGCCCACTTAAATCCTAATTCAGAATCATATTCTCAATTTCCTCGATCAGTATTCCTCCACGCACAAAGGATGCGTCAATGCTCGCCTTTGAAAGGTCCGAGGAAAACATATCAACAAAGACTTCAATTATCTCAAGGTTTGGCTGCCCAATGGCCTCCTCTTAGAATGTATCGTCTAGCTCTAACCACAGTGCATTCGGCAACACCATGGAACTCACATGGATATTAGTATATCACTTTCCTCATTAGAAACTCCATGTTGTTCTGTCTCTATGGCATTCAAACTATGTTTCCTTGGTTAGTCTTGCATGTGATGGGATCCTTGTCATATGAAACAGTCAGGGAACATTTTCTTTTCTGCTGCACATCACCTTTAGAGCTAGTACTGGCAGTAGTAGGCTATTTTCCCTTGCTAGCACCTATGTTGTCCAAGTTGAACACGTGTCTTCCTCTAACATGTTGGACACATCAAACATCAAAGAACAAAATGCCTTCACATAATTGCTCATTGAGGTCACTTTCTTCAAGTTTTTAAGGATTCCCTTGCAACCCAAGAAACATTGCAAGGCAGGAATCTTTAGTTCCTTCTTAAGGGATCCCCACTCAACAATCGCAGGTCTGCCTAGTTAAATATATGAATCGTCCACCAAAGCTTGGCATCCCTAGTTAAATACATGCTCGTGATAGACACCCTCTAGGCATTTGGAATCTTAGCCCTTGAAATACTGCTTCAAATCTCACAAGAAGTTTTCCAACTCTTATGCACTCAAATCACAATTATATGTCTTCTATTCAGGCACTTTGATCTGTCTCTGATGAACCATCATGACCCGCTTCCTTACTTCTCACAACAAGCTTCACAATGCTCATCTCACAATCGACATCTTTGATCTTTCCTCCAATCGCGTCTATTAATGCATCCATGTCACGCAACCCATCGATGACTTTCTTATTAATCATGGTCTCTCACTTGCTAAAGATTCTAAATCTCTGCCAAAAAAGCATTCTCCATATGCACAGCCACACTCACGGCATCATCACTCACCAATGCACCAAGGTATTTCTCGATCCTTATCACCCTTTCCTTCAATGAATCATAGCCTCCAGCCACTCGTTCCAAACAAACATAGTTTCAAGCTTTATCTTTGTTATAAAAAATTAAAATATTGTAAGAGATCAATTGTAAGATCTCAAACCATATTTCACACTGAAAACTATCCCACCACATCACTTTAAAGGTAGGAAAGCGGTACAAAGGTTATTGGCAATTCCTTTGCACTATTTTAACTTTTGGCCATTGCAAACCCAACAATAAGGCATAGTTGAGCTTTTTGGTATTCTTGTACACCAAATCCTCATGGCTTTGCTCTCCAGCTTTAAAATATACTCCCTTAAGTTAGCCTAGGTGTATGGACACCCACAAAAACTAGTTTGCAACCATGGGAGCATTGGATCAAAATATGGACATTGAAACCTCATTTTCTCTTGCAAAAACCAGATTTTGAGTTAAGAATGTACCTTTCTCCCCTCCCTTCAGTCTCAACCCTTGTGATCCCTCTAAACATCATTGAAATAGCATACTAAACTTATTGGAAGAGGGTGAGAGAGGCCTTAAAACACGTTTTGATCCTTGAAACCTTGAAAATATCTATACGTACAGGATGTTCATACTAGAACTTCAATTTTCTGCCTTCCCTTGCTTTGTGGTCCAAATGAGGTTTGCCAACACAGTGAAAAAAACATGCTGGGAAGTCATGTTATATTCCTACACACAAAAATAACCAAATCACTAATGAAACACAAAAAATTCAATTGAACAATAAGCAAAAACTGGAAATTAACAAGGAAAAATAAGAAACCTAGGGTTGCCTTCCAAGAAGCGCTTGTTTTAAGTTATTAGCTTGACTTAAAAATGGTTCTTACGGAGATTGTAATTGGATGGTTTCAAAGTGAGCTTCTAGATAATGCTTAAGGTGATGGCCATTAACTTTGAATTGGTTCACATTTGACATGTTTTGAATTTCCGCAACACCATTAGGGAAAACTTGAGTGGCAAGGAAAGGTCATTTCCATCTCGAAGCCAGTTGTTCACAAGCTTCTCGACATCCTCTGCGCGCATGGCTTGTGGGTCATGTGGGTGAGCTTCACGATTTGGGTGACGCTGATTGACTTCCTCGTTGGCTGGCAAGGGTCCACCTTCTCGGTTGAGCCACCTAGGCGGGGTGTTGGTGGACTGTGCGCGTGAGGGATTCCATGTAGCTTGTCGATGGAAATTGGTTCTTCGGGAGTGGGTAGTAGAGCGCTTTTCTTCATGATCCTCATTGTGAGAGTCATCAGGTTAACTTCCCTGAGGGCCTAGCCTTATGTGAACATTTTCCTACGAGCCCATGCGGGCCCAGATGTCAAGTCGTTGTCCCAACCTTTTACGTGCGTTGGTCCTTGAACTCAATCTAGATAGGAGACTTCGTCTACTCTGAGTATGGCTTGTAGATGCTTATGACATGTCAGCAAGCTGACCTCGTTGTTGTCCCTCTCCTTTTCTGCTTACTCCTACACTAACTGCTTAGGACCTATCGAACTGCCCACTAGCTCGTTCGTCCATCCTTCTCTCTTCTCCCTGTTGTCCAAGGCCAAGGTTTTGAGCCAAGTTTATTTGGTTGAGGAGCTGCCTTATCAAGTCGTTTTGGGGGTCCATTCTTTAAGTTAGTTGGTCAACTCTCATATTGAGGTCCACTTGACTTCATGGACCGGGAGGAGAGAATTGTGTGGAGCTCAATTACACATGGACTAGGGTTTCGTTGGAGGTGTACGTGTGAGCGTAGGTCAAGCATGGAGGAAATGGAAGGAATGATTGAAGTTGCTCCAAGATTGGGCCAATGTTGGTGATGGTAGTGAGTCCACCGTGATGGGTGGTTCCAACATGTTCAGTAAAGGCATCGTGATGGTGGGCTTCGGATCCAATCACGAGGCCGCACGGGGGATTGCTAGATCCCGTCGCAAGGCGGTGTGGCACGCGGTATGACGGTGGCAGGCACTAGTGCGGTGGTCCTAGTTGCGGGTCCAATAGGTGAAACTGTGGTTCCAGCCACACAGGGTGGCGGTTGTTGTGCGGCAGCAAGGTTTTGCTGCGGGTTCATGGCTGCGTAAGATGGTGAAGCCATCATGTCAATCGCGGGATTGTGGGAAGAGTGGCTTTGGGCTGTCACAGATTGAGCCATCGCAGTGGTCTTGCTCCTTGTCTGTTTGCCTCTGGCCATGGTTGCTCGGAAGGCGTTGAATGAATGAGAAGATGAAGGAAATAAATTCCTTTAATTTAAGAGCACGCGTTGAGTATAACTCGTGCTCTCAATGAAAGCACCAAATGTTTGTGCAAATAATCTTGAGGGAGAATATTCGCTTTGTGATTCTTCAACCTACAATCTTCCTTCTCTCTCTTCCTAGATTCCTGTATATAAAAAATTCGGAGTAAATAGACTACACCCGGGGGGTGTTGGCTAAAGTCTTTCCAATGCCTAAGTTAGTTCGATTGAATCTAGATGAAACAATTGGTAAAAAAGGGTATGGAGATTTCTCTAGGGTGAGAATCGGGTGGCCGGAACCTTGTATGTAATATATGGAGAGAGGAGAGATGAGTGGCAGGCGGCAGTGGTGGCGTCGTCGGTGGCTAGGGAGAGAGTGATGGAGAGTTTTCTCGGGTTTTTCCAAGTAGGTTTGGATGTACCTTGAATGATGAATGAAGCCATCTATTTATAGGAGCCTCGGAGGCTAGGGTTTCGTAAAGAGTAAAACTCTTATTGGAAAAGACTTTATTCTTCCCCCAAATTGTAGAGATTGAGTCCATTAGGGATTTGATTGGGATCCAAATCTCCTAATTTGATGATGATTATATCTCCTTATTATGATAATATCCAAAATTAATGGCATTATCTTATTAAATAAAGATAATATCCTATAATTGAGATATTATCCATATTAATTAATTAGCCAAATAAATTGGTTCAATTAATTAATTTAAGGGATATTTCTCTTCTCCTAGTGGCGGGCTATAATTGGAGACTAAAATATTTGCTCCCACAATAGCCACAAACAAATTTTAACCACATCCATTTGGTAAAACTGGAATATAAACAAGCATTTAATCTCACCACATGGAAGAATCCTCAATTGACCATGTGGCTAGGGAATGAACCGTCCAACCGGGGGACTAGGCTCACTAGCCCACACAGCAGAATCCTCAATACTCATGTGTCTGTGAAAAGTCCGATGATCGCAGACTGCCCGGCCAAGGGTCTACGAAACACTCCGCCAAGGGTGCTCGGGTTCTAACATATCCAAGTATCCATATCCACTATTTCCAAGTATCAGTATCCAAGGGGAGGCACATATGATAGTGTGCATCATGTATCGGGGGAAAACAATCCAACACGAGTATTGTTTGACTAGACCACATGGAAGAATCCTCAATTGACCATGTGGCTAAGGAACGAGCCGTCGAACCTGGGGACTAGGCTCACCAGCCCACATAGCAAAATCATCGATACTCGTGCGTCTATGAAAAGTCCTACATGCGAAGACTACCCAGCCAAGGGCCTTCGGTAACTCCCCGCCAAGGGTGCCGGGGACAAAACCACGAACCAATCAATTCTATCGTTTCCGATGTGCATAACCAAGTAACCAAGTGCATGGGGAGATACATATGATGGTGCTATTCACAAACCCATATAACATAAAATAATATACCCTCCCTTAATTCAATTTCCCAAATTCTCAATATTCCAAACTACCTAATCCCACATACATAGACATCAGGACATAAATAGTGTCCATAACTTAATATCCAAAATTTATACGTAATATAGATATCAAACTCTCAAAAGCATAAATTCCATGACCCAAAATATTCATAACTCCAAATATCAAAATAACCTCCAATAAATCCATAACATACCATAAACCACAAAATAAACCATTTTATAATTCATAGTCTCAATAATCAAAATAATCCAAATTATATAAATATGCAAGGCAATCCATTATATACTTTCATAATCAAGCCCCGTATCACCCAATTCATATTTTTTAATAATAACCATAATAACAATAATAATCCCTGGAAAACCCAAATCACATTTCAATAAAACCATAGTCAAACATATATCAAATCTCAATGTAACAACTGATAACCCCACAATTAAAACAATAATATAATCTCATAATCCCAACATAATCAAAATAACTCAAATAACAATCAAGACTCCTTGATAAGGCCATTTTAGTACTTTTCGAAGGATGAAACTACCTCGGAAGACTCACGATCAATCGAGGGGTCAAATTTCCCATATTGGTCAACAAAGCCTATCAACAAGTCCTGTAAGTTTGGTCTCGATCAAGCTATCGGATCTAAGCCAATCGCATGATCAGACGGCAATCGCTTCGCCTAACCTTGGAATCATTGATTCGGAGTATCTAGGACTTCAATTCTTGATCTGCGAGTTCCTACGCGATCATAGAGGTACAGAGAACTACATATTTGAAATTGGGACAGATCGAACGGTTTGAAACTATCGAACCCAGATATCGCATATTAGGTGCAATATCCGTTCGACTGTCAAATGGCAACCAATTCCAAATCCGGGCATATCGTCATGCTTAGAATGACAAGAGGAATATTTTAGAACGTAATGGACCGCCACACAGTGGCCCACACACTGCCACCCGCTGCCGACAGTGTGTGGGTGTCTTGAGAAATTTCTAGCAATGGAAAATTCTTGAAACACCTTACAATACCTATACCAAAACGTCAAGGGCAACTATGGGATTATCTTTTGGTCTTAGACCCCAGCCAAAAAGTGACCGGAGCTAGCTCAAAACACGCCCAAAACCGTCAGAAATTCTAGGTTTAAATCTCCAAATCGACCCAAACCAACTACCAAAACACCTAGAACGTACTGAGAGGATGGAGATCCATAACTTGGTCGACAAAAAATGCCACCGGAATCGCCGAAAATGATGATGAAAAAATCGCGATATTTCTCCTCGTTCCAGTCGCTAAACCGTGCAAAATCGATCGACGAAATCTAGTGGACTTGGTAGAGAAGGTGGAAATGAAGATTTTGGAGGTAATTTCGTTGAAAACAGTGGCCGGACGGCAACAAAATCGTCATATGAAAATCCGACATCGAACGGAGGAGAGAGAGAATGTCAAGGAGAGAGAGAGAGAGACAGAGAGACAGAGAGACAGAGACATTAAAAAGAAATCCAACTTTGAAAAATTCACAGTTGTGCCACTGCACTTCCGTTGACCACAACTTCTTCGTTAAAACTCTAATTTGAGCCCACTATGCGTCTATGAACTCGTGAGAGCAAACTCTACGCAGTGGTACTATTCATTTTCCCAAAATCCTTCTTGATCAAAAGTGACCAAAGTGACCCTACCCTAAGGGCAAAATTGTAATTTCTGAATTAAATAAATTGATTACAACAATTAAATTGGGTCGGGATGTTACATTGCCATAGCAACCCAATAACAATTACTATTCACATGGGATAATTTTATTTTTGTCTATGATATTAGTAAATAAAAATTTCCTAGGTATGTATTTAAAAAATAAAAAAGGGAAATAGCGCTTAATGCCGCTGCTTTCCAAATTTTATCTGGAAATACCACCTTTTCCCACAAATTTAGCAAATATAACCTATAAATACATTTTTACTGTCCACTTATTGCACACATAATACTTTTTCTGAAATTTGGTTTTCTCTCTCAGCTATCTCTTGGCTCTGTCTCTCTCTCGATCGCGCAGCTTTCATTCTCTCTTCGCTCTGTCTCTCTGTCGCTCAGCTCTCACTCTCTCTTCTCTCTTTCTCTGTCTCGCGCTGCTCTTAGTCTCTCTGACGCAGTGCTCTTCCTCTCCCTGCGGTGTCTGTTCATCAAAGCTCAACTCCATCATTGACCTCCTAAAGGTATTGTTCATCGTCATTTTCTTAGGGGTTAGGGGTTTCTCTGAAATTGGTGTAGGGGTTTCTTTGAAGTTGGTTTAGAGTTTATGGGTTTCTATGAAATTGGTTTAGGGGTTTCTCTGAAGTTGGTTTAGGGTTATGGGTTTCCATGAAATTGGTTTAGGGGTTTCTTTGAAATTGGTTTAGGGTTTAGGGGTTTCTCTGAAATTAGTTTAGGGGTTTCTCTGAAATCAGTTTAAACTTTAAGGGTTTCTCTGAAATTGGTTCAGGGTTTAGGGGTTTGTCTGAAGTTGTCTAATTCTGATGATTCCTTGTTTGAAACAGTGAATGTGTTTGTTCTTTGTGGATTGATTCTTGCATTTGATTTGGGATTCGCTTGATTACTGTTGTTGGTTTGCTGTTGTTATTGATGTTGTATTGCTCTTTTTTTTATGTTGTATTGCCATTGTAACATTGTTGTATTGCCCTTGAAGTGTATTTGTATTGCCATTGTAGAGCTGTTGTATTGCTAGTTTATTATGATTTTATTATCGTTCCATTGTGGTTTGAGTTTTGGCAATTTATGCAATTGGATTTTGTGTTTCTTTGTTGCTTCATTTCATCCAAAGAAGGGAAATTATAGGTGTTCATTTATAGTCTCTACATTAGCCACATGAATCTTTATAGTTTGTTTTGTAGTTGCAGTAGCTTTTTGATGTCTGTAGTTTGTACATAAATAGCCATTTATTCTGCTATACAAGCAGAGTCCATAATTTTTCTTTTGATGTTCCATCTGTATTGTATTTCATTTGTTCTCTTTTTATGACATACATGTATATTAGTATGGTGATGAGTAGATTTGAGGAAGCATTAATGTCGTTGGGCTAATTCTTTTAGCCTTTTCTCTCAAACCGTGTATGAAGTTGATACTTGGGGCATGAAATCACTTTGACAATTGGGTGGTGTTTGGTTTGTGGATGGAATGTAATCTAGATTTGGTAAAATGGAATATAGATAAGAGTGGAGTGTGGAGAGAGTTTGAGAGTAGATAAGAAACTGAAATTTGGTAAAGAATGCAATTGGTATTGTTTCACATTTCGGGGGATTGACAGTTGATGGGAATGGCCATTTCTTTCCACAATTTTATCCAATAAACCAAACATTGTCTTCTACATAGCATTATAAATGAAAGTAATGTATTAAATGGGATCTGTGGCATTTTTTAGCAAGCCTTGTGGATTGACAGCACGAGATATTGTACTTTTATCACTGATATATCTCGTGCTTATTGCCTTGATCTACCTCTGTATTGTGTGTTTATTACTTTGTTATTGTGTATATTTCAACGGCTTGAAATTATTTGTATAATGTTGGTGTGCAAGGAAATATGGTTTCTAAAGTAAAGCTGATGATTGTTTAGGATCAAAAGTTCCAAGGAAAGGTGTCATCCCTTTCCCATACAAAGACCGTCATAAGTATAATTAAGGAGAAATTGAGTCCACAACAATTACAAAGGTTCTAGGACAGTTGTTTTGATCATCTATTACTGATTGAGGACCTTAAGTAGACTGCACAAATTGTCCACAGGTTGTTGCTGGGGAAGGCTGATCCGAAGACAGTTTCCCAGCTGAACGGGATAAAATTCATTGTTGGTAATAAGGTGATACAATTCACGGGGCAGCAGTTTTGCGTCATCACGGGGCTAAGGTTTGAAAATCTACCTTTCATTTCGATTGTGACTAACGAAAACTGCTCATTAAAAAAGAAATACTTCTGCAACAATAAAACTATGACCCTTTTTGAACTAGAAAAGGCCTTAATCGACTGCGATGATGAGGAGGATGTTGTGATGCTTGGATTTCTATATTTTGTTGTTTTTGTGCTGTTGGGTAGTGAAAAACATGTCAACATTGACATCCGGTATTTGAAATTGTCGGAAGACCTTGAAGAGTTTTAGAAGTATCCATGGGGCACTCTTTCATATGCGAAGACAAATGCCTCACTTTTGAGGGCACTTTGTGCAGATTACCATCGAGTAAAAGTGCCCCAAAAAACTATAAAAACAAAAAAATCTAAAAAGAAATCAAAGACAACAGCAAGTGGTAGACCAAGAGAGTACCATATAAAAGGTTTTGGCTTTGCACTTCAGGTGAGCAAATATCCATAAATTTATAAGTTCAATTTAATTTCTTTACAGTGATTGATGTTCTATTGTTCAAAATAGATTTGGGCTTTTGAGGTGTTTCCAAAGTTGGTTGTACTGCATTTTGTTGTGTACGAAGAGAATGGCCACATCCCCCGTGTATTTACTACAATGGAGGAGCAATACTTCGGCTCGTTTTCATGAGCTAATGAGCCAAGTATTCGAAAACTGTGAGGTTATTTTTATGTTCATTATGATTATGTTTTGCATAAGAAAAAATAATAAGTCTACTGATATGTATTTTATATGTGTAAATTGGAGGTTGATGTGCAACTTCTCCGCCCAACTCTAATTGACAAGCGACAGCCCTATTGGACTTAGGGTGAAAATGATGAAAACACTGAAAAAATTGTTGAATTGTTTGCCGACGAGACCCAAGAAAATACCAGCACTTCTGCTGAAGAAAAAGATGACGAAGTTGAGGAAACAGCTACCCTTCCCTCATCTTCTAAGGTGAGCATGACCTTTTTGCAATATATAGGTCATAATAAACTTAATATTGCTGCTATATAATCAGTATATGTATATAGACAATACGATAGCAATATAGTAGCAATATTTGTGTTATATTTTGTAAGTATTGTAACAGTTTCATTATAACTGTATGCATGGTAAACTCTCGTTGACTGAGTTACGCACTTTGAAGCATGAGTTTCAAACCATAAAAGATGAATTGGCAAAGGTAGCCAGTTCAAATCGAGCGCTTAGAAAGAGAGTGCGTGACTTGGAAGAGTCTTTGAAACATAAGAAAGAGTGTCAAAAAATACAAAGTGTGTGGAGGATTTCAGCAAGACCCTCGCTTCAATGGAACACTATTTTACGCTGGAGATATAAGACTTGAAAAAATGAAATGGTGGGTTGAATGAACATGATGAAGGACATGAAGAAGTGGGTAATCCTCATATCAATGAAGGAGACGACAATGACATGTCGCCTGTTCATGAATATATTACTCCAACTATAGAACCAGCAGAAATGGACACACAAGTCCCTGGTGATGGAGCCAAAGCCTTCGTAGCCATGCAAGTCCAAGAGGCAGAAATTGGCAATTCAGTTCCTGACAAACAAGTGCAGCAAGAAGCTAAGAAGCTTCCTACTCCGGAAGATGTGGACGGGTGCGGAGTAATCTGCAAAAAACTGTTATCTTTGTTAGAGGATTGGAAGAAGAGCGACATTAAGACATTGGGAGGTCAAATGAATCCTTTCATCATAGCCAATGTTACTGTGGTTGGTGATGAAGTGATTAGGGAAGGTAGTGCTACTATTGAAAAACAAGATGTGGAAGGTAAAGGGTGCAGAAAGAAACGATCAGCCACCACATTGTTGAGTCCATTTACCAATCCCTTGAGGAAAAAGAGGACGATTACTGTCAATATAAATAAGGAACACACCATGTTGTATAGCAATACAATCCAAATTATGCAAATTTAACAGAATTCACAATCCACATAATACCAAACCCACCATAAATAAAATTCAAATTGACAGTACCTAACAAACCAACACAAATCATATTGTCTAAGATACATTACGCAGTAGAAGATTGTTTTTACAGGTGATTTTATTGTGGCCCGTGGAACCGCACCTTGAGCACTTTCTTGTAATGGTGCCCTCTCCTTGCGAGGGAATCCTTAGCTTCTTCTGTCTGCCTGGCATGACTTTTGCCATGGGAGGTAGCACAACTCGACTTCGGACATATTCAGAAATAACCCATATTCCTTGAGGCTGTACCGGGTAGAAGGTATCTGTTTAAGCATCCAACCAGGTTTTTCGAGTGTAATACCCAGAAGTCTTAGAGTATACATTTAGTTTCAAGAAGCGGCAAACTGCAACTATATGCTTGCAAGATAGCTGCGCAAGCTGAAACTTCCTATAAGTACAATTGTTGTTCGTCAAATGTACAAGGCCGTCCATATCACCGTCTACAACATTATACTGTACATTATTTAGTTTAACAACATTCATCCTTACAACATCATCCTACCTATTCCTCAATCTCTTCTCACCAAAATTGGGGCACAATATTTTTGTGCATTTCAAAGCCAACTCACAACATTTGGTGAACCATTTGACAAGTGGATTAATAATTTCCCCTATCAAATGAACCACTGGCAGCATCCTTGCAAACCTAAGGACTAAGTTTATTGACTCCGCAATATTTGTTGTCATTACATTGTAGCGGCGTTCATCCATGTGAGCTCTAGACCACTTGTATAACCCTGCCTATTCAAGATATTTAGCAACCTGTTCCTTTCCCTTGATCTTGCGAAAATAACGATCAAATTCAACCATTGAATAAGATTTCGCAGTCTGCTCAAAGTGCATCAGCATTTTATCACGCTTTTTCAACTTGCAAGTGTGTTTCATGTTCCCCTTCATATGATAAAAGCATATGCCATGTTGCATTGTTGCGTTGTTGGAAAAAATTTGCTCCACACATTCTCTATGCTAACATTGTGATAAAAAATGATAACAAGATTAGGACACTCACCAATGGCTTCATGAAGTTTAGTGAAAAACCAATGCCATGATGCATCTGTCTCCAAATCCCCAATCCCAAAAGAAACAGGATATATATTTCGATTACCATCGAGTGCATTCGCTACAAACATAACACCCTTGTACTTAGATTTTAAATGAGTGGCATCCAAGACAATCACTGGGCGTATGGAAGAATGAGACCCCTAATACATGTGCCAACTGCCATAAAAAAAAATACACAAATTGATTGTTCTCATCAGTATGGATGTGTCTCTTTGTGCCGGGATTCATACGCTCCAATTCATAGCAATAGGCTGGAATGATATAATATGCCTCCTCATCTAATCCTCTAATTGACATTACATTAGAGCTAACTCCCTTGCTTTCCAAGCTTTCGAATAATGAATGGTCAAACCAAAGTTGTGTTTCATATATCTCATTATGTTACTCGGTGTGTATATTATCCGAGAATCCTTCAACTTCCTTTTCAATGAAGTAGCTACAAGTGATGTGGTTGCTTGATGATGGTTGTCATTACCAATCTCAAATCACATTCATGGCTAGCTGTACACTTCACAATCATGAATTTGTATTCTCCAATTCTCAATGCTCGGACCTGTCATGGGCATAGATGTTGACAACAAACCACAAGTAACATCTTAGTGCAAGAGAATTGCATCTTAAATTCAAAGTGGCCTCTCAATGTCACCAACCGTAACTTGGTCAATAAGACTCCCTTACTAGAGAAAATTTGCCCAACTTCAATTTTCAGATTCCAATCACTTTGTGAATACCCTGTGTCCAAATATGCTTCTCCATCACTTACACAGGCCACATTGTATTGGTTGTGTTCACCCATTTCACTCAAATAATGTTCATGAGTGAGTTCAGATTCTCCTCCTAAACGCATTATTGGCAATTAGGCTAATGTATCCAAGCGGCCCAAAATATGAAGGGCAGAGTACATTGACACTTCATTTGTTTCGATACCATTATCACCACCATGCATCTCCTCCACCTCGCTAAAATCAATCATGTCCATAAAATCTGTCTCAACATCACCTCTCACATCAGCGACATTTGTATTAATCCAAGTTACTTCTTTACTTTCAACAATGGAAACTAAAGAACGACCCATCTGACTACTATCTATCGTAATATGCATACTATCAACTACATCATTTGTCAGTCCTCTATCTTCTATACTCACAAGTAAGGGAGCTAGTTTTGAAGGTCCCTCACAATTGTACTTCATAAAAAATTTGACATCATCATCATCCTCAATCTTTATGTGCTTCCACTCATTCGAGACCATCAAAACTGAGAACTTTAAGCACACTTTGTCTTCCCTGCTATTTGTATTACCAATCTTATGCACATGATCCAACAGTTCAGCAAATGTGATGGTCTGTGGTACTATTAAGCCTTTTGAGTCACCCCCTTCGTATTTGCACATCTTTTTTGAGGTTACCCATTTTCTATTGTAGCAAACCAGAATAACAATTGTCTCCATTTTTTACCATGACAAAACAACATTTCATTAACACATGTGAAGCCACAAGCAAATCACTGCAATACAACCACAATAAACAGGCAATACAATGGCAATACAACAGGAATATAATGGCAATACAATAGCAACACAACAACAATACAGCAACAATAACACAACAGTGAATAAGGATTCATCACAATCAGACTATACAAATCTACTACATCAAATGAAAAATCTCAAGTTTCAAGATTCACATAGCCAGAGCAATTTAAATCCATTTGGTAAAAACCGAGATGGATGAGCATGAAGATTCAAAAACACAACCCAAAGCAATCAAAATAAAACCAATTTCACAGAAACCCACAGAGATTAAGAAAATGACCATCAAAACTACCTATTGGAGGTTGGTGCTGGAGTTGAGCTTCAAGGTTGCAAGCAGCTGCGACCTTACGCTATTCAGAAGACATACCTAGAAGATTGGGTCGAGGGGAGGTTTCACGATTCAAAACAGAGAGATGAGAACAATTCAGAATAGAGAGCGTTAGGAGAGGACCGGATGTGGGAGCACGAGAGAGCTACGGGAGAGGGATAGAACTGCACCCCGAGAGAGAGAGAGAGAGAGAGAGAGAGAGAGAGAGAGAGAAAACAAAACTAACCAAAAGTGTTATCTAGTCAATAAGTGAGTAATAAGTATGTATTTATAAGTTATATTTGCAAAACATGTGGGGACATGTGGTATTTCTAGATAAAATTTGGAAATGAGTGGCATTAAGAACTATTTCCCTTAAAAAAAATTTCTGAATTTTTTGGTAATTTTTCAGAATTTTTTTTTAATTTCGCTAACGTCAGCACCTCAAACAGCTGTTCAGGCTATCTTGCCTTGGGCTTACTCTGGACTTGGCGGCTGTTGCCCGGGCTGGATGTCACCACTGGAGCTGATTTTGGAAGACCAGGAGACCTTTTGCCTGGGCTGGGCTGTGCTCTTGGAATCCATTCGTCCAAAAAGTACCTCTCCGAACCCAATATCTTCCTTCCTCTTGTGCCAAGAGACCAAGAATCAAACGTGGGCTCCTCATCAACTATAGCGCTCCCTCATGCGCCCTCGATTGCTCGTCTGCTGTCGTCGGTCAGGTACTGTTCTGTAGCAGCGCCGTCGTCTATCAGGTACTGTTCTCTCCTCTGGAACTGAGTCGTTAAATCTTTCGTTCCAGATCCAGATCGATACCGTACCGTGATTGGGTACGCTCGATCCAGATCGAAATTCGTAGGGGGTGAGCGAATTAGGCAACTATGGTCTCAACGTGCCCCACGATGTTATCTTTGTCGCGCATTTCTTCAAATAGCTTGCCTTATCTTCCTTCAAATAGCTTGCCTTATCTTCCTTCAAGATCACCGGCAAAAGTAACCCGGATAAGAGCTACATCTGCGGATACAGGACACAATCAACCACCCTCCTCTTCTTCGGAAAAAAGAATCCACTTGCTGTTGTTTTGGATGCTCCTCGAACTATTTGGAAGGCAACATTACGACCATTGAGTGATTTTGGGTTTGGTCGTAGAAGCATATGGGAAGGTGGGGTGGGGTTGTTTCTAGTTTCTGGTGCAGTTCTCCTTGCACTCAGTTTGGCCTGGTTGAGGGGGTATCAATTGCGGTCTAGATTCAGGAAATACTTTGCTGTGTTTGAGTTTACTCAAGCTTGTGGAATATCCACTGGAACACCAGTGAGGATTAGAGGGGTCAATGTCGGCAGTGTTGTCCGTGTTAACTCTTCCTTGGAAAGTATTGAAGCAGTTGTTGAGGTGTGTTTCAGTATCATAAAACTGTGATAATGGAAATATAATATGTTTTTACTTTTTCATCTTGACAATGACATTACTGCTTTTGTAGGTTGAAGATGATAAAACTGTGATACCTCGAAACTCGCTGATTGAGGTAAACCAGTCAGGTCTTCTCATGGAAACTAGAATCGACGTTACACCTAGATATCCAATTCCCAATATTTCAGTTGGGCCTCTTCATCCTGAATGTGACAAAGAAGGTCTTATTGTATGCGATAGGCAAAAGATGAAAGGATATCAGGGGGTAAGCTTAGATGCATTGGTTGGTATATTCACTCGTCTTGGACGTGAAGTGGAGGAAATTGGTATTGCGAATACGTATTCACTTGTTGAACGAGTTGCTTCTGTTATAGAAGAGGCAAAGCCACTGCTTATAAAGGTGTGATGTGCCCTCTTATGTTTTCTTTAGCGATAATTGTCAGTGTTGATCTGGATAACAGTGCCCCACCCCCTTTTCATTTGCTTGCCGGGATCCATAAGCTTGTTGGTTCTGAAGAAAAAGATTATTAGAGCTATTCTTACCAGTTCTGTTCATTAGGATATCGTGGATGAGAAACTATTTGTTCTAGAATTTATTAGGGCCACATCTATTTGCTTCATAAAGGCAAAAAGTGTAGGGACTTCATCCGCCATTTGGCATCAGGCAAAGGAATCACACTTTCCTATGGCACACCTGTGCATTTGTGGGAGGTCCTGGAAGATAACATGTACATATCACGATCGGAAAACTGCAATAGGGATTTACATATCTTTCAATATCCTAAGACTTAATAACTATTAAGTAACCTTTTTTCGTCTGATTTGTAAAATTAAAGTTGAAGTAGCCTAAACCCATCTATTTAACAATTTACTTATACTAATTTGAAAGATTGCCCATTCAGGATGCAAGTCATCTGAGAAATTACAAAGCTTTTTGAAAGAATTGATGTCAGTTACAGATTCTAATTGTTTGACTGCATTTAAGTTGTCAGGGCATGAATTTATTTTTACATAGATAAGGTGGCTGACTCTCTGATAGATGAATTTTGCCATTAAGAGTACACAAATTTATCCCCTTTTAGCAGACTAGGTGAAACCCATATACTCTGATCCCTTAGGAGTGTTAACAAGAAAAGCATCAGTACGTAGCTTATAATTTTTAGATTTTAGGACACTGTGACATGTTTTAAGTTCCTTCGTGTTCAAGAAATTTGGTCCTCCCAAGTTGAACTTCTAATATGTTGACTGGCTGCCAGTGCCTATTTTTCGTAGCCACAATGGAAACATCATGGCATAAAAGGGCTCTGTATTTCAGCAAAAAGCCAAAAACTGTGAAATATATAGTTCTTTCTCCTTTCAGTGATATTACTGCTGTATTTTCTTCTTGTGATGTGCTGCTGGAATTGGTGTCAGTTTCACAATCACAATGGCCAGAAAATCCACTTTGCAGAGCAAATCACCTATATTAGCATGTGTATGTGTTGCAGTGTGTATCTTTCTGTGTGCCCACATGCATAGGCATACATGGGGTTTGCACTTGTTTCACTTTTTAAATTTAATTCATCATTTGTACCATGATTTTAATATGTTCTCATGCACAATTATTTGGCTTTGATGTAGTGATTTCTCAGATACAAGCCATGGCTGAAGATGTTCAACCTTTGCTGGCTGAGTTTCGTGATAGTGGTCTGCTAAAGGAAGTTGACAGTTTGACCAGAAGCCTTACGCAAGTTTCGGAGGATGTGAGGTGAATAGTCTCAATTTATCTATATTTAGTTTTTTTCTTTCTTTTTGTAGTAGTTAGCTTATTAATATATTTAGTGATTCCTTGTCTTTATCTTTATTGCGATGTTTGTTTAAGGTGTTCTAAGTCAATGTTCTGAATAACGTTATGTAGCTGTAGAAGTCTCTGACTTTTAACACTCACATTATGTTTACTGATACTGGAATTATGAACAGCACTCATTTATCCATGTCATAGTATTCATATATCCCAAATAGACCTTCAACAGAACTCTATCGAAGGTTTAAAGAAATGTCGGAAAGTTTTATATGGAAATCTCCCTCTGTCTCTGTCTCTCTTTCTCTCTCTCCTCTCTCCCTTGCCCCCCTTTCTCCTTTCTCTTTCTATCCCTCTCTCTGTTTTGATTAGAGGCTAATAGTAATGACATAGAGTATGCTTTTCTGCAGAAAGGTGCATTCATCTATTATGACCCCTGAGAATACAGAACTGATTCAGAAGTCCGTGTACACTTTGATTTTCACCTTGAAGAATATTGAGGTGATCCTAGCTGCCGAGTGATTACATTATCCTGTGGAATTTTTTTCCTGTAATCTCTTTTATATCCATCTGTTTTCTTGTTTAATTGTCTTTATCATTCTTTCATCATTGCAGAATTTAAGCTCTGATATTCTTGGATTTACGGGTGATGAGGCTACAAGAAAAAATTTGAAGTTACTGATCAAGTCTCTCAGCAGGCTATTGTGAAGACTGAAAGGTGGACATAGGATAGTTACTTACCTTAGTTGAGTAGATGTCTAGAAATGATTTCTTGCATCCATTATAGTGGGGATGGGTGAAAAAGAAGTGTGGCTTTTTTTACTTTTTAATGCACAAAAAGGTTTCAATTTGAGAGCTACATTTGCATTCTCTAATCTGGTCAATTCAAGTTTTGTTGATGTTTCCTCATAACCTAAGTAGATATAAAGTCGCTTATTCTTTTGTGCAGATACCTGTTGCTATCAGAAACCATCATTCCAAGTTGAAAATGTTCATTCCAAATATTTATCTTGGAGCCTCTATGTGTTTGGCATGGGGCCCCCTTTCCCAATTGAAGTATGTTTCTGATCTGAAGTATTTTATGACAAGGAATTTTTCAGTTTGACATGGACATAAATTTTACAACTCAATAGTGCTTAAGTTGGCCTTATGCAAAGTATAACTAGTGGAGATATGTTTATGTGGGCTGCCCCCAAATTTTCAAAAAGTAAAGTTACCAAGAGTCGTGCCTGTGTGTGTGGCTGTCAGTCGTTAATGCAAGCTGGTTCCACAACGCAACGCGCAAAGAGCATTGGGAGCCTTTTGCATGGCAACCCCCGATCCAACCCTCCATCCATTTAAACATATCCACAATCAATAGTATGAATTTGATGTCTTTATTTACATTTGTACTTATTAAGTTTGGAAGCTATGAAAACGAAGGGGGAACCATCTCAATAGGTTAGCGATGCCCCATCTTTAATAAGGTGAGATCCCACGTATCTTTACCAGCTGATCTTTTGTACTGTGTTTGTCTGAAAAACAAAAGATGTACTTGAATATTTTGCATCACATGTTCACATATTGAGTGGCAGGATCTGAAGAAATGAAAGATTATGAGGTCATAGACTTTCAATCAATTAATGTGGATGCTGAATTTCGTTTTGTCCTCCACTTATAACTTGCGTGACTTGAAACCAAGAAGGTGAATACCATCATTTATTGCAACGTCGGTTTTCCCCGGATCAACTTCCATTTTTTTGTTTTCTACCAAACGGATCAACTTCCATTTGATATAGAGTAACATTAGAGATATCGCGTGGCACTTATGGTGGTTCGCTATAATATCCAAGGTCACGTGACTTGGACAATGGTGTTTGTTCTGGGATCATAGCCCCTACTCTACTGCTCGAGTCAATGAGATGTTAGTTGGATTGGCTCAGGTCTTTAGTGAGCTACAAAGTGGTCTTGTCTTGGGTTCAAATTTCACAATTTCTATGTGTCTAAGTTTCCCCCCTCCCCCTTTCTAACTTTGGTAAACAAAAGAAAAATGGTGAAACCACCTTTGCTCCACCTCAGTAATTCCTTATACAAAGTTAGTGAATCAAGTGCACATAATAGACCGAAAAAAATGTTATAATTCACTCTTGTGAAAATTCCTATTAAGCATGATGAAATTTCATTGTGGCGTTGGTGATAGAAGTTGTGGTGACAATAGTTGTCGTTATAATGGTGGCGGGGCTGACGAGTGATAGTGGCGGTGAGGTTGGAGAGAGGAAATTTGTTCAAGATAATATTAATAAAAGGTAATGATGGAACAAAATTCTCTCTGGTTTTAGTTTTTTGTTAATTGTGTGGTGAAGAAGCTTAAGCTTAAACATTGAGATTCCATGAGTGTGATCAAGAAGCTTAAGCTTCTTGCTTTATCTTTCCTAGCTTTATAAACACACATTATTACACACACTTTGGATATCATCAACATCTTTATTGTAAGTGGAGCAATTTGGAGACAAGCAAATCATTAGGTAATCGACTGCAAACTAACGTGTCCGTAAGGTTAGGGCTTTGAAATCTATTGGACAAACTATCTAACTCACCTTGCAATCGAATTATCTAATTAATATGATTATAAATAGTACATCCTTTATGTTGGGCTAAAAGCCTCTCCCGTGCTAATTTATTACATAAAGAAAAGAGATGATGTTGGTGATACAGAAAATCTTGGAGCTTAAGATAGCTCCTAAAATCAGGTTTTGGCTAATTCATTTCATAGTTGTTTTGGTCTGTTTCGACCTCGTACTTGTAATCGTGTGGCTCATAGCCTTGTACGTTTCGCACTTTCTATTTCGAACCTTATAGTTTGGATGGAAGATGGACCTGAATGGTTGTCTCTCATTCTTGCTAATGATGTTATGCTTGCTTCTTAATGCAATGTTATGATCTGATTCTAAAAATAAAAAAAAATAAAAAAAACTCCTAAAATCAAGAATTTGGCTTGGTTGTTTTTGCAAAAAGTTCAATATTATGACGCTATATTCAAATAGATACTATGTGTCCTATGTATCAACAAGGCATGCAGCACCTAATCATTTTGGTGGATAAGTTCGGCGTTACATTGGTAATTAATATTGTGGATTGGTTTGTCTCTAATTGGCATATTTTGCCTATACTTTTTAGAGAAAATATAATTACAATTGCCCTTACAATTTATTGGCAAATATAGTTCAATTTGAGTTTTGAGATATTCAGGCGGTTCATCGTAGTAAAGAAAAACAAGAGGCAACTCAACATTGGAAAAATTAAATAGGATCCTTTTGAAAATATTTGTTGATTTGGGGACGGGGGAGAAAAACTTGTTTGGCACGAGGATGCCAAGGTAAGCTTTCCACGTCAGTATCCTCCTCCAATTGCATCTTGACAGTTGGTCACCACTTTCAGCCTTCATCTCACTGGCTCTCTTTCTTTCTCATCTCTCCCTCTCTCTCTCTCCGTGTTGGTAATATTGGAGACCGGTCTCCGGATCTAAAGCCACCTCAAATTTGGAGGTCGGCAAAGTCGCCACGAGGAGAGTGAGAGAGCCGGTGAGAAGGAGAGAGATGATGCCGACGACGATGTAGGAGGGGACGGGGGCTCGGAGGGTGGATGGTGGCGACAGCGAGGTTGACACTGAGGCCGACTATTGTGAAGGGGAAGCAGCGGTTGGAAAGAGAAATTGGTCTGAATGTGATGAGGGGGGGGGGGGGGGGGGGGGGGGAACCCTCCTCCTTGGCATCTTTTGTCATTAACATCAAGGGATTAATGCAAGTTTACAAATTCTTCAAGTAGAACATGTCTATTGAGTGGTGGCCATTAATCATGATAAATATAATACTTGTATTTAATTTTCAAATTTCATTATTTATTTCCTTAAAACTAATGTATGATATCAAAATATAAATACTCTTCAAGGATTTCGTTATATATTATTTTTTGATTTAAAAAAAAAAAAAAAAAAAAAAAAAAAAAAAAATTAGTGGGATAGTAGGTAGGCTTGAATTTATGTTTTCCAGACTGCGCCAGCAATCAGAAATAAGCTTATTTTAAAAAAAAAAAAAAAAAAAAAAAAAAAAAAAAAAAAAAAGAAAAGAAAAAAACTTAAAATAAAAAAAAAAAACTTAAAATTGAAAATAAAAGGTTGTAAACTTGTAGCTGCTATCTTGGGGATGTGACACCTTTTCAGGTAGCCGACACACCATTACCTTGTTTCTAACACTCCATCACCTTCCACATGCACCCATTTGCATACTCTCAATACAAAAGTCAAAAAATTATATAAACAAATTCGAAATAATAAATAAATCATTTAAAAATTCATACGCTACCAATAAAAAATGAAATAAAATAAAATAAATAAATTTTGGTTTTCTGCCAAGATTCCCACCCAGCCAGTTGCTCTGCAACAATTCCTGAGAGACCCTTTGGCTTTCCCTGGCTCAACAAACAATCACTCGTTCACTTCATTTCTGAAAACCCAAATAAATCAATCAAAGGCTCCAAAAGCAACCCAAGTGGGGCAGCTTCAGATTTTCTATCGTTTTATGATGTGCATGTGTGTTTTGTGTGTGGTGAGTTTGTGTCAGGCCCTGACAGCTCCTTCTAACTCAATCATACAATAAGCCTGGCATCAATATTCCCAATCTCTCTCCCTCTTTCTGTTTTGCTGCAAAGAAAAGAAATTTCCAACACCAACCCATTCCCATTCCCATTCCCATTCCCATTCCTATTCCCATTCCCATTCTCATGTTCACTGCACAAGGCACTTCTCATCTGTACTTCTTCGTTATCACCCGGTCTTCTTAAAGAAAGGTTGCTTTTTTAAGTGTCTTTTTATTTGTGATCTGGAATTTTCTCCATCAACTCGGCTAATCATTTTGTTTTTATCCTCCTTACCCAAAAAGCAAAAATTATAAAAGCCAAACAATGTTTCCAAAACTTGCTTCTTTTCCCCATTTTTGGTTTTATTGAAAGTTGAAGAAATTGCAAATGTCACCATTTCGGTTACAGTAATTTACTCAATTTTTTTTCTCTGCTGGGTTGGTGATTGTTCTCTGTCTTGCACAATCATTAATGCCATTTGTTGAAACCCCTTTATTCATTTCTTTGTTGATGATTTGATTTGATCTGATTGATATTTTAGTTATATATTTGATGTCTCTGGGTTTGGCCTCTAATTTCTTGATTTTCTTTTCCTGAAAAAGATGTCTACCATTATTACTGCCAAAAGCTCACACCTACCAAACCTGAATCTTGTGCATTGCATGTTTCTCTACTTGTGTTTTGTGGGATTAAGCCCTTCTTTGGTAACAAATTTCATTTACTTGTAAAGCTTACTAGCATTTTCCTATCTCTGTAACCCGTCAAAGTCCACAGATTGCTTCAATCTTGGCACCAAGAAAAAAAGCCTTTTTTTCCATCTGGGTATTGAGAAAAATCCTCCCTTTTGAATCCCCCTGTCGTAACTTTGTCTTCGCATATATAAAATCTTTGAGTTTCCAATCTGGGTTTTGAGAAAAAAACGCTTTCTTAATAGCCCCTTGTGCAGGATTCTTGTGTTTATGCGTGAAAGCTTGAAGCTTTTCATCTGGGTTTGGAACTTTTTTTGTCTGATGCCTATTGGGGTGTCCAAAAATGGCAAATCTCGTCCCTGGTGTGCTTCTCAAACTTCTACAGCATATGAACACAGATGTGAAAGTTGCTGGTGAGCACAGGTCCTCTCTATTGCAAGTTGTGAGCATTGTTCCAGCGCTTGCAGGCGGTGAGCTTTTCCCAAACCAAGGTTTCTACCTTAAGGTATCAGATTCCTCTCATGCCACCTATGTATCTCTCCCTGATGAACATGATGATTTAATTCTCAGTGATAAGATCCAACTGGGTCAGTTTATTCATGTGGACCGGCTCCAAGCCGCTACCCCTGTCCCCATTCTCCATGGGGTTAGGCCAGTACCAGGGAGACACCCTTGTGTGGGGAGCCCTGAAGACATTGTTGCAACTGATTCTCTTGGATTTCTTAACAATAATTCGCGGTCAGGTTTGAAAACTGTAGAGAAAGTGAAACCTGAGTCTAAAGTATTAGGAAATGGTCATGCTGGAGAAAGGGACAAACATGGAATAGTGAGATCAAATGGTAGTGCTAAGGAGGAGCAATTGGATAAGAAAATAGGGTCTTTTGGTAGATCAAAGTCTCAGCCATCAAAACCAGCATTAAATGTTGATGTGAAGAAGGAATTGCCGAGAATAAAGTCGTTGAATTCACGGTCTATCCCATCATCTCCCACAAGTTGTTATTCGTTGCCAACTTCTTTTGAGAAATTTGCAAATGGGGTCAAGCATCATGCAAAAGTCAAGGGAACACCTAAGGTGGTGGGAGTTTTGGGAAAGGCAAGTTCTGCTCGTGGGGCTAGTCCTGGGAAGAGATCAGTGGTGGGAAACCCGATGAAGAATTTTGTTCAGGGGTTTGAACTGGGAGCCAAGGCCCTGAGGAAGAGCTGGGAAGGAAATATGGAGGTGAAGAATAGAGAGAGTTCAAAATTGAGGGCTACCACACATGATCCGAAGCAAGAAGTTCGGATGTCTGTAAGTTTTACAATTCTTCCTTATTAATTTTGAAATTGATGTTATTTAGTTTTTACTTGTTAAAAGTTTGCTTAAGTGTACTTTGGGTTCATTTAAATTGATTCTGTTCCTTTATTTGAGATTAGATTGATTTCTCATTTGGTGGATCTTCTGAGAGAAAATTTTGATTTTGGAGATAAACAACTCAAATTAAATGTGCCAGCAATTATGAATTTTAGGGTTTGAAAAATCTTCTTCTTCTCTCTCTGGTTTTGATTCAATTTTGCGGTAAATTCCAAAAGATGTAGAAAGTAATTCAATGTTTGGTGTTTTATTTTCTCTTGTACAAATCAATAAACTATATTTATTATTTGAAAAAACTTGCATTTGCCAGGCTCCTAGAAAAAGTACATCAAGTGAGAGGTTGCCATCTAAAGAGGAGAATAAGATCCAGATGTCTGCAAAGTCATTGAAAGAAGAGAGTAATGTTCAAATGTCTACGAAGAAAGTTACTGCAAATGGAACTTTGGGTGATCAAGATAGGTCAAATAAACAAAGAGTTGTTGGAAAGAAATCAACAGATGCTAATAATGGATTGCCTGCAAACTTGGTCAAGGTTTCTTTAAATAATAGAAAATTGACAGATGGAAGTTTTCCATGGGCTTCACTCCCATCATCAGTTGCAAAGCTTGGAAAGGTATATTTTCTGTAACATCTTAGATCTTGGTAGATGTCTTAGCATAAATGTTCTTGTCTGCCTATTAAATGTACTACAGTGTTTTCCTTCTGCAATTTTTGTTGGTAGATGCTGCAGAAGTCAATTAGAGAATCTTATAAAATAACGAAGTCAGATATCTGAGGTCCCCAATTGTTCTTGCATATATAGGGTTACGGGCTTGTGTTAATTTCTTAGCTTTTGATCTGCTGTGTGCCAATGAGTTGTTTTGATGTTTCAATTTTCTTAATTAGCAGACAAGTTTGTAGTTTCATTTTAAATATGAGGAAGAGTTAACTTTTCTTTTCACTGAAATTTCAGTGACATTCAGTTTAATTGGTGTTCTGATCTTTGTGAGAATATATATTATGCTGTACAGCTCAGCTCTTCTTTTTCTTAAAATATGCTTTTACGTCTACTATGACAGGAAGTTTTGAGACACAGGGATGCAGCACAAATAGCAGCAATAGAGGCGATGCAGGAGGCCTCCGCTGCAGAGAGCTTGCTACGATGTTTGAGGTATAACTACATCTTTTTGACAGTGACATGGAATATATTATTTTATTGTTTGTAAGTTAGACTTTTGTGGATTTGCTTGAAGTTTCCTTCTAATGGTGCTCAACATAATCAGTGGCCAAAAGTTTCAATGTCATAAAAAATTGAGCACTTGTCAATTTGATTGATTTTTCTTTAAGCCTGTTTGTCAAATTTTCAAAGCACCGAAAAGAAAATTTCATTTGTCATGTAGGTTTAAAATTCATTCACTTATTTCATTAAAAAAAAAGAAAGAATAATAATTTCACTTAAAAGTCATGAAAGCATAAGCAATCATCATGTTGGCGGTCATGCAACGTGCATTTAGTTATTCTGGAGGCACCACGTCATGGTAGAAGTGTCGGGATATGAATGGTAATGGTGGGTTGCTGGACTATGAGAGATATATTAACTCTCATTTGGCTTGTTAACAAGAAGATCTTTTTCACTTATACCTAACTCACATAATATACACAATATTTTTGGTCTTGGGGTTGTTAATGCATTTAGTTATCATGAAGGCAAAGGCCATGGTCAGAATGATAAATATGCATGGTAGTCACATGTAGGGTTGATGGGGCCAGCCATACTGATCTAACCACGAGATAGTGGCAGGTGAATACAATTCAGTTAGAATTTATTTTCTGTCACTATCGCCAATGGAAACTCAATTGAGTTGGAATAAGGAAGGCCATCTTCCAATCCAAGTTGTATATGATATTGTGGTTGGATAGTAAAAATGGTTGGACATTCAGACCCAGAAGATATGGAACAGTCATTAGAACTTCATGCGTAGTTTTTTCGTGGTTATTGACAATATAATGCTAAAGTGTGATCCTTAGGATATCCAAGCTGCAGCTAGATGGTCATTGTGATCCCTGCAATCCATATATTTTCCGACTCCTTTTCTGTTGATTCACTGTTAAATAGCTCTGGTTATTAGAGTTATACAGTTATCAGCATATATGGCATGGAGGCTGTTTTCTTTTCATAGTGTACTCTCATGAGATACTTGCACGATAGAAGCCTCCACCGAGATATGTTTAATTGTGATAGGACCCTTGTACTTTAGTATTCTGCATTTTCTGTTCTTAAATTTGTAGAGCTACTCTTACGGTGCAATTCATTTACCACCTATTTATGGAGTATCAGTAACTTTTAAGCTATTGTGGTTAGAGATACCTCAAATGTCTCGTTTGTTTGATAAACTCAGACAAAATACACGAATTGTAATATCAGTAGTAAACTCAAACTAGGTGTGGAAATGATGGATTTGTATTCCCTGGCTACAAGATACCCAAAAGCGACTATTTCCTTATCTTGGCATGATCAACTTTAATTAGGGATATAATATAGAAGGCTTTGGTCATGGATTACATATAATGTAGCTTTACCAAAAGCGCTTTAGTGAAAGTAGGTGGTGTCTGCATAACAGCGAAGTAAGCTATTTACCAAATGTAATAAGTCTCTATAAATTGGTCATAGGTTGTGCAATCAAGAATAGCATGTGCTTCAAATAGGGCACAAAAAATGTAGGTGAAGGTTTGAATTGTAATTAGGAATACCACTGATGCTTAGGAATCCAAAGCATATAACATAATTTTGAACAGGAGAATCACTTGTATGAAGTCACCTTGTTTGACCAGGGAATTTTGGGAGAATGGATTTGCTTAAAGGGTCTACGAACATCAACTTGTTTCACGACATTGTCAGGGATTTTAGAAATAATTAGATAGTAGATTCAGTTCCCTTTTGTTGTCATTTCTCACTTAAGTACTTGTGGGGGTGGTTAAGAGGTTCGATTGTATATTAGTACGAGTAAGTTAAGGGAAAGTGCACATCCACATTAATTTGTATAAATTTGTTGTACTCTATGATGTGACTATTTCATGGCTATTCCAGTCTTTCATATATACTTCTAATTGTGGCCAAGATTGATTTGCCTCTGGGCTTTTTTTTTTGGGGGGGGGGGGGGGATAAATTTATCTGTTGAATTTTTAGCCTAGGTTCTCTACTTTGTTGTCTGACATTCTTTTTTGTATCCTTTTACCTCGGTCCTGCAGCATATATTCTGGGCTAACTACCTCTGCCAAGGAAGATAACCCACAGCCTGCAGTGGAGCAGTTTTTAGCTCTCCATGCTAGCTTGAATAATGCTCGTGTAGTTGCTGATTCTCTATCCAAAATTATACCAGCTGGTTCATCCCCAGACCGTGAAGAAAGCCTATCAGAAGATGCACTAAAGATAACATCAGACAGACGGAAACAGGCAGCATCTTGGGTGCAAGCTGCATTAGCCACCAATCTGTCATCTTTTGCTGTATTTAGTAAAGAGTCCAGTTCAACCTCTGTTCCAGCTTCAGCTTCCTCTCAAAATCGAAAGATTGTCTCTGCAATTCAACCCATGTTAGTTCTAGAAAATTCTATGAAGAATACTTCAACAAAATCCCAAGTCAAAGTTCGCCAGACAGTTGGTTCCAAGCTTCCAACACCAGGAACTCCTCGCCGACTAGGGGATGGATCAGCAATCAGCCAAAAGCCACAGGCACAACCTCTACCCGAATGGAATAGAGGAAACGGCCTTGATGAGGCTGTTGACTTGGCTGAAATGTTGCGACTGCAATCACAAGATTGGTTTTTGGGGTTTGTGGAGAGGTTCCTGGATGCTGATGTGGACACTTCAGCTCTGTCAGATAATGATCAAATCGCAGGAATGCTAACACAGCTCAAGAGTGTGAATGATTGGTTGGATGATATTGGTTCTAGTAAAGATGAAGCAGAAACAAATGCTGTTTCAGCTGAAACCATCGAGAGGCTAAGGAAGAAGATCTACGAGTATCTTCTTACACATGTTGAATCTGCTGCGGCTGCACTTGGTGGTGGATCACAGTCATCACCACGAATTCGAACAACAGATACAAAAGTAAGAAAGTGAATCAATTAAACCCTAGTTTGGTCGTGTGTGTTTTGGTGTCTGCGGTTGCATAAATGCAGCAGCAAGCCCTGGATGCTGTGCCCTCAACCACCAAGTGGTCCTAGGAGCTCAGGCTGTTAATCTATGTACATAACTTCACATGGGTTTGAGGAGGTATAGATGGAAGGGTTGTTACTTACAAGAGAGAATTTGATTTGAAGTGCAAGGTGTCATTGCTTTTCTCCATCGTTTAATTCAATTGTTACCCGAAATTATACAAGATTGAAAAAATTGGGGAGCGGGGAATTTTTTGGTTCTTATAGTATCCTTATGAGCATTAGAGCTTCTTTTTCAATCTACACAATTAATCAGTTAGCTTTGCCATTTTTTCTCTTTTGAGAAAATTACTTTTTTAACTTAACCTTTTGTTTTCCATGTAAATTTTCTTCAAATTTTAAAAAATGTAATGGCAATCAACCATGGAAATGGCCATTTATCATGACAGAGAAATACCAAGAGCTAGTTATTTTGTTTCCTGAGTACTCCCAAAGCCTAACATGATACAAAAACTCTGCATGCAATTGCACCATCTTCTCAAAAGCAACCTTGCTCGTTTTGGTACCATGAATTATTTTACAAAATTCTTTCTTGCATTCCACAAACTCCACATAGAATAGCAAACAACTCCCAATCCTAAAGAAAGAGATCGACAAAGAGAGAGGAGGAAGAAGAAGCACATTTGCTTCTCTCTTCTCCTCTTCTATTTTTTCCCTTTTTTCTTTGAGGTTAGTGTATAACAAGTCCCTTATAGTTACTTGAATAGCAAGACTCTTGCAGTGACTTCAATAATAAGCCTCTTGTGGTGATTTAGTCTAAACCATGCTTAGATATGAGCTCTCAATCACCTTTTTTGTTGTTGCTGTTAATTTCTCAATCCAATCTTTTTCCCGAAACCCTCCTAAATTTTTTCATTTTCTCTAAATCTATTTCTACCCCACATTTGAAGATGTTTGTCGTTCTTGCCCAATGTTGTTCCATTAAAGATTGTTCGCTATTATGCACAATTTTAAAAATGTATTTTTTTATTTTAAATTTTGAAAACCTATATTGATCGACCATCTACTTTAAATTAGGGCTATAAGAAAAGAAGAAGAAAAAAATGCATTGGGCTTTTATTATGCTTAGGTCTTATGACTTGGACTTATGTTTAAATGGCCCTGAATAAAATAAGGCCTTCTAGAAGCATCCAAATTACTTTTGGGACTACTGAGAATGAAAATGGGTGTAGTGAATTTATCTGATGCTCTCCTTCAATAAATAGCAAGTTGACCAGCGTAGCTGCAAGTCTTTCTGCATTGATTTCTAGCAGGAAAATGAGAGAGCCAAAAATGAAGCTTCTCAGAGCTCTCAAGCTTCTGCTTCCATTTCTAGTTCTTCACTTGCACTTCGCCTTCTCTGAAGTCTTCTTCGAAGAGCGATTCGAAGGTAAAAGAATCAGAACTATAATCAATAAACGCTTTTTTTATTTTCCCTTGGCATTTCCGCAGATTCCGAACAGTGTCTAGAAACTTCTTGCATTTCAGATCAGTCTTTAGAGCTTGATTTCTTAGATTTGCTTGCTGTTTCTCCTAATTAGTAGTGAAAGGGATGATTTTGGAGCTTGTATGTGGTTGTCTTGTGAAAAGTTTAAATGTATTGCTTAGTTTGAATGCTGTGCTCGGATTGACCAAGCTCTGTGTTACACCTTATTTGGTTTGTGAGAAAATGGAAGGACAGTAAGGATCATGAATCAAATGGATGCATGTCTGATTGTATATATTTTTATTAAAGCTTGTATAGTGACAAACTGTCAACTTTATGAAGTTCACTCAATTGATTATGAAACTGGGTGTCTGTTTGTGGGACAATTACTTGGTTGGTTGAATACAAAGTTTTTTCATTTATTCTTTGTTTTTGAAGTTTCTGATGTATTCTCATAAATAAATATATAATTTTTTTTTAAAAAAAGGTTTCTGATGTATTATAATGATTGTTGTGGAAAAAGATGGGTGGAAGAGCCGGTGGGTCTTATCAGACTGGAAAAGAGCAGAAGGAAAAGCAGGAACGTTTAAGTACACTGCAGGGAAGTGGTCTGGAGATCCGGATGATAAAGGTATCCTAACAACCCTTTGCTTATTAGTTCTGTTTTAGAACATATATCATTGATTTGTTGTTGAACTTACATTTAGGAAATAAAATGCTGTTTTACTGTTCATATTTTGTAGTTATGTAGAATTTATTGAGCAGTTTATATTATTTAATTCAGAAATAAACTGAGATAATATACTTTACACCTGAAAAATTATGTATATGTGGAATGTTTTTGTTCCAAATCAGATGCGATACTTTAAAATTTTCAATCATGGGTTCAAAAGCAAATGTGAACTAGTACTGTATTTGGTACCCTATAATTTACTGGTTTGAATGTTTTAGTAAGTTTTGGAGAATCTGAAGTCATAAATGAACTCAATGCTTAATTGTTAATTCATGTGTTTATTTAGTTTGATATTGAGTGCATGCATTTGACATGAGAACAGTTGTGTGATATGAGAAAAGTGTCCACTGAGAGCTGACATCTAATAACGTGACTCTCTGCCTCTTTGGTGCTCACAGTTGTACTTAAGGCTTAGGTCAAATCCATGGTCGTGCCTTGAGTTGGCCCTTGGACTAGTCTCTACAGTATTTTAAAAATGCGTTGTTAAATGTGTTTTTAAAATGTGCCTTCTCCTATCTCATAATATAGGAAAAGGAATATAAGAACAGTGGAAGGAGGACTGCTTAGAAAGAAGGGTAATATGTAGTCGCATTAAGAAGAGAAAAGATGAGATGTGGGTTGCAATAAAGAAATGATGACCTGTATCTAGATGGTTACTAATATGTTTTCTTCATTTTCTTATGATTTTTTCAGGTCAAACTATATAACACTGCTCATATTATGTTTCCTGGTGGACAACTCTGTAAAATTAAACTAAAATTTGGCATAAATTATATCAGCTTTATTGTCCTAGAATTTGTGTACTGAGATTAGTATGAACTTTCACTTTGGTTTGACAAACCAGTTTATGCTAAACAAAGAGTAATAAGATCACAAATAGTGAAAAACTTAACATGACAGAGGTAATAGTCATTACCATATAGGTTTGTAGGAATGGGAGAGAAATGCCTTTCTTTCATAATCAACATTTCGTGGTTTTCAATTTTTAATTATAAGCCACATTGGAGTCTCAATTTGTTAAGATTTCAGAGGGACGGACCCTTAGCCCACCACTAGCAACATCGATATTGTCTCCAACTTAACCACCTGTTTAGCAGGTGTGGGGTTTTATACAAAAGGCCTCGATGTTATTAGGAGTGGAACCATTTATTATATGGGACTTTCTATTTTGTTAAGTTTCCGATGTGGGACTCTTGTATTCTTCAACACAATTAATTAATGCCTTATATAACTGGAATTTGTGTACTGAGTTACCAGTGTCTGCATTTGATAGCTTAATTTCTGAAATTTATGCAGGCATTCAGACATATAATGATGCCAAGCATTTTGCCATATCTGCAAAAGTACCTGAGTTCAGCAACAAAAATAGAACTCTAGTTATCCAGTATTCAATTAAATTTGAACAAGAGATCGAATGTGGTGGTGGTTACATCAAACTTATGTCTGGCTATGTCAATCAGAAGAAATTTGGTGGTGATACTCCATACAGGTCTGTGAACATATTACCTTGTATATACATATTATTTATATCTCTATATGTGTTAAGTGTCTTTGAGGGTTTAAACATGTCAGGAGTTGCAAGGATTTCTTCTGCATATACAAGGAACCCAGCCAAATCTTGTTGGATTTGGATTTATACATTTCTATTATGCTCTAATAAATTATGCACACAGAGAAAGGAAAAGGTGTTGGCAACACTAAACATTAAAACATTGCGGAAGACTGCCTCTTCTACATATTTTCTAGGAAAGGAGTAATTAGACTGCAGGCCAAAGCCCTCCCACTAATGGGAGTCTTTTTCCAGGGGTCGGGGTCCATGTGGGTTATTGTGCATGGTTCTATTTAAGCTGACAATAGATACGCTAGAGCTGACTTTTTCATTTTTTTGGTGTGATATACTGTGCTTAAATGATCCATAACCAGATCCCATTGGTCAATGAGGATGCTTATAACAAACTTAGAAACAATAACGTTAGAATCCATATACTTCTCAAACATAACAAGCTGCACTTGTAGATAGGATATTCAGAAATATTTTTTGGATGTAGAATAATAGATAAGCAATAACTGGTCCTATAAGCAGTTTGTCTCAGTGAAGGCTTTACAAGATCATGAGGAAGATAAAAAGTGTTGCAGATTGACTTGGTTAGGAAGAACCTAAAAACTGATCATGAAAGCATAGGCATGTATGTGCGCAATTATATTACTCTGTGGTATTTGGTGGTGTTGAATTCATCTTGGAGTCTTCTTGCCTTTGCCTATATCAAGCTCACATGCTGAATACTACTTGAGTTGGTTGGATACTATGTAATTTTATTAATTGTTATTAATACTTAACTGTATGCAAAGAGAAAATGGCTTCTGACTCTTCACATTATGTTTTCTGCAGTTTCATGTTTGGACCTGATTTATGTGGCACACAGACGAAAAAGCTCCATGTTATTCTTTCTTACCAGGGCCAGAATTATCCCTTAAAAAAGGATCTGCAATGTGAAACAGACAAATTAACTCATTTCTATACATTTATTCTTAGGCCTGATGCAACTTACAGCGTCCTTGTTGATAATAGAGAAAGAGATTCTGGAAGCATGTATACAGATTGGGATATACTTCCTCCACGAAAAATCAAGGATGTCAATGCCAAAAAGGTATAGTGTTATGATTTAAGTCGTGGACAAAAATTGATGTTGCACGCAAGCAATCAATTTAGTGTTTAAAATTTGACAGCCGCTTTTGACTGAAAGTAATATTTCTAAATCAGTACACAGTACTTTGTATCTTGTAGAATTCTTTGGTTAAATATGTGCCTATCCCACATCGTGTGGGGCTATCGCATGCATCATTGTTTCTTTGTGCACCAATCTCTCTATCATACCCCAACCAAAGAAAAATATTACCTTACCACAAATTATATATTGACTCGTGTCCTCCTTACAGCCAGCAGACTGGGACGACAGAGAGTATATTATTGACCCTAATGATGTGAAACCGGAGGTATCACACTCTACCTGTATTCATGATTGAATAGGTTACAATCATTTTGCATGATTTATACTCAAAAATTGTTTTTTTTAATGTTGTAGGGATATGATTCAATTCCATCACAAATTCCTGATCCAAAGGCCAAAGAGGTTTGTCAGTGTTATATGTTATCAATATTAACACAGACATGATGTCCTGGAAAGGAAGATTCTCCTTTTGTTATATTTATGTATAGTGTGGAACTGTTTGATATTCTTAATTGATATGATTAGAGAAAGAAATCTACCTGAACCCCATCTATATTTTTTGGCAGCTGACCAACAATTATTAATTCACTTGCTTATATCTTCATTGAATAAATTTGTTAGTTTATCAGGAATTTTTAATAAAGGCTGAACTTATTGGATTCTAAATTTTCCCAAAAATGCTGATGGTTTCTTAGCCTGAAGATTGGGATGATGAAGAAAATGGAATTTGGAGGCGACCAAAGATCCCAAATCCAGCATACAAAGGACCATGGAAGCCCAAGGTGCTTTTAAGCTAGATGTATAACATCGAAACTCATTTGTTGATGAAGTTTCTAACTTTTGGTACCTATGCCATCCTACAGAAAATCAAGAACCCCAACTATAAGGGAAAGTGGAAGACTCCTTGGATTGATAACCCAGGTATGTTAACGTGCCTCAGAATATTTCCATGGCAGATATGGTTTATATTTTAGACTAAATTATCGAAGGAATTTGGACCTTCATCTGGTTGGAATCTTAGGAAGAAGTGAGAATGAAAAATATATATACTGGAGATCTTGTGCTGAATACTTTCATTATCTCATACCAGGACTTGATTGATCTATATTATCAACCTATTTGATCATTCAACTTATAGTGACCCCTGACTTGAAATTCCTGGCTACAATAGAATGCTGTTTTAAGGTCTATTTATTTATTCAAGGGATTCTAAAGTTCTGTTCACGTAGTTTGCATTTTTTTTTGACACACATAGTTGAGTTTATCTACGTGTGTGTGATGGTGCAGATTTATTTATTGTATAAATGATCAATGTGTCTGGATAGGTTAGCCGCTTTCCACTTTCGTTTAAAGAGCACTTACCTTTTTCCTCTGTTCCTGCAGAGTTTGAGGACGATCCTGACCTTTATGTGCTGAAGCCAATAAAATATGTGGGCATTGAAGTTTGGCAGGTATGTGTTAACTGTGTCATGAGTCGTGCTTTTCTATCAGGATTTAACAAATTAGATTGAACTCTCTTCTCTCTCTCTCTCTGTGTAATGTGGAGCCTCATCAAAATCTTGCAGGTAAAGGCTGGTTCAGTTTTCGACAACATTTTGATTTGTGATGACCCACAGTATGCAAAAGAAGTTGTAGAAGAGATTTTTTCAAATAGAGAAGTGAGTTGCTACTCTTAAATGTTTATATTTGTCATTTATCTCAGTTAAAGTGTCTAAGTTTCATAACAATGAGCATAATTTTAGGCTGAAAAAGAAGCTTTTGAGGAAGCAGAAAAGCAGAGAAGAGCTCGAGAAGAAGAGGTGATTACAAGAAGCCAAGTTGCTTCTCTGGTTTTTCTGAAGTCCTACTGTAGTGGTCAAACAATAACCCTTATGAAAAACATTTTCTTCCCATTTGATTGCTTGTGTAGGATGCTAAAAGAGCGAGTGAAGAAGGTGAAAGAAGAAAGAGGGACAGAGATCGTCAGTATGGAGATAGGAGGCGTCGTAAAAGGGTATTGTATTTCCTGATTCAGTCTCATTAATGATATTTTGAAATTTTTTGTTTTGTCTAAATATCAACATATTTCTAATGGACTCAATGCTGAAAATCTATTTTAGGGTATTGAAGACAAGTTTGATAGATGAAATAGATCTTTTCATAAGTACATCTAATCAAAATGATCATACTGGTAGGTATTGAACTTAAATTGTGAATCTCTAAGAACATTAAGTTTTTTTGGGGAGAGAAAATGAAGGTAATACAGCATATTTGAAAAGGAAGTATGGCTTATATGCCTCCACACAGTAAAGGGGTCAGAAGGAAGATCCAAAAATAGTCTGGGGGAATAAGGTTGTGCCCCCCCCAAAAAAAAAAAAAAAAAAAAAAAAAAAAAAGGTTGTGGATGCATTCTTTTTCCGTTTTTGGGTGGATTACTGTAAAAACTCATAAAATGGATAAAACACAGGCAACCTAGTTAGATGGGGATACCCTTATAAAAAAAATTCAACTTATAGAGTACTTAGCCTTTTATTTTTTAACCACGAAGAAGAAAGGAAAGAAAGAAAAATTAAAGCTACAATATTTGTATTTAAGTTTGGCTAAGCAGTTGATGACTTGATTATGACCACAATATCATTAAGATAGTAGGCACCTGTCAGGACTGATATTACCAATAAGCTATCCCTAGTAAAAACCTTGTGCCCCATGTGTTAGATTGTTGTGACTGAGTCTAATTTGAGAACCTTGTCTTGTTGTGCAGCATGATCCCCGTGATTATCTGGATGATTACCATGTAAGGATTAACCTTTTCTCTATTGTTTCTCTTCTTCTTTTTTCACTTCCTCATATCTTCCCTTATTTGTTCGTGTCACATTAATTCCTTTTCTCCCATTGAGTTGTAATCAGTTTAGCAAAATTATTTACCCCAAATTGTATGTAGAAGTTAAAAGTTTCTTAGCATGGGCCTTGCTTAAGTTGCTTGTTTGCATGACTTGGAGTAGAAGCTTTACTGCTGCGCCTTTTATGGTGCCATTAAATCAGTGGGCAACTTACCAAGATTTTTTTTTATTTTTTATGTTGGTGCTGGTCTTGAGATCCTGAAAGTGTATCATTACCTATGACCTAAAAATTAAATTTTAATCGAAGTTTTAAACTTTAAACTTTTTTTTTTCTTTTCGATTTCTGTTTTTGGTTGATCTTGCAGGATGAACTATGAGGCAGCAGCGGATGTTTGTTGTTTGTACCATAGCTTTGGGAAAAGGAAAGGCATTCCCAACAATTAGAGAAGCATGTTCTAAGGACAAGCCTTGTGTGTTGTACAATTGTTTAAACATCAAACGCAGACTCTTATTAATTGCCAATGTTGGGTTTACTGAACCATGAGTTGTGGATTCTATGCTATTCTGTAAAGATAATTTTGGCAGAATTACGGGTGACAGTTTCTTTTTTAATCGTTGAAAGTGGAGGATTTAAACTTGTGAGCTCTTCCAATATTGGGAAAGTGAAAAAGTACCACTAGACTAGACTAATTGCTAGTTGGTTACTATTAACAACCTGAGAATATAAATAATTGAGGGAAGGGAACTTGAAACCAGGATGTCTTCTAAAATTGGTACTATTAGACAGGGGCAGCCCTGGCATGATGCAAGTGACGCCACGGCACAAGGCCCCCAATTTTATTTTACTTTTTATTAATATTATAAAAAATTGTATATATACTCTAGCGTGAGTAAATTGACGCAAAAGTGTATTTTGTGAAGTTGGTTTCTAGCATAGTCTGAAATATCGACGAAATATCGATGATATTTCGATTTTTTCGAATCATCGGTATATTTGGAATATATCCATGTACATATCGTATAAATATCAACAATATCGACGATAATATTGGAAAATATCTATGTCGATAATTTCGCTCACACTTCAGTAATATTTTGTTAAAATATCGGTGTAATATCGCTAAAATATCGAAAATATCGAAAAAAAAAAAAAAAAAAAAAAAAAGGAAAAAAAAAAAAAAAAAAAAAAAAAAAAAGGAAAAAAAAAAAAAGGAAACACGAAAGGGATTTGAACCCCTCCCATTTTACTCCTCCAACACCTTAATCGCCATATATCACTTATGTTTTAGTAATAATATGCTAAAATATTTATATTTATATGGGTGACATGTTAATAATTATATGCAAAACTATTTTGGGGATTTATCATTTGATGAATACTCTTCACAATACACTTACTCTACACATAGAGATGATGAAGATAGTGAAAAATTTGAACCTCATAGAAACTCTATGTGGTACTAAGTCACTCATGTATCTTACCATGCAATGTATAAAGTGTAAAATATTGTAGTAAATCATTATATATAAATTATTATGGTGTGTTTAATCTTTTTTTCATTAATTTCTACATATTTTCTACACTCACAATGTTTGCCAGCTCGCTGTATAATCAACTTAAATTAGTTAAATCCATCATGTAATCCTATTTTCTTTTTTTTTTTTTTTTTTTTTTTTTTATATACTAATAGATAATTGACTAAATAAACATTCTCTAAAGTTTCAATAAAAATTTCCAAGTGTTTCTTACAATTTCCATGGTTTTTATTCAATTTTTATCGATATCGATAATATCCCAATATTTTCATCGAAATTTCCATGTTTTTGGACTACCGATATTTCTGATATCATCGATATTTTAGACCATGGTTTCTAATGCATATCATTTTGTACAAGACCTAAGTTTGAGTCATAGTGATGTGATTGTATACGAATTTTTTATTTCCTTTTTCATTATAACAACAAAATTTAAAAAAATAGAAGAGCTTGAAAAAAATAACAAGGGGAAAGATCCAACTAAACTAACAATAGTATATATCATATGCATACGCTTTCTCCTAACAAAAGCAAAAAAAATAAAAAATAAAAAATTAATGTCTTTCTTTCGCTTGAGCTCTTATGTTTTTTTATACCAAACATACTAATATTTAACTTTATCAAATGAAAATGTTAAAAAAATTATAAATTTGATTTGTGATTGTATTGCATGCTAGTTGATGATGAATTTTAGTTATAAAAAAATTGTTTCATGACATTAACATGGCAAATGTTTTTTTTAGTATTTTCATATTAGATTATGTGAAGGCTCCAATTTAAATTTTGCATAGAGCCTTCAAAATCTCATGACCGACCTTGCTATTAGACTAAGAGTTGGTTATATTCGACATGTTGAGAATGAGAAATTGTGATGGAATTGGATTGTTTTGTAACCATGTAACACTTAAACTAAACACTGGATTGAATAATTGTGATTGATATTATATTTCTCTAAGAGGATGATATATATACAAGTACAAGCTGATTTTTCCTACAAGGAAAAGTAATTAGCTAATTATAAGGAATTCTAACTAGGTAATTATTATAATTAGGTAACGTGAATTACACCAGGAAATTAGGGATCACGAAATCCCTAAATTATGGCTCACGCCAACACTCCTCCCCCTCAAGTTGGTGTGTATATATCTCATATGCCCAACTTGTTAAGTGAGTCGTGAAAAACCTTCGCTGACACTACATGCGTTAAGACATCTACCAGCTGTTCTTTTGACTTTACAAATGGTATATCGATTAGCTTATCTACCAACTTCTCCTTGATATAATGCAAATCCACTTCAACATGCTTAGTTCTGTTATGTTGAAATGTATTATTTGCTATCTCTTGTAGTAGTTTGGTTGTCACAGTAAAGCTCCATGACTTTCTTTGGTGGAAAATCAATTTCAGACAGGAGTATCCTTAGCCAAAGGATTTCACAAACTCCTTGTGCTATGCCCCTGTATTTTGCCTCAGCTGAAGATCGAGCCACTACATTATGCTTCTTACTTTGCCATGTGACCAAATTACCCCCAATGAAAGTGAAGTAACCTGATGTGAACGTCTATATGTTATATTGCCTGCCCAATCTGCATATGTATAACCTTTGACATCCAAATGTCCCAGTTTTCTGAATATGAAGCCTTGGCCTAGAGCTTTCTTCAAATAACTCAAAATCTTCATAATTGCCGCTAAGTGATCCTCACTAGGAGAATACATGAACTAGCTAACAACATTAACTATATATGCGATATTTGGTCAAGTGTCCGAAAGATAAATTAGTCTTCCCACTAACCTCTGATATCTCTCCTTGTTGGTTGACACTTGATCATGACAGATTGCTAGGTGATGATTCTACACAATAGGGGTTTTGGCTAGTGCACACCCTAACATGCCAATTTCTGTCAACAAGTCTAGAACATACTTCCTTTGAGATAGACAAATACTAGTCGCATAACGAGTTACTTCGATTCCCAGAAAATACTTCAAAGCCCGGAAGTCCTCCATCTCTAACTTTGAGGCTAACTATTTCTGTAATTTATCAATTTCAACAACATCATCACCAGTAACTACCATATCATCAACATAGATTATTAGCAAAGTAATCTTATCATCCCTACTTTTGATAAATAAGGTATGATCCGAGTTACTTTGGTGATATCCATACTTTTTTATTGCTTCAGTGAACTACCCAAACCATGTTTGCGGAGACTGCCTCAATCATAAAGGGTCTGGAACTTGAGCAGCTTAGCTTAGCTGAGCCTAGCCTAGCAGGCTGTCGACCTGTCCAGTTGAGTTGAACAGCCTAGTCAAACTAGACATCAACGACCCCCTATCTCAAACATTCTTGTTCATGCTCCACTGAACATCCGTAAGGTAAGTCCTTCAAATCTTAGTGCTTCTCAATATTGTTGATATTGTGAAAAAATTACTTGCATGAGCAAACAGGTGAATTCCACCAGACAAATTCTCACCAGAAGGTAAGGTAAAATATGTCATTGCTGATTATGTCTCCACACATAGATTATCTCCTCAAGCTAATAGATTGAAAAAAGCTTTGTAAGACCCAAAATGGGTGGAAGCAATGAATGTGGAGATGGAGGCTTTATAGAAGAATGAAACATGAGAGATAGTTCTGCAACCTGAAGGAAAGAAACCTGTTGGATATTGATGGGTGTACACAGTTAAGCACAAAGCTGATGGCATAACAGATAGATATAAAGCAAGACTTGTGGCCAAAGGGAATACGCAGATTGGAGGGATGGTAACACAGATAACCCTTTTGTTGAGGTGCAAAACCCACAAAGACACAACGGAAGGCCCACGGATCCAACTTCGTCTTGTGAGATTTATTGAGATGGACATACGCCACACAACGAAAAATGCACGAAGTGACATTAAGATGGGAACAAACAGGAACATGAGCAGCCAATGTCTGAAGTGGTGTTTTAAAACCCAAAACACGTGAAGGCATACAATTAAGAAGGTAGATAGCATACTTAACAGATACGGTCCAAAGGGTTTGGGGACATGCCCCCCAATAAAGAGAGAACAAACAATCTCAAGAGTATGACAATTTTTGCATTCAGCTACACCATTATGTTTTGGAATCTGCGGACACGTAGTTTCATAGAGAATGCATTTTTCAATGAAGAAGTGTGCGAGTGTGTGGTTAATAAATTCTCCTCCATTATTTGAACAAACAACTTTAATCGAACAAGAATATTGAGTTTGAATCATTTGGTAAAAATTCTTGAATAAAGAACCAACTTCACTTTTATGCTTCATAACATAAAGCCAAGTTAACTGAGTACAATCATCAATGAAGATCACAAACCACCGAACACCAAAGACAGTAGTAATCGGAGATGGACCCCAAACATCTAGATGGATTAATTCAAAAGGAAATGCACTTTTATTCAAACTAGAAGGATAAAAAGTTCGATGACTTTTTGCAAGAATACAAGTCTTACACTTAAAATCAGAAATTTTTAATCCACTAAATAGAGATGGAATCAGACTGCAAATAACCAAAGGAAACATGACCCAACCGCCGATGCCATAACCAAATCTTCTTATGTTTCTCACTGAAAATGCCTCGAACTTGATGAACACGACCTAGTGCAATGTCATCCACTTAGTAAAGCCCCAATCTCTTAGTACCACGCCTAATGATCTCCTTGGTCTGAATATCCGGAAGCAAACAAAAGGAAGAGAACATGAGCACGCAACAATCTAACTATTCGGTAACTTGCCCAATAGATAATAAATTATGGGACAAAACAGGAACAAACAAAGTTTTATGTAAAGAGAGTGTAGGAGTAAGAGTGATGGAACCAACCCATGTGACTGAGTTAGATTCGTAGTTGGCAGTAACCACACTTGTTTTGGTAGGAACAATCATAGAATGAAAAAAAGATTATGATCAGTAGCACCCGAATTGATAATCCAACCTGTATCTCGTTGGTCAGAAAGCACCTAAGCTTTTTCCTGGTTACCTTTGTAGTCAACAGGCTTTGGAATAGATAAATGAGACAGAACAGTGAGAGAATCATCAACTGAAGGAGGTGTCATGGACAAGATTGAGACAGTCAAGGTAGTGTCGGCGATCGGGCCGACGAAAGGCTGACTGGCGGCGGCGACAACAACTACACCGCTCTCGTCATTCTTTTTATTCTCATGCGCCGCCTTTCGTTGCTTCTGGGTTTTCACAAGATAATATAGAATGCGTTCAATGAACCGCTTCGGAAACCCATTCTTGTGAAAACACATGGCCTCTGTATGACAGTTCCCATTATAGTAATGCAATGCATGTTTTCTTTTTTCCTTAGGGGTTGGACGAGAAAAGAAAAACTAGTAGCAAGGGCTTTGGAAATTATTTTAGTAAAGGATTTAGTCTTTTCATCCTTCTCGAGCTTCGTCTCCTGGCGTTAGGCCTCTTTACGAACAAAAGCAAATTGACTCCTCCAATTTTAGCACTTGACTTAACCTCAACAAATCTCCTATAATTTTATCAAACTTATCATCTAGACCTACAAGAAAATCATAAATACAATCTTTATGTATCTTAGCCTGTCAAATCTTCATATCATCAGAGCACTTCATGTTAATTGGACAACGACGGTTTAGTTCCAACCAAACGCTCTTGAGCTCAACGAAGTAGGATGCAATATCACGACCTCCTTGAGTAATACATGTTGCTTTACAAAGTAATTCATAAATCTACGACTCATCAGACACGTCATAATATACATTTAGACTGTACTCTCGTAGATATCTTTAGTTGTTGGTAGATCTAAGAACAATTGTAACAAATCAGGTTCCATGGTCTTTATTAATCATTCTTTAACGATGGAGTCCTAAATACACCACGAATCAAAGCCTGGAGCGTCTTCCTCTACTTGAGCCACCTTTCTTGTCAGATTACCTCTTTTTCCTTGGCCTGACACATGAAGCAACATCATCTTCGACCAAGTGCTATAGTTCTTTCCATTCAACTGCTAGAAATATGCCTTTAAAGCTAATTAATAGTTAGAGTTAAAGACATCTTTGATAAAAAAAACATATTATGTTATCAATGGGCAAGAAATGTTGTTTTATACATTAAATCATCCTATATTATCTTTCAATATGTAGAACAACCATAGTCCAAGGAATACACAAGTGGATATGAGAGCTATGTAATGAGATTGTATACATAGAAACTTCTCATCATCCCTAAATCCTGAATATGTTCATGGTCATAGGAATATTGATTGGGGGTCAATATTCCGCAAAACCAGTACACACAGTATTGTCTCTATATGTAGGGAATGGCAAGGTCTCAAGTCATTAAGTGTGGAGACACATCGATATATGTGTAGGTGCTTGTAGAAGAACAAGTACATTGAACGCGATCCAAAGCATGAGTTACAGTATGGAAGTCTTTACTCACATGTCAAGTTGGAACTCATAAATTGCAATGGTTCAAACTAATCCCTAGATCTAAGGCTATGTTGTTAATCTTTGATGGCACTATACGGTCATGCTAAATTAGGCAAGCTTAAAGGTGCTCATCAGGATTCTCAATAGAGTTATGGAAGCAAATAAATGTACAACAAGGAATCTTTACTCTTAGTAAAAAAGAGAGAATACTCCAAGATATGATTGGTCAAATCTCTGCACAGAGTTGTGGATAAGACTTGAAAGAAGAAGTCTTCAAATCTTACCAAGATAATCATATAAAACGAATGATTCACATTAGGATATTGACAATCGGATTCCATGATCTAATAATGTGAATAAGGAGTATTTACATAAGAGAAAGATTCAATTGCACGATTGTTTGGGCCATAAATCTGCACGCACAGCCTAGCGCTGGAGGCCCAGGAAAACAAAGCTCAGGATCCAAGCAATTTGGGCTTTTTGTGCAAATTGGAATCAAGAGCCCAGATCAAAAAAACCCATTTCAAATTGTGGGCAGCCACCAGAGTCTTTTTAAGATTGGGCCAATTTCCAACACACCCAGTCCATTTCTTTTTCAGAAAAAGGGCCATAAGACAAAAACATTTGGGGCTTTTTTATCCACTAAAAAGAGACTAGCCCAGCCTTTTTACACCATCTAAATCTCGACCCCAGAAGGTTGACAAAATCATAAGATCTTTTTAAAAACAAACCCACGTGACTACCTGGCGTTGAAAAGTCAAAATTTTCAACTATTACAGAGAGGTTGATAAGAAATTAATGAAGGCGGGTTTTGCAGAAAGGCTTCCCTATTTTTACTTAGCCAAAAGAAGGTCAGAATTATTATATATACATATAGAGAAGCTCTGCACCAAAACAGGTGGCTTTTTCAAGAAATAAGCAGACTACGTTTTCAAAAGATAAGTAGGAAGTAGAGAGTTGTTCAGCTAGAAGATCAAAACTAACCATCACGGCAGTTTGAATTCCTACAAATAGCAGTTAAAATTAAAGAGGGATTAGGTTTTCTTTCAAGAAAAACAGGGAAGTGACTGCCTTAGGAACTGACTGTTGATGGTCTACTTGCCAGAATAGATAACTTCCCTTTTCTTGGACATTTGAAAATAAAAAGATCTTGTTTTTTAGAAATCTGCCGCCCATTTTAAAAAATTAAAAATCCCACTCCAGCATTTCCTATAAATATAAGAGAAGGTGAACAGAGCAAAGGACAGCCAAAAAATCAATCAAAAACAAAAACTCGAAATGATCACTTGATCTCAAAAACCTTCAAAACGCTGAAGTAATCAAAAGCTCATTGAGCCACAAGAAACAAATCAGCTACAACTCAGAATCTCTAAGCTTCAGTTCAGACTTAAAGAAATAAGTCATTCAAAACGAGATTTCTCTCGTTACAAATTTGGTTCAGTGTAAGCCAAATCTAGAGTTTGGGTTTTACAAATATGAAAATCTCAACAAATTTATGGAGAGCCCTGATTAAGCAGAACATGTACTACAGTGCAATTCCAGCTCAGTAATCCTCAAGTCCAACCACTTCTGCCAGTTCAAAAAGCCTTCCAGGGCTTGAAATAGATTAAAACTCTGCCAAACTTGAACATTGGTATTGATTTACTGCTGAAACTTAACAGTTGAAGTTGTTGATAGTCCAGTCCAACACATGCATATTCAGTCCAACCCGGATCAAAAGCAACTATCTAGGCAGAAATGGAAGCTCAGCTTTCTTTTTGTCTTTCTAGAGTTGGTTTTTCCTTTTTGAGTTTTGTAAAAGGCAGTTCTGCCTAAAAACAGTTCATTTTCTTATCATTTATTCTGGCCGGAACTACCAGTTTTGTATTGTGAAAAATTGTGAAGTCCTCACCAGTCTGAGGCAAGAAAAGAACTTACTTGGGAGATATTCCTCACCCAAATTCACAATCGCTTGTTTAGAAATCAGTAACTTGGGGGGCAAGTTATCTATTTTAAAGAAGTCTGCTTGGATTTTCATTGCTAGTAGTGGCATGCTCGAACATAAAAAAAATTTGACTTGTTGACCAGTTAAATGGTTTTTGAGCCAATGGGGAACTTTACCCTACCATCACAGGAGCAAATATAAAACGGGTGAACAATTTGGCATGCCCAGTGGGACTTCTCAGTATACATATTCCTAGAAAAATCCTGTAGTATATGAATATTGGAAGTTCTAGCTAGAATCCATGCTGTGCCATGGAAAGAGATTAAGTAGCTCTCCAGGAAGGACTAGAGTAAGAAGAAAGTGATGTTAGGCAATCAACTCATGACAGTACCAGGAGTAGACGTTCCAGGTCTGGCTCCAGAAGGTTGAACCAGATACAGGAGGCTGTGTTCCGGCAGGAGGCCACAGCATAGAGGAGCCAAGATATTCTAAAAAACATGACAGCCATGATGCATTGGCAAGTCAATAGGCAGTTCAGGAAGGACCGTGAGGCTGCTATTGCCAGAATTCCAAACCCAAATGTTGTGGTCCAGTAGCTAGACCTCCCTTATGGACCTCCACCAGGACTAGCATGGCAATACCATGAGAACCCTCTCATCACACAGATAGTTGGAATACCAGGACGTGGAGAAATCCAGGCTGAAGAGAGGGGATGTGCATTTCCCATCCAAGAACACGAGGCTCTAGTCCGTCTAGAAGGCTCTGCACTAGATCAGGCCCCCTAGAATCAGCCAGAACCTCCACCTATTCCACAACCTGAGGCACCAGCTGTGTTGCCTTACAAACCCAGAAGGATGGACCCCAATCCATTCTCTCCACTAGCAAGAGGCAGGAGAGGCAGGAGAGGCAGAGGGGGAATTAACCCATTTGCCAACAATGACAAGAACAAACCGGGGGCAAACTGGAGGAACCATCCAGACTTCGAAGAAGAGGAAGAACACAGGGAGGAAGTTCTGCCCAGGCCATATAGAATGGAGCACAGGATTGAGAACATGCAGCTAGAACAAGGGCGAAATCTGCATACTGTCAATGCTTTGAATGACATGGGGGCACTTCAGGGAAATGATGGAGCCCGAAGCCAGAAGAGGAGAAAGGCCTACCTATAAGAAGCCATATTCGGCTTACATTGATCAAATACCTCTATCCCCGAGTTTTAAAGTACCAAACTTCACCTTGTTCAACGGAGAAGACACCTATGCTTCATCAGTTGAGCATATAGGTAGATTTTCTGTCTAGTGCATAGCCATAGAAAATAACCCTCTGTTAAAACTAAGGCTTTTTGGAAATTCTTTCTCTGGACAAGCCTTCACCTGGTACACTAGCTTACTAGCCAATTCTGTTCAAACTTAGGAACATATGGAAAACGTCTTCCGTGACTACTATTTCAGGATCCAGCTAGAAGTCACCATCAGTGACCTTGCTGCCCTCAAACAGAGTAAAGATAAGCCTGCTCATGAGAAGAACTGCTCAAGGAAGAACAACAAAGGAGGAACTCTTCCAAAGGCACATATTACAAAACCCCATCTTCCTCAGTACATCTAGTTGAAGTAGAATCAGAAGAAGGCACAGAAGACTTGGAAGAAAGAGAAGTTGCAGTGGCAGAAATGACGAAGTTGAAACATCCCATCAGCTGCAAGGCTCTGACAAAGCCACCAAAGGACCAGAAGCCACCACCATTCATAGGAGGGTTTGTTCCAAATAAACCAACACAAAACAAGGTCTATTCCTTTGATCTAACCAAGGTTGATGCTTTGTTTGATGAGATGCTGCTACATAAGGCAATAGTGACACCCCACCAGTTGTCCAAGCCAGAGGAACTCAATGATAGACAATATTGTAGGTGGCACAACTCTTGGAACCACTCCACCAACAGTTGTGTTGTCTTCATGGATGTTATACAAGAAGGAATAATAGTAGGAAGGCTAAAACTGGCAGAGAACATGGTCAACTTGAATTGGTCGGAACAGAAAAGAGGCAAACTAATAGTAGAAGCCAGCACCAGCAAAGGCAGAAGAGTAATAAGGGAGGCTAATCAAAGGCCAAAGGCAACCATATCGGCTAGGGTAGTTCTGTGCAGCAAATGCAAGTGTGAAAGTGAGTTGGAGGTAACTCTGGATAGGCAAAACCAGCCTGCACCTAGCGTTTTTGACAGGATTGGAACATCACACCAACATGGACCAGTTCCGGCTCCACCTAAAGATAGAGCCAGACAGAAGGACTATATAAGGCCTGCGTAACACAGCAAAAGAATGACAGAGCAACCAAAGAAGGAGATACTAATTAAGATGCCTGGAAATGACAAGCCTTTGGCAACTATCATAGAAGGCAAATGGTATTCTGTTGGAAAGAGCGGTAGACCAACTTTGGAACTAACCAGAACATAGAAAATGAGAGTCTAAAGGCAATACTGCACCTTCCTAAAAACCAGGGATGACACACAGGTACTTCCAAAGACCAGTTCTGCCAGAAGAGCGAAAAATCCAGAAGCAGCTCCTCAGGCAAAACAAACAACATGTCAGCCACAAGAGCTGACAAAGATAGAATCTCCAATCCATCTTGCCTCATCCTCAGTCAATCAGCTTGAACCTTCACAGTCACGAGATGAATTCGAACCTATTCTAGTAAGAGAACAAGAAGATTGGACTGAAGAATATGAAGAAGAACAGTTGGACTACGAACCAGATTAGGCTCCTCGAAATAGGAGAGCAAGAAGACTGGACAGAAGAATATGGAGAAGAACAGATGGAGTATGATGGAGAACTAGATGAAGAAACTAAGGCTTTCGGTGCAGAATTAGAGAGCCTGTTGCAGGGTGATCTAGGCATTAATATGGTGTTTATCTTGCCAGAAAATTTCAGGGCAACAGAAGGACAAGAAAACACTATGGGGGGAGACGTGCTCTCCCAGGAAAGCTTTGAGTACAGATTGGCAGAGGTAGAGGAGGCGCCAGAAGAACAAACACTTACTGCCAAAGCAGGCAGAACTGCCATGAAAGTAGCCGCAGAACAGCTTTGTTTTTCCAAACCAACCAAATAGATGACCAATCACCTCAGACCTCTGTTCATAACAACAAACTTTGGGGGTGTTCCTATTCCCAAAGTGATGGTAGATGAAGGTGCAGCCACTAATCTTCTGCCTCACAGATTGCTGATCAAGATGGGCAGAACAGAGAATGATCTAATTCCAACATGCTTGATAGTCCAAATTTGCTGGGGGCATCACTAAAGCTCATGGAATCCTAGATGTCGACGTCATAGTTGGAACCAAGGAGTTGAAAATTGCATTTTTTGTGGTAGACACCACTTCTACCACTTACAATGCGCTGCTTGGCAGAGACTGGATCCACCAGAGTCTATGTGTCTCTTCCACTCTACATCAGCAATTAGCCCTTTGGTATGAAGAAGGTTTCATGAAAATAGTAGAGGCCGATCCACGACCATTTTTGCCTTTTGTCATGTGTTTTGAGGCCAGGTATTATCATGATGATCTTGGTCCTTTCACTTTCTTTGGAGTCAACCAAAACGGCCGCCCCCATGGTGTCACGGCCCAGAGACTCATTGAAGATGGTCTAGCCAATTCTCTCGGGGACTGGAATAGACCTTTTGTTCTGAACCTCCAGAACTCTGATGTTTAGTCCCAATCAACAAGAAAAGAATCGAGTTGCAACAATCCGATCTATTACAAAAAGATTGTTGATATATTAGGAAGAAAGGAAGCTCTTTATGTAGAATCTAGCCATCAATATGGCAGAATTCACCCGTGAGAGCACTGAAGAACAGGAAGACAGTTTACAGGAGGTAGTACTAGATTTTGCACCAACAGCACTAGATGACTCTTTACCAGAAGTGGAAGATCCATTACAGAGATAAACTTAGGGACAGAAGAGGATCCAAGACCCACTTTCATTAATGCATTGTTGAAAGAACCTCTCAAGAGTGAAATCATTGCACTTTTGCATGATTTTAGAGACTGTTTTGCTTGGCATTATCATGAAATGCTTGGATTGGATAGAAAATTGGTAGAACACAAGTTGCCAATCACAAAAGGCCACTTTCCAATCAAATAGGCCAGAAGAAGGATGTCCATGGAAATAGAACTGAAAGTCAAAGAAGAAATAGAAAGACTGGTCAAGGCAGGATTCATCAGACCAGCCATTTATGCTGATTGGCTAGCCAATATTGTGCCAGTTTTGAAAAGAAAAACAAGGGCAATTCGGATCTGTGTGGATTATAGAAATCTAAATGAAGCATCTCCCAAAGATGAATATCGTATGCAATACAAGATATAATCAGATTGTGGTGGCATAAGAAGACATTCATAAGACAACCTTCATGTGTCCAGGACATATAGGTGCTTTTGAATACACTGTAATGCCTTTTGGCTTGAGAATTGCGAGAGCCACCTATCAAAGAGCAATGAATTCTGTTTTCCATGACATGATAGGTCATTCAATAGAAGTATATATAGATGATGTGGTGATTAAGTTCCCAGAAGAATGAGATCATGTATCAAATCTGAAGAAGGCATTCCTAAGAATGAGACAACACAAGTTTAAAATGAATCCCAAGAAATGTGTTTTTGGAGTTCAAGCAGGAAATTTCTTAGGTTTCTTGGTCCACCAAAAAGGCATAGAGATTGATATAAATAAGGCAAAATCCATCATAGAAGCCCCACCACCTTGAAACAAGAAAGAATTGCTGAGTCTCCTAGGAAAGATCAACTTTCTAAGAAGATTCATATCCAATTATGCATGAAAAATCCAGTCTTTCTCCTCCTTGTTAAGGTTGAAGCAGGAACAGTCATTTAAGTGGGAGGAACAGCACCAGCAGGCCTTTGAGGAAATCAAACACTACCTCTCAAATCCGCAGTTCTGTCCCCACCAAAAAGAGGCAAACCACTCAAATTATATGTTTTTGCATCAGAAGTGTCCATTGGGAGTCTGCTAGTTCAAGATAACAAGGAAGGGAAGGAACAAGCAGTCTATTATCTAAGTAGAACTCTAACAGAAGTAGAAAGGACATATTCTGCAATTGAAAGACTTTGTCTAGCCTTATACTTCACTGCTGTAAAACTCAGACACTACATGCTACCATTCACCATCTACATCATTGCCAAGACAGACCTAATCAAATACATGTTAACAAGGCCAATGTTGAGACGCAGAATTGGCAAATGGACTCTGGCTTTGACCGAATTTGCTTTCAGATATGTTCCTCAAAAAGCTGTCAAAGGACAAGCTGTAGTAGATTTCCTAGCCGATCATCCAGGGGAAGAGATTGAGAACATGGATTCCTTGGATATAAAAAACGCAGATTTATTGACTAGAGCTCATACTTGCCTTAACAATCCCATCTATTCAGTTCACCTCACACCTTGGAAACTGTACTTTGATGGATCAAAGACAGATGTAGCCTCTGGGGCAGGGATTGTTTTGGAGGATCCACTGGGGATCGTACACTGTTATTCTTTCCAGCTAGATTTCCAGTGCACCAACAACAGGGCTGAATACGAGGCTTTAATCATTGGCCTTGAAATGCTAGTAGAATTAGGAATCCAATCTGTGGAAATGTTGGGAGATTCTATGCTTGTGTTAAAGCAAATTGCTGGAGAATACAAGTGTCTAAATCCTTCTCTAGCGGTCTATCTGGTAGCAGCCATAAATCTCTTGACAAAATTCAGGGAAGCTACTTGGGAACATATCCCAAGAGAAGAAAACTGTGCAGCTAATGAAATGGCTCAGATAGCAACAGGGGTACAAATGCCTGAAGACTGTGTGCAAAGGATCATCAAGGTATAGGAAAGAAAAGTCTACCATCTGTTCTGACTAGAGGAATGGAGATAGATGTCAATTTTGCCATAATCACTGAAGATGACTAGAGAACTCCCATCATAAATTACTTACAGTATCCAACTCTGCCTTCTGAAAAAAGAGTCAAAATCATGGCCTTAAACTACCTTATGTGGAGTGGAGATTTGGTATGAAAAAGCAAAGATGAGTTGCTTTTGAGGTGCTTAGGGAAGAAAGAGTACATGAAGGTCTTTAGAGAAACCCATGAGGGAATCTGTAGAGCTCATCAAGGTGAAAGGAAGATGTGCTAGTTAATTAGAAAGGTATGGCTACTTCTGGCCATCCATGATGAAGGATTGCATTGAATATTCCAAGGGATGTGAGGCTTGTCAAAGGCATGGTCCAATCCAGTAGGCTCCTTCAGTTCCCATGAATACAATAGTTAAGTCATGACCATTCAGAGGATGGGCAATGGATCTCATTGGCAAGATTTATCCAGTCAGTAGCAAACATCACTGTTTCATCATTGTAGCTACAGACTATTTCACCAAATGGGTAGAAGCCAAACCTGTTAAATCGACCACATATCAAGAGGTCATCACCTTCATAGAAGAGCAAATTATACAAAGGTTTGGCATTCCAGAATCAATCACAATTAACAGGGGATCTTCTTTCATATTTGGAGATATGCTAGATATGGCAGAAGCATTCAAATTTAAGCTACTTCAATCCACTCCTTATTATGCTCAAGCTAATGGACAGGTAGAATCAAGTAACAAGGTGATCATCAACATTATTAGGAAAATGCTTGAGAAAAATCCAAAGCAATGGCAAGAGAAATTATAAGAAACTCTGTGGGCATATAGGACTTCAAAGAAATAGGCAACTGGCATGACCAAAAAAGGTAGCCTTGGTCTTAGAACTCAGTCCAACCCTAAGCTTGTTCTGCATCTCTCTACATTCTTCCAGCTGTTTTTGGAGTTTTTCAATTTGCCTCTCCAACTTATTGACAGTAGCCTTGGCTTCTTTGTAACCTGCAACCATCTGGTCCAGTGCTGCGTTCTGTTTTGCATAATCGGCCAAGTTGGCTTCATGAGTAGCCTTCCAAAACTCAGAGGTTTTGAAGGTGTGCTTGAGATCCTCATAACGATCATGAAGGTTGAGCACATCTCTGGCCCAGCCAAGGCTCATCTCAAGTATAGGCTTAGGAGCCATGTTCTGTCCATGCAGTAGGTCCAGGTCTTTCATCAATTGGTCAACAGCTTCTCTGTTCTCATCCAGTTCCAGCTCAGTGGATTGCCAAATCTTCACCCTCTTCATTGCCTTATCCACTGCCTTGGACTTAGCCTGGCTAGGAGTGGAGCTAAGCTTCTCTAGTTTGTCCAGTTGGGCATCTAAGTCCATAGCTTCAAACTTTGCCAATTCTGAATCAGCAAAGGAGGCTGTGGTAGATGAACCTGGAAGAGAATGGATAGGCATTTGCAGAAAAATATTATAAGTCAACACCAGGCAGAATCAGAAAAGAAAGAAGGCCACAACACAGTAATACTTATAGCTAGGATACGAGGCTTCAAAGGGCTGGTCATCACTGCCAAAATCCCAACAGTTCTGGGCACTTCTACTTGGAAAGACTGATAGTTAAAGAAATAAAGACGGGACAGAACTGCAGGAAGCAGACAGAGTTAAAATAAGATCAGCAAATTACCACAAGTCTAGGAATAGCAGCAACCACCTCCACTTCAGATTCTAGGACTGCAACAGGAAGTTCTGCCTATTCCACAGGCTCTGCTGCAGATTGCTCCGCCTACTCCTCATATACTAGAATTGCAGTGGAGTGTTCTGCCTTTGCATCATCGAAAAGGGCCAGCTCTGAGCTGGTTAGTTATGCCCTTGGGGTCTCCTGCTACTTCAGCGCTAGAGCGATACTCTTTGCAATCATTTCAGCATGAATCTCCTCTTACAGACAGACAGAAGTCAGAAGTTAGAAGAAGAACAGACACAAAAGTTTATACAGTAATAATAGAGGCTCACCTCTTCTTCAAACTCTTTGTTCTTCTCTTTTAAAAAGACATCACCTTCTTCTGGTTCCTTCTCCTGCTCTACAGCTTCAAAGGACTCCCTTAGCTCTTCATCTGTTCCAGAAGTGGTTGTGGGAGCTGTTGCAGGTTCTTCTGTGGCCACATACTCCACCACAGTCCTCTTTCTAAGTCTTTTTGACTTAGTAGAAGGGGGAGGAGGACTTTCAGCTACAATAAACAGGCAATGAATGATTAGAACAAAAGCTGAATTGAATTATGACATAGCATAGCAAAATCAAGAAGGCTCAAACTTTCAAGATTTACCTGAAGTCTCAGGCTGGACAACACTATCATGGACTGGAGCAATCTCTTTTCTCTTGTTCCTTCTGCCAGAAAGAGTTGCCTCAATAGCTAGTTGTTCTGCCAGAGTTTCATCCTCCTTATCTCTGAAGGGAAGCTCCAAATCTCCGGCAGCAATGATAGAAGTGACTGCACAGGAAACAAACAAGTCAGAAGTCAATCCAGCAAGAAAATAATAGAAGGAACAGAATGATGGAAAACTTACCAATCACTTCTCCAGAATGGATAGCTTGGCCTCCAATATTCTTGGTCAAAGAAGGATCTGTGACAGACAGAGCAAAGTTGTTAAACATCATCACAGGGGTTAGAATGAGTAAAATACGGACAGAATTGAGAATCTACCTTCTATAACTTGAGCATTGATATCGTTAATGGTCTGCACCATGAATCTATGAGTTTCCTCTCCTGCATGAACAATTCAAGAATCCCAACCATCAAAAAGCACTTTTAGGGCAATACTCGAGGCAGGAAGACCTTGGAATCAAGCGTTCCACCATGTATCAAACTCAGCAGTACTGCATGAATTCATTCCCAGGATGGATAAAAGGCATCTGCACTGTTATTTATCTTGTTCAGAGCACACCTGGCATCCTTATGCACTTCCAAATCATCTGAATCCCTCCAGGAAGTGGCCCGATTACAGCTTCTATAGGATTTTGGTGGAATAAGCTAAGGGTAGCCAAGTTGTCTTGCGCAGAAGTTGGGATGGTACACTTCTGCCCCGAAGTGATAGTTAGGAGGCTTCCCACCTCCAAAAGACAGGTCCCTTGGCAGTGTCACACTTAGGAACTTCTTCCTGAAGTCAAATATGGTCACTTCTTCCTCTGGTTCTTTCTCAGATAGTCTGAATCTAGGTTGAAACCAAGGATATGTTCTCATGATCACCACCTGCCACTAAGCTGCAGATCTCTTAGTGCAGTTCCCGAAGAACATCAGGTACTCTTCAATTAAGCATTTTGGCACTTTTGTTGACATCAAAGGAAGAGCCAGAACTTGGTCTTCGAGCAGGACTATATCCGGAAATCTCAACTATGGAAAGTAGACTTGCAGCCAGATTTGGATCATCCAGACTGCACCTGGAGCAGACAGGTTCAGGGGATTCTCCGAGGTGGCAATATGTAGATTCTTGAATAAATGGGCCAGAATAGTAGGCCCAAGCCCGACGTTAGTATGGTTGGCAGTGCTTCTGCCAAATGCCAATATTCGAGCAGAACTGCTGATGAATGATTTGGGAAAACAAATTGGTTTAGCTAGTACAGAAGGAATAACATATGATGCTGATCCTTTTCGTTTTTAGCGCTGAACTTCCTCAAGTAATTAGATAAGGAGCAGTTCTGGTTAATTGTGGCTGGAGAAATAGTGAAAGGCTTGGCTAGTTTTTCTTGGTTCTTTCTCCCGTGATAGTCACCAACTGCATCCACAGGTCTTCCATGGGGTCTGAAGCCAAAAATCTGAGCCATATCCAGCAGAGTTGGAGCCATATTGCCAACACGAAAGTCAAACGTGTTGCTGGCAGAATTCCAGAAGAAGCAGAGGGCAGCAGCCAGAAGATTTTCATCTCTATTGATAGACTGCTTGGACAGAAGGATTGCGTCATAAATTCCAGCCCTCTTCTAGTGAGCTCAATACCTTGGAAGAAACCTGTCAATCTAGTCTACCCATTTCACTGCACTATTTCTCACTTCACTGGAGGGAAATGAGCGGCTTATATTCTTGTTGACCCAAGTATGAGAAGCTAGGGTAGAAGAGCTCTCAAAACATAGAGGAGCTTTAGCATCCTCTTTAAACAGTTCTGCCATTTTAGTAGGGACAGAACCAAACCAATGAGGGCCTAGAACCAAGGTGTTTTCAAAGGGGTGAAGGACATTTTCATCCAGATTCTTTTGGGCAAAAGGGTGAAGCTTGCTCCGGACTTCAATTGCATGCTTGTCAACACCAGCCCCAGAAATGTAAGCAGGAGGAAGAGAGGAGGAAGCCTTAGTATGGGTTTTTGGAGACGACATTTTCAAAATACGAGCGAAAGAGAGGAATCGAAGTTTGGTTGCAGGAAGGAACAGGGGAGTTTGAAACAAATCAAAGTCTGAAAGAGTTAGGTTTTCAGATGAACAGGAGCTAGGGGTTTGAATTTCTTTTAAAAGACTAGAAACGTGAGAAGAAGAAGGTAAGGCGTCATCTATTAATGGCTAGCTAGTAACTAACTAGTAACTACCCAGTTTCCCACGAAGTCTAGCTCAGTAGACAAGACGTGGCAGACATAGGTTAATTGAAATGGAAGAGAATGGCGTGCAACATTCATGGCCAATTGATTCAATCTGAACCGTTAAAAATTGGAAACCGTCTCCAGAAAAACAGTTCAGATTCAAGGGGGCATTGTTTGGGCCATAAATCTGCACGCATAGCCCAGCGCTAGAGGCCTAGGAAAACAAAGCTCAAGATCCAAGCAATTTGGGCTTTTTGTTCAAATTGGAATCAAGAGCCCAGATAAAAAAAACCCATGTCAAATTGTGGGCAGCCACCATAGTCTTTTTAAGATTGGGCCAATTTCCAACACACCCAACCCATTTCTTTTTCAAAAAAATGGTCATAAGATAAAAACATTTGGGGCTTTTTTATCCACTAAAAAGAGACTAGCCCAGCCTTTTTACACCATCTAAATCTCTAATCCATAAGGTGGACAAAATCATAAGATCTTTTTAAAAACAAACCCACGTGACTACCTGGCGTTGAAAAGTCAAAATTTTCAACTATTATAGAGAGGTTGATAGGAAATTAATGAACGCAGGTTCTGCTGAAAGGCTTCCCTATTTTTACTCGGCCAAAAGAAGAAGGTCAGAATTATTATATATACATATAGAGAAGCTCTGCACCAAAACATGTGGCTTTTTCAAGAAATAAGCAGACTACATTTTCAAGAGATAAGTAGGAAGCAGGGAGTTGTTCAGCTAGAAGATCAAAACTAACCATCATGGTAGTTTGAATTCTTACAAAGAGCAATAAGAATTAAAGAGGGATTAGGTTTTCTTTCAAGAAAAACAAGGAAGTGACTGCCTTAGGAACTGACTGTTGATGGTCTACTTGCCAGAATAGATAACTTCCCTTTTCTTGGACATTTGAAAATAAAAAGATCTTCTTTTTAAAAAAATCTGTCACCCATTTTAAAAAGTTTAAAATCCCACTCTAGCATTTCCTATAAATATAAGAGAAGGTGAACAGAGCAAAGGACAGCCAAAAAATCAATCAAAAACAAAAACTCAAAATGATCACTTGATCTCAAAAACCTTCAAAACGCTGTAGTAACCAAAAGCTCATTGAGCCACAAGAAACAAATCAGCTACAATTCAAAATCTCTAAACTCCAGTTCATACTTAAAGAAATAAGTCATTCAAAATGAGATTTCTCTCGTTACAAATTTGGTTCAGTGTAAGCCAAATCAAGCAGAGTTCGAGTTTTACAAATATGAAAACCTCAATAAATTTATGGAGAGCCCTGATTAAGCAGAACAGGTACCACAGTGCAGTTCCAGCTCAGTAATCCTCAAGTCCAGCCACTTCTGCCCCTTCCAGACGGAAGAGTTCCCAATTCTGCTAGTTCAAAAAACCTTCCAGGGCTTGAAATAGATTAAAGCTCTGCCAAACTCGAACGTTGGTATTGATTTACAACTGAAACTTAACAATTGAAGTTGTTGATAGTCCAATCAAGCACAGGCATATTCAGTCCAGTCGGATAAAAAGCAACTATATAGGCAGAAATGGAAGCTCAGCTTTCTTTTTGTCTTTCTAGAGTTGGTTTTTTCCTTTTTGAGTTTTGTAAAAGGCAGTTCTGCCTAAAAATATTTCACTTTTTTATCATTTATTTTGGCCGGAACTACCAGTTTTGTACTGTGAAAAATTGTAAAGTCCTCACCAGTCTGAGGCAAGAAAAGAACATACTTGGGATATATTCCTCACCCAAATTCACAATCGCTTGTTTAGAAATCAGTAACTTGGGGCGCAAGTTATCTATTTTAAAGAAGTCTGCTAGGATTTTCATTGCTAGCAGTGTCATGCTTGCACACAAAAGAAAGTTGACTTGTTGACCAGTCAAATGGTTTTCGAGCCAATGAGGAACTTTACCCTATCATCACAAGAGCAAACATAAAACGGGTGAACAATGATCATTCCAATTTGAATAGGTTCTTTCGTAACGTCTCATTAATATGAAGAATTAAATCGTGAAATTTAATTCGTATATCATCTCTAAGGAGTTAAGTCAACCAACTACCTTCCTAAAGGGAACTTACGGAGTTGCACACCCAAAGAATGTGATTAGAGGTATAAATAAGGAGAAATGAAATGAGGAGACACAAGTCAATGGTTGATAATCAAATGTCAAAGTCAACGGTCAAAAGTCAACATATTGACTAGAGCAATTGACCAAAGTCAAATAGTTTGACCAGGTCAATTAAGTAAGACTATAATTATGGAATTAATATTGACATCTAGAAATATTGGATTGGGCTTTTAAATATGATATAAAAGGAAAGGGACAAAATAGCCCAAAATGCTATTGGGCCCAAGGGATAAGTGGTATAAGATGACATGACTCATGGACCAAATGGAGCCCCAAATAGCCACCCAATTGCCTTTTGTGTTGTCCTATATAAGGTAAGTGTTGGAGAAAACCTAGCTAGGGTTTTTAGTTTCCTATTTTGGTTGATGAGTGATCATCTTTGTATCTCATCTTCCATAAACCAAAAAATTGGTCCAATTAAGAAGTAGACTAGCATTTGGTGTGGTGAGGTAGAGGACTCCAATCTTGGAGCCTTAAGGTGAAGGAGTCAAAATCAAGAGAAACAAAAGGTCTTTCCAACAACGGTGTTCATTCTTGAGAAATCAAGAAAATGTCATCAAGGGTAAAGGATCTATTCCCTTTTTTCTTTTTCTATTTTTGTTCAAAGAGACTAGGCTAAGATACTTGGTTTAAATGAAAAAGGTTTAGCTCAACTAGTATAAACAAAATGAATCCGCCATTTAGATGTTGTATAGATTGTGGCTAAAATTCATTTCCTATGCATTAGATACATGTTTCCTTCATCAACAGTGTGGTGAATGGGGCAGCGGAATTATTATTGCGAATTGTAACAATTGATTGCACCATATCAAGATTTTTGCTAGTTTCTGAAGCACTGGATTTTGTGACTGCGGTGGGGGTGTCTGGGGTATATTCGAAAGCCATGGAGGAGAGAGATCAAGGTTGGATAGGTTGGTGTTGTAGGACTTTTTGCCGCACTAGGTTTTGGATGACAATGGCTTTGCCGCTGTTTTGTTGCAGATAGTTTTTTTTTCTCTGTATTCAGCGCTAGAGGATGTCCATGGGTAGGGTTTGTATTTTTGTTTGAGAGACGAGGGTTAATTTGGCTCTAATACCAACTCAAACTAAACACAAGATTGAATAATTGTGATTGATATTATATTTCTCCAAGTGGAGGATATATATACAAGTTGACTTTCCCTACAAGGAAAAGTAATTAGCTAATTACAGGGAATCCTAACTAGGTAATGTGAATTACACCAGGAAATCAAGGTTCACGGGATTCGTGAATTATGGCTCATGCCAACAGTAACCACTATAGTTCTTAGTTTAATAAACCCTACACATAAGTTGTCCTTTGTTTTTATTTTGAAAGAAATAAAATGAGAAACTTGTTTTTGATAATTGTGTTTGTTTTTTTTTTTTTTTTTTTTTTTTTTTTTTTTTATTTTATTTTAAAATGAAATAAATTTTTTAGCAATTTGGACATTGTTTGATTAGGACTCGTTTGGAAGTGGTCCTTTGTGAAGCTCTTAGGTCAGTATCATTTATGCTAGTAGTGCTTCTACAAAGAAGCAATTTGTCGGTTGAATGTCACATATACAAGTGCTTTTACACTGCATAAAAGTGCTTTTGATATTTTGTTGCGTGTTTGATTGCCATAGTATCTCAAAAAAATTCTAAGAATCCCAAAATATTATAAGAAACTTAGGATATAAAAATTGATAATTTTTTGAAGAAATAAAAACACTACTTAACAAAATTATAAGAAGTGCAAAATGAAAAAGATGAACTTCACCAGGTATAATTTATAATCATTTTTTAAAAATAAAAAAGAAACTAACTAGACATAAGAAGATTTGCAATTCTCTCGTGTTCGTCATCCATCTCTCGTCTATGGGTTAAATTTGTTCTTCAACCATCTCTTCCCCTCCATTAACTCCTGACTCGCCAGAGGGAACTAGCTCATCATTGTCATCACAAGGTTGATGAATGGAATATTGTGGGAATGGTGTTGTGTAGAGATTTCTAAAAAATCTACAACCAAACTTTGAGTATAAATCACCTAACAAGCTATATCTAATATGAAATCAAAGTAAGAGAGGAAGCATTAAATAAACTAGGGATTCATGCAAGTCTCATTTGGTCCAAATCTTGATAAGTCTATGAAAGTGTGCACCAAAGACTCTCTAAATCCTATTTGAGAGAAAGATAAGATGTTCACACTCTTGGAGTGAATCTTAAAACCAAGAATGGTGTTCAAGTAGAGGGAGTGGTCCCTTTGTTGTTAGCTCTCCCTTTGATGTCACAAGAGTGACAAAAATACCCCCAAGCCTTAGTGTAGCCACACCCCCATTTGTGTGTCATCTTTTTGCTATCTTGGTCCAACACATTAATCCTATAATGTGTCACATATGTGCCTAAGTCCATATGGTCAAATCCCTTTTGAATTTCCAAGTCATATGGGATCTTTAATTAAAGTTTTATAACTTTAATTGAATAATTAAATTAATCTAATCAATTTAATTACTCTAATGACTTAACTAATTTAATCACTCACTTGTCTAATGAGTGTTGGTCCCGGTCATCCTTAGTTGACCGTGTCAAGTGTCGGGTCAATTGTTTGAGCTTTGACTTTTGACTTTCACATTGACTTTGACCAAGTCACAAAATCATTCATTCTCTTCTTAATTTCCCAATCGATTCCTTTTCAGTGTGCGATCTTATAGTTTTTAATTAGTGAGGTAGTGGGTATGAATGATTCACTCTGAATCAAGTGTAAATTGTATCCCTTCATACAATTCTCCTTATTGGCGAAGGCTAATTATAATTAGTCCTTGCTTCCACAAGCCATGAGTGACACCTAGTAGTATGTCATGGCTACCCAAGCTAAAAGAATTCATTTAGAGAACCTAGTTAGTTTGTGATTACAATGCAATTCGATCCTTCTCTAATTCAATACTCTATGCCATATTCTTGGGATATGGTAAACTTGTGTCAAAATCCCTAATATGACATCTCTAGATTATAATGTTTAATTTGATGAAATTGCAAACGTACTTGTTTCAATTTCCATCCAATACTTTGGCTAGAGATTCATGAATCATATATTTAGAGTATTCTCTCTTCTTACTAAGAGCAAAGATTTCTTGTTGTACATTCACCTGTCTCTGCGTACACACTAAGAATCCTGAGGAACACTTTTAAGTCACATCATTTTGATACGACCGTATAATTCTCTCAAAGAGAAACAACATATACACAAGACAAATGTGATGTCTCAGGTCTAAGGATTAATTTGCATTATCACAACTTAGAATTCTTTGTTTGACACTTGTGAGTAAGACTTCCATACAAGAATTCTAGAGTTGATTGCGTTCAGTGGACTCCATCTTCTATAGAGCACCTACACATCTGTCTCAATGTCTCTACACGAATGACTTGAGACTAGTCATCCTCCCAATTGAGCAGACATAATGTGTACCAGTCTTTGCGGGTCACCATTGTCCAATTAATGATCCTATGACCAGGAACATTTTAGGATACGATATTTATATGTATGGAAACGTCTCGTGCATCTAACTTCTTTACAACACTTTCCATTTATATCTTAAACCATGGACTTGTTACTTTGTGTACGTTATGTATCTAAAGCAACGTTCTTGCCCCTTTGATTATTATATATTATTTCCTTAGAGTTATCCATTTTATATTGGCTTCTAGGGCATATATCTAACAGTTGAAACTCTTGATCTGTCATTAAATGACATCTTATAAAGTTGTGAATAGCCATTGAACAACAACTATAGGAAAGTTATGCATATGTTGTATCATTCTCCAACTATTTTTCCAAACACCAAAAGTTCTTTCTATTCTGCATCTTAAGGATGAACGCCTGTGGTTAAATATTTCTTTCTTCCCTCTTGGTTAACTTCCACATCGAAAATCAAGAAGATGATATTGCTCAACCTTATATGGCCCTACATATCCTTTCATTTGTGGATAGCCTGAATCCACTAGATAATATTTACCTATAATAACAAAGAACAACATAAGCATCATTTACTATATCATAAATTAAAACATATTTGATTTGGAGGAAAAAAAAAGATGGATTTAGTTACCAGTAGGTGGATGAGGAAACTTTAAAATTGGTCTTCGTAAGGCCTCTATGAATATTCGTGCATCGTGAACAACACTTTCCCATCCAGCCCACACAAATGTAAAACACATTAAAATCACATACAACCATAACACTTTGGGTAGTGATACCTTTTCTTCCAATATAGAGTACTTGTCTTGCTCTAGGCATGACCACTGGTATATGTGTCCCATCAATTGCCCCTATGCAATCTTTGAAGTATGGCCAATATTGATCATCAACTTTTATTTTACCCAAAATTCTCCTAAAATGAGGGTCTTGTGGACTTATGATATAACTAGCCATGAGACAAACAACATCTAAAATTATCCCAAATCACTTTGACACTATCTCACCAGAATGTTGGAACCTTTCTTGGACCATTCTATAAGTGAACCCATGACCTAAAATGATGAGGAGCCTCAACTACTAGTATATCTCCAACTTCTTTCAAATCATATGCACCTGTAAGTGTCTCTAACAATTTTATGAAGACATGTTTTTCCATCCTAAATTGTTCATAGCACCTTATCTTGTGACCATTTAAAACATCCATGACCCATTTATCGGTTAGCTTGTCACATAATTTGTCTTGTGACCATTTAAATTTTCATGGCTTGTCACATAAATTGTTCATGGCACCTTATCTTGCGACCATTTAAAACATCCGTAACCAAGACTAAATTTAAACTTTCTTACTCCTAAGCCACATAATTTGTCGGTTGGTTTGCCTCATTGCAACAAACATCTCTCTATTCTTTCTTTCAGTCAAGACATATGCAGCTTTCACGAAAACCTCATCATCCTCAACAATTTTATGTATGCCTTCTACAACTTGCATCACTTCTTCAATGCTACGTACAACCAAGCATGTCGTTATTTCTAGAACTTCGATTTGCTACTGATTCTAAAATATAATATAATCGTTTTATCACCTTCTCCCCAACTGTAGGTTTCTTACCATCCCTTTTTCTTTTCGTGCTTTATCTTGTTGGAAAGTTTCAATATTAGGAAAGTATCAACATCATCAATATTATCAAGCCCATCATTATACTCCAGACCATTCTCCAAGCTATAGTCACCATCTTCATTACTATTTTCTGTTTGACGAGGTAGTACATTCTCAACATCATGTACAGAACCTTGTGATGTTGCCCAAGCTCCATCACTCGTGACATCAATATCCCTAAATAAAATATCTAATTGATCAGCATCTTTCAATCCACATGTTCGAAATTTTGATGCTTCGGGATTCTCCTACAATAATATTAACTTAAATGAATAAGTTCTTACAAAACTATGTATATTAGCTTCAAGTGGGAGAAATATAACACAATTGTATGACAAGAAATTCACCTTCACTTTTTATGTCCCACCATTCATTGCTAGCATTGTTGGTTTTCTTCACAGGATCACATCCTAGACCAGTCTATTTTCCAACCAATGATGTCCACAATTGCCATTCTTTCTTAAGTCCAGTCCATTTGTTCTTGAGTTGCTTTTGAGAATAGGTCCTTTGAGTCAACTCACTAAATTTCCTTACAACATTTTTCCATCCTTTCTTACTAAAATGGCCACATGATCGATTTCCATCTATTGTCTCAACAACACAAATTTTGATAAATGCATCAAAAGCCTCATCATCCCAATAGCCTTTCCTTGTTTCTTGCTTTCTTCTCCACATTCATCTTGTGATGACTTATCCAATTTATTAGACATTATTCTATTAAGAACATTGGACAATGAACACAAATTAAATGAAAACTTAAGCAAGTTGCACATGCCTTGCAAAACATAAATGACAACTATGTGACAAGACAAGAAACATTTTGTTATTAGAGTAAAACAAGAAAAAATGATCAACTATGTTATTCATGCGTGCAATTGTAGTTTCATTATTGAAAGAAGAAAAAAAAAGATACATAATACATAGTTTTTTTTGTGATCAAATCTGAACTCATAAAACCAAAATAGGAGGGAAAAGATGTAAAAGCAAGGTCATGAAACTCAACCCGTTACAACAATACAAATATAGAGACCAGAAAAGAGAAGTTCAAACTAAACCGAATAGATTTGAAACATGAGGGCATATTGTGTGAGTGGGCAACTTTGGCAATAAACAATTTGGCTTATGGCTATCACCAAAACAATTAACATATCAATGATAAGAGTAATATGAGAATAAATCTTGGGAAGAAATTGAAACATTCACAACAACTGAACAAAGAGAAACAATCAATTCTGGTTCACCATGAACAGAAAAAGTGAAAGGCTTACCTTTGAAGAAAATAATATAGTTCACACTTATATCTATAAACCATAGTCTAAAATATCGATGAAATATCGAGGATATTATAGTTTTTTAGGATGACGAATATTTCGGAACGTATCCATATACATATCGTATAAATATCGATAATATCAACGATAATATCGATGTCGATAATTTTGCTCACACTTCAGAAATATTTTGTCATAATATCGCTGTAATATTGATGTAAATAAAAAAAAGGGAAGGGGGGGGGGGGGGTGACACAAAGCACACAAGCAAAGGGGATACAAACACTTGCCATTTCACTTCTCCAACGCATTAACCACCATGATGCTTATATTTTTGTGATAATATGCTAAAATATGTATATGTATATTGTTTTGTTTTGAACTATTTTTGCAAGAATCAGATTTTCACATGTGAGTTTTTGACCTTTCCTTTTGGGATGGAATCGAGCGGCTCATGGAAAGAATCCGAGACCCAATCTTCAAATGATTTTGCTTATGGACAACGTCAACCAATCTCAGATCCATATGAGTGACATGTTAACAATTACATGCAAAACTATTTTGGGGATTTATCATTTGATGACTACTCTTCACAATACACTTACTCTACACATAAAGATGATGAAGATAGTAAAAAATTTGAACCTCATAGGGACTCTATGTGGTACTAAGTCACTCATGCATATTACCATGTAATGTATAAAGTGTAAAATATTGTAGTAAATCATTATATATAAATGATTATAGTGAATTTAATATTCTTTCATTAATTACTATATATTTTCTACACTCACAGTGTTTGTCAGTTCGCTATATAATTGTGGGGGCTTTTTCATTCCAGCAGCTTGACAAATGGGCTTAGGCTGCTGTAAAGAGAGGATGGATAAAGTTGCCCCTGTGCATGCGTTCAAGAATCAGGCCCCAAGAGTGCTTCGAAAGGTTCTTGGAGCCTTAGGAAGCACCTTGGTTTCCTTCACCAACAAAACCATTAGTTACTTATAGATAAATATTATGGCTTGGCATGAGAAACTTGTGGCATGGGAGTTAAGCATTTGTGAGTTTAGCATGAGAGAGAGAAGGCTTGGGTTTCCTACGAGAAACAGAGGCTCAAAGTAAGGGGAAGAGAGAGTTTTTGGGAGAATTTGTTGAGGGGAGAGAGGAAGAGATGAGGGAAGAAAAGTGGGTGGTTTGAGCAATTTTCTGGCAGCTTGACGAAAGCTTCGTCAGGCTCTGGAATGGCCTGCTAGAAGAGAAGATGGGAAGAGATGAAGGAATAGGGCTCGAAATTGAAGGATTCTAGGGATGAGAGGTGATGCATGCTTTCTCTGGATGAGGTTGCTTGCCTTTAATGAGTTCTTTTGTTAGGTAGAAGGTACCTCCTTTTATAGGCGCTGGAAGCTCCTTCTCCCAAGAAACCCTAGCTGGTTCATCCCAAATCAGCCAAGTCTCCCCCTCAATCTCTCTTCTCTTCCTTTGATTCATCCTTATTTTGTGAAATCCTTCTCAGTCCAAACAGAGACAAGATTTTTTGAGGCTCTAGAGCCTTCCCACAGCTGTCCCTGCAACCATCTCCTATTTTGAGATACCCTTTCTCTTTCTTTTCTCCTTCATTTTATTGCAAGAGCTGGTGGGAGAAATGAATGGGTAATGGCACTGGTTTGAAGGGTGTTTTGCTCAAGTATCCTTTGGTTTTTTTGATGGCCTATGTTGGGATTTGTCTTTGGCCATGTGTTGGAGATTCCCAATAGCCTACGCAAGTCTCTATCCCTTGGTTTTATGTCATGGTTTTAGCCATGTGCTGGAGACTTTCGTATTTTTCTAAGTCACTTGGGCCATTTCCTAAGGTAATGGGCTAGTTTACTAAGGGGATGGGCCAACCTTCGAGAGTGATGGACTATTTTTTACTAAGGTGATGGGCCAATTTTCTAAGGTAATGAGCTACCTTTTTCTCTTTTTCATGCTTACCCACATATTTGGGCTCAAGAAATGGGCTAGAGTTTTGGAGCTCCCAAGCAGCCCAAAACTTCTACTTCTTGGCCCATCAATAGGCCTCGTGAATGTCCGTAACCATTCTTTTGGAGCAGTGAATGTCCCTAAACCCTAAACCCTAAACCCTAAACTCTAAACCCTTCTTGAAAAAGCACTTGGGAGTGCTTCCTGAAGAAGCACATGGCAAGTGCTTCTCCAGAAAGCACTTCGATGGCCTAGAAGAACTTCTAAACTTGTCTGCCTAGGCTTTGAATCTCACCCAAAGTGCTTCTACAATTTTTGCCAAACACCATCTTTAAAAGATAGAAGTGGTTTTACCCGTTTAGAAATGATTTTCGCTGCTCCAAAAAAATTCCCAAAAGAGCTAATAGTTTGATAACTGCCTTTTCTTTTGTTTTTATCTTTGATCTTTTTTGGGTCTTTTTCATTTTCTAAAATGCTACTCCAATACCTAGCTATAGGAACATCTTAAATTGTCTTTGTTCCTCCCTTGTCTCAACCATGCTTGCAAAGAATCGGTAATTAATAATGATAGTGGTGTACAATTTGGTTCCGTCCTTTGAAAATATGGTTTTTCCAAAATGTTGCTGTTAAGTACAAAAAAAGATGAACTCACGCGTACCAAGAATCTAGTATTTTATACATATTTTGTTAACAAGGCTTTTTGGGAGTGATGGTCCCTCCAACTCGATTAGTTTCGCTTGTTCCTCAACTCCACTTCTTCTAGTACCGTTGGTCTTGCCATCTTAATCTGTTATATTTTCCGTCAAATCTAGGGATACAATGGTCACCTTGATGCATATGTATACTGAAGTTCTCCTCCTCCACAATCTATTACCACAACAACATACTAGGATTTGAAATCATTTTAGGTAAGATATACAAGTCAATGTACCAATATTTTCAGGGTCAACATCTGTATCATCATTATTCAACATGTACTGCTCTACTCGTAGTGTTTTAAATAGCTGATTTGTAGTGACCTTCATAGCATCTCAAATTCATTATATGACAATCATCGCATAAGTATTAAATCGCGGTCGTTATATGACTGTTGCATAAGCTATATTGTCGTCATATTGAAACAATATTTTTTTTAAATGAGAAGAAGAAAAACTAAAATTAGGTGCTGCTTCTCAAAGAAAACAAACCCTAAACCTGAAATTACCAAAATATTTACACAAATCCATGAAATTGAAGGCCATAGTTTGAGGTTTCAAGTCAATAGGGGTTGCTTCTCCTCTGTGTTGTATGACTTGGGGTCCCACTTGAGCAAGATTTTCAGCAAGCACATGTGTTTATTCATAATTTTTTTTCTCCATTTGTGGTTCTATGTTTTGGGCAATTTCATAATTGAATCTTTGGTAACTTCAGAAATTCTTATGTATATTTAGTTATTTAGTTGAATTAGGTTATGGGTTAATTATTCGAATAAGTTTATTTATATTAGGGTTTTTATCACAAATTGTTCTTGAGGTTTGTGAAATTATCGTCTTTGGTCCTTCAATTTTTTTTTTTGCATTATTACACCTTACACATCAATTTGATCCATGCTGTTAGATTCTGTTAAAATTTTGGTTAAATTGATGACATGGCACATATGTGGTGCCCACATGTCCAATGAGATAATGCCAAGTGGACCTAAATAAAAAAATTAATTTTAAAAAATAGTTTAACATTTAAAATCTAAAAATAGAAATAAAGAAAAGAAAAGAAAACTGCAACTCTCCCCCTCCTCCCCGCTTCCGTTCCCCTCCCCCACCCTTTTCTCTCTACTGTCAGCCTCTCTCTCTCTCATCCCCTCCCCAACCCATTCCCCAACTCCTCCTCCTCCTCCTCAACGAACAACCCGAGATCCATCGGCCCCAACCCTTACAAACCATCTTCGACGGCACCTTGGACCTAGTCCCCACTCCACTCCACCCTCAATTACCCACTCCTCAAGCCCAAGCCAATGAATGATGAAATACAAATGCAGATTCATTGGAGTTTTTCCTTTCTATAATTAATTAGGGATTTGGCTTTTGTTTCTATGCATTTTTTTCCATCCAGAGTTTGTGAGAGCTCTTGTGGTGATGGGGTGCAATGATGGCTAGGTAAGGAAAAGGGATCTGAAAGTAAAGAAAAAAAAACAGAGGGGCGAGGCACCCAAATCGTATTCCATATTTTTTTGAGAGAGAGAGAGAGAGAGCAGAGGGAGAGGGAGGGGGAGGGGAAAGGCTGGAAGTTGCATACTTTTAAAAAATATTATGAATTTTTTAAAATAATTTTTTTTAATTCAAATTTATGTGGCATAATGCCATTGAAAATGTGGGCTTTGCATAAATTCCACGTTATCAATTTAATAGAATATTTGATGGAACCTGGCGATAAGACCACTTTGATGTGTAAGGTGTAACATAAAGGATCAATAATGTCACAAAAAAAAACATAAAGGACCAAAAGCAATAATTTCGCAAACCTTAGGGACTATTTGTGATAAAAAATCTTATTAAATTATTCAATTGAAGCAGTTTGTTGGTAATTTGGAGGAGAATGTTGATAATTTGACATTTTATTGCTTGAATATTATGATTGAATGTTAATTAGACTTTTTGATTGCCTATATTAGGTATTATTATTTTAAGCTATAATATTTCTAGTCCAAATAGCTTATGCCACAACGTGTCGATACTCAAGCTACGTTATAGCTTACATAATTTACCAATTTTGAAGACCAACACCGAATCGTCCAAAAGTTTCATAGACCGATACACCGAGAAATTGACTCGGTTTAGTTGGTTTTTGGGTGAGATGAAACTAGTGGGTGTGAGAAACGAAGAGAGAGGAGAAGTCGGTGAGGTGGATCTAGATCTTGCCATGTAGTGGTGGCAATGAGTCGAGGCAGAGTAGAGGAGAAAAAGAACAAGAGAAAAGAAGATGGCGAGTAAAGTGTGAAGATCGAGATAGTGCGACCACTATGGTTTCCATTTTGAATATAAATAGAGAAGAGAGAGAGAGAAGCACGATGTAGTTGCTAGGGTTTTGAAGAGATATGGGTGGGCTAATTCAACGTGGGGAGGAGATATAGAATCACTTTAAGCCCAACCAATATAATAAAGACACGTGAAGAAGGTGAGTTTGCAAAAGAAATCAAGACCAATTAGAGTCAGTTAAAACGATGAGTTTAAAATATATGATCGTAAAAAGAAAAAAGGGCACAACTGAGCAAACTAGTCTGATTTGGTTGGTTTACTGATTTGGCGGGTAGAAATGCCTAACCCTATTGAGGCTGGACTTGAAGGGATCATTTTGCCCTTAAATTTGACGAAAAATGTACCAAACTAGCTGCATAACCAATAATTGAGTTTGAGGACCAAAATGTAATTCTGGTTTTAAGTTTAAAGACCATTACTCCTCAAAACCCTTTTTAACAAAACTACAAGTCATCTATACAATATATATATATATATATATATATTGTATATTGCAACAAGTCTTAGTTAACAAAATGTGGTATTTTGAATTACTGTAGTGCTACAATCATAAAAGACCCTTTCTATTTAAACCCCACAGTTATCTTTGTTCACTCTATATTCTAAGTTTACCATAACTTTTAATTCAAATTTTCACAATTTCTAAGAAAAACCCACTTCCCAAACTACCCCTAAATACACACCCAGCAGAAAAAATAAAATAAAAATAAAAATAAAACTCATCACCCTCACACCCTGCTATCTTGCCCCTCTAAGTCCTATAGCTAGAGCTACGATTTTATTACACAGATAGAAAAATAACATGTTTCAAGTAGTTGAGTTGTGAGTCAAAGAAACTAGAATAAGATTCATATCCTTTCATAGGTAAGCCGTACTTTTACGCACAAGTCCAGTTTTATCTTTAATTTGGCAAACAAACTAAAGAAAACTGATTTTTTTACAAATAAAAAACAGAGTGATTTTTTTGGGGTTTCAAACTTTCAGTTTGATTGCTATTTCTTTACGCTTGTGACTCTTCCAAGTTCCAAATTTTCCTCTCTTTATTTGCTTTATAGGGAAATTCAACCCCCCAGATATTTTTATTACATAGATAGAAAAATAATATGAAGATCTTTATTTACTTTCCTCTCTTTATTTGCTTTATGGAGAAATTCAATCCCCAAATATTTGTGTTTTTCTAAAACTTAATATGAAAAGTGACGAGGTGTGTGAGGTAAATAATAATAAAATTTAAAAGCTTAAGGATTTAAGTATTAGAGTGAACAAAGAAAAATATAAAGTTAAGAAAAACTCATCATAAAATGATAATAATGTGGATGCAAGTGACTTTGGCCTTCCTTGTGGCGGGGCCATTGCGATCTCAGACACAGCTAGTGTCACCACAGAGGGAATTAAATTGGGAATTAATTAATTTAAACGCGTCCTGCCCGCGCATGTGGTGGTAGTACCTTTGCTGGTGTAGTGGTGGGGATCGACGATGGATGGAGAAAGCAACCAAACGTTTCGTTTTCAACAATAAAATAAAATAAAAAATCTCATCTCATAAAGAAAAAAAATTAAAATAAAATCTCATCTCATCTCATAGAGAAAAATAAAAGTACATTAAATTAACAAAAAATAAAAAAGGAAATTGAGTCCTCAACTGCCAAAGGTGCCAACCCACACCCACAAGCCCAAAGCAAGCACACACCTCTCTCTCTCTCTCGTTCTCTCTCTTTCTCTCTCTAGAAAAAAGAGAAAGGGAGGAGGGTGAATCTCGTTTGTTGAAGAGGAAAAAGGGTGAGTGAGAGTGTGAGGGATGCAGATGATCTCCAAGGCCTCTTGTGCCATGGCCTCCTTCCCTTGCTCTAAGGTTTCTACCTTCACTCCCCCTCTCTCTCTGCTTTTCCTTTCTGACTTTCCCCTCTGTCAAGTTTTATTTTATTTTTGTTCATTTCTCTGGTAAATTGTGGTCTCGTTTGTTCCAATTTTTATATATATTAATACTCATATTTTTTGGAAATGAAAATGGACCATTTTCTAGTATTCTTCTATATCATATATATGTATGTATTTCTGTATCTGTTTATCTTTGTATTTCTTCTTTTTCCTCTTATTGTTAGGGCTTATAGTGACCGTTCTGTTTTCCGTTCCTCTTTTCTTTCTGAAGTCCAAATTTTTCAACACAGAAATGTGATTGTGGGCAGCAGGGACAAAATCAGATATGACTTGGTAGGCAAATGCGTTTTTCAGTTTTGTACTTTTTGCTAAATCTATTTTGGGATGTTTTGTTTATTTTGAAGTCTAGCGGCAGAGTATTGCAAATGGTTTTGTAAAAGTTAGAGCCCGCTTTTAGTAAACTGATAAGAATGTCTCGTTTTTTTTTAAGTAAGGAAGATGTGAATGCCAAATTTGGTACTCTTGTACAAATTCATGCGTCATCTAGGAAAATGGGTTTTGCTCTTTTGTGAATTTCTTTTGTAATTTTGGCCTCAAAATCTATATATATGTGGAGGGAAGCCTTCAAAGTTTTCTGTTTGTTGTGTTTTTTCTTTTACCCTTTTGAGAAGGGCAGGAAGTGGCTTTTTCTTGCTGATTTGTAGATAATAATCTTTCTGCTATTTTGAATTTGAAACCTTTTTCATATGTTAGGGGAGGAGTGGACTCTGTGTATGGCCTGGCATGAGACAGCTTTGCCTTCGAAAAGGCCTTTTGTATGGATTCATGCAATTATTGTCTACACCATTAAAAACTCTGCGTGGAGGAGCTAGTCGTTCGCTTAGAGTCGCTAAATTTTGCAGTGTTGTTAATATGTCACCCTCATTACATATTGAATTGGTGAGTAGATCTCTCTATTCTTCTGCATTTGAATTATAAATGTCTTGGATGATTATCTTCATAGTATTTCTGGGTGACAAACCAATTTTAAGGATAAAAATTCTGATGGTTGAATCGAAACATCAGTTTTTGGATTGAAGTATTAATGAAAATATAAATTTTGATGGAAACAACAGTAAAATTTTGATGAAAAGATAATACTGGTGGCATATATATGATCATGGAACTTGACTAATTTGTAAAATCTTCTTAATTTCACTAAGCCAAACATTCTAATGGGTAATTTTTAAATGTTTTTGCTCTCTTACATAGCATACAGCATGAAAGATTTATTTTTTACCCAACCCTTTAGCTAGGTTTCCTATAGCCATTTGTTTGTTAAGGGTGTGTGCCCTTTTCTGTAAGCTCACTCATTTTACCTATCCATCACAAATGAACTTTTGAAAATTTCTCAATTGTTGACATGGACAGTAAAAATTAAAATCATCGACATCTCAGCAGCCTTGCCAAGATGTCTGATATTTTTCCACCTCTTATCAGGAGCAGTGGCTTTAGAAAATGGAAATTGCAGCAGGTTCACCTGCACTGAAACTGAGCCATTTATTTATTTTTATTTTCCCTCCTCTACTCTTGTGTGGGTGTGCTTCTAAAGTTAATGTGTTTGTATACACACATAAGTTGTACGTAGTCATGCTTTTAGTCAGCCAAACTTATTATTAAACTCAACTAATACTTATATATGTTCAGTTTTTCCAACTTGCATTGCATGTATCTACTTTGTTGTTGAAGTTGCATATATCTTTTCATTTTCAGGTACCATGTCTTAGAGATAACTATGCATATCTTTTACATGATGTGGACACTGGCACTGTTGGTGTTGTTGATCCTTCTGAAGCCGTACCTATTATTGATGCTTTGAGTAAGAAAAACCGAAATCTGACATACATACTGAACACTCATCATCATCATGATCATACTGGTGGTAATGCTGAGTTAAAAGCAAGGTACGGTGCAAAGGTATGGTAGCATTAACTTGCTTTTTCAGTCCGGATATCATTTTTTCCCCATTTCCCAAATCATGTCTTAGTTAGCGGACTTTCTGATGGACAGTAAATCTCAATTGTAGCGAGTATTTAAAGTCTGGCAGCATTCTTTATTCAGAATTTCAGAGTTTCAATCTGAAAGTATGTTTTGGCTTGATATATGCCAGGTTCTTTAATTTGGTACCACTGTTGACTTAGATGCCCTTAGGAACTGCAAATCAAGAAAACATCACATTGGGAATAAAACATTACACCTGAAATCTTTACTCTGAAATGCTACTGGTTATAATGTTGGGTAGTGACACAGGTGGGAGAATGCTTGACATAGTGCATTAACATGTTTACATGTCAGATTAAACAAACAAATAATTCATTTAATATTTGATTGATGTAATTCTTCTATTTTCTCTTGGGTGATAGCACTTCTCAAAACATGAGAATTATAGAATACAGTTGTACAACATAGCACAGTTGTTATTTTCATCTTTTCTCTTTTTAAGCAAGCGTAGTACAGTAGTAAATGTTACAGAACTTGCAAGAATCTGGCATAGAAGTTTAAAACTGCCGTTTTGAATTTATTTATTTTTCTCTTTTTGTTTGACAGTTGTTGCATATTTTACGGAATACTTTTTCTTCTATGAAGTTGTTTTGGCTCACAACTTTTTCTGCGTGTTTCCTGTTGTTTTTGAAGGTGATTGGTTCAGGAATAGACAAGGATAGAATTCCTGGCATTGACATTGTTTTGAATGATGGAGATAAGTGGATGTTTGCTGGCCATGAGGTGCATGTTGTGGAGACTCCTGGTCATACTAGAGGTCATAATTTATTACTTGATTACATTCTAAAAGTCCCTTGACATTTCCTGATAAACACCCTTTTTCGCCCAAAAATTCTGCTAAATTATGATAATTTGTGCTGCATTTGGACCCTCGTCGCTGAATAATTTAATTTCTTAGCGTGTAATTGTTGGTGTTTAACTAGACTGACAAACTATTCAGTGAAGCACATGTTACACCCTTCCTTCTATAATATTTCTTCCTCATATATTGTTTACTCTTTTTTGGTTGGTACTGCATTTTTACTGGCTAATTTATCTCCTCAAGCACAATTCGCATACCTAATCCTGTGAAATCTAATCTAATATATTTTTTTTCGAATCTGATTTTATTGTTTCTTTACAAATTACATTATACATTCGTATATTTCTTCTCTATATGAGCAGCACCATGTTGATGCTTTTTTTAATTTTTTGTTTTTGTTTTTGAAAAAGCTTAATCTCAAGTTTAGAATATATGTGATCATGGTTAGCACCTCTGCTGGCACCTTTCTAAGCATATTGTGATATTTTCAATTTATGTAAACATGGTGGCCTAGAAGTTAAGTCCATCCATTTCAAAGTAACTTCATAGATCTAGTTCCAAATGTCATTACATTTACAGATGATTCACCATCCCTTGTTTTGCTTATTTCTAATCTTAGTTCTTGGTCTTTGTTGCAAGCAGGTCACATTAGCTTCTACTTTCCTGGATCAGGGGCAATTTTTACAGGAGACACTTTGTTCAGCTTATCATGTGGCAAGTTGTTTGAAGGAACACCTGAGCAGGTGATTTTTAGCCTACACCTTTTGACATCTTCTTGTTCAATGGTTTGAGTCTTTTGTAAACTTGATGCTCTGATCATGTATTGCATTTTTTACTTTTAAGTTGACATCATACTGTCAATGTCTTGGTCTGACAAACTGGTTGTATGTACCTGTTTGATTCTGAAGAGTGTTAATTAGAGTTGATAAATTTGATCAAACCTACCAGGGAACGATTATGTTTAATGCATGGACTTATAAGATTAACAGCAGTAAGTTTTTCATAAGAATAATTATTGTATATGGAAACAGTAATATATCTGAGGTCCAATACAATTATTGTTTGGAAAGACAATAATAATTATCTTTTACAAATATGGGAGGCCTTTGTGATAACCCTGTTTGAAGTTTTATCCAAAAGGTGAAATTGTTTTTCCTATGGATTTTTGCCGTGAATGCTTTGGAACAAAAATGTTAGTTTAATTTCTTCTCCAATCATTAAAAGAAAAGTGCTCGTATTCTTTATAAATACCTGGATATGTTGCATCGTGTTCTTGGTTTAATTCTCATCGTTATGATTAAAGTGAACCTTTGCAATAATGAGAGGTCAAAGCAATGGTTTTTACTAAGGTTAATAGGTGAAGGTGCCCCAAAAGATTTATAAGCACTGATGCTGCCTTTGCCAAAGCAATAGTTATCTTGCTAGGACTTGCTTGAAGAAATTGATGAATTTTTCTTCTATTTTTTTTTTCTCTGGTTTTCATTTATATGCTGAAACAGTTGATTTTTTATGTTACAGATGCAATCTTCCCTTTCAAAGATCATGTCTTTGCCAGATGATACAGATATATACTGTGGTCATGAGTATACATTGGTTAGTCACGTCATCCTTTCACTTTCTTTCTGTAGCCACAGAAATTTTCAAAGCTCAAAACAAGGCCCTGACTAATAGACAATCATTTTTGACAGAGTAACTCAAAGTTTGCCTTGTCTATAGAACCTGAGAATGAGGCACTTAAGTCCTATGCGGCACATGTCACCCATCTTCGCAACAAGGGCATGCCTACGGTAAACTTAAGGACTTCCTTTTTTTGAACTAGTATAATCTTTTGAGAGAAATTTTGGAATGTTGGAATGTTGAACTTCCTATTTTATTTGGGTTAGGATTTCTGTTTTAGCAAGGGATTTTTTTCCTGTTATCTCTAGGTTTTAGTTGCTATAAATACCCCATATAGTTCTTTAAAATTCAGATTTGGATATTGAATAAACCCTCTCTTAAAACTCACTGATTTCTGTATTTTCTTCTCGGTTCTCGGTTCTCTGATTTCTGTCCTTTCTTTCTCCCCTTCGATCTATCTTTTCTTCTCCTCGACCCCTATATTCTTCTAAGTTCAACTGTTTCAAGTGTTTAATCATACCCCTAGGGGCTGTGCTACATCAGTGTGACTTTGCATCTGGATGCTTGGAAAACCTTGCAACTGACAAATAATACTACTTTGTAATGCTTTGCCAATAAGCATGCCAATGCCTAATCAGGCAGTGAATATATACGTCTAGAATTCATAGTATTGCTCTGTTCATACTTTCCATGCCCTTTATATGATTTGCCCAAGTGATGTCAACTCTTTTGCGGTGTATCAGGTTCCAACCACATTAAAACTGGAAAAGGCGTGCAATCCTTTTCTTCGCACTTCAAGCATAGAGATTCGGCAATCATTGAATATTCCAGCCACTGCAAATGATGCAGAAGCCTTGGGTGTCATACGCCAGGCAAAGGATACTTTTTGATACTTATCAGGCCCTTGTTGCTTTCTTTCTTTGTATAGTAAGATTGAGATAGCCCATCCATTTTGTGAAATAATTACTTACTAAGATATATATGCATTTGTTGTTCATATATCATCAAGAGTTCTCAGTTCTTTGGGTTGATTCTCACTTGCTGAAAAAGAAAATGTGAGTGATATGAAATTGATACCTTGGAAGTTGGAAACTACCAATGCATTTTTCTAAGATTGATTGGAAAGGTTAGGAGTTCAAAATTCAACATTCATTGAGATTTTATCCATTTCATTACTCAAATAATTTTGCCTTGAAGGTGAGGGAACACTGTTCAAATGGTTGTACTGAAGAGCCACAAAAAATTAGCTTTATAGACATATCAAGTATTTTGTTTGATTGAATATTCTATGTTCTTTATGAAGGTTGTGAAAGAAAATTTTTATTTTTATTTTTGTTGAGGAAATTGTAGATTTTTTTTTTCTCGTTTGAGTAACACTAGTGCAATCTCCTCATTATGTAATCCATCTAAACTTGGAAGGAAAACAAAGTACTAGAAAAAGGGGGGAAGCATATATCAAAAGGAAAATTGAAAAATGGCAAATTGAAAATGAGAATCCAAGTTTAGTTTTTACATATTACCCCCCTATGGAAGTCCCCCTCACTTTGGGATGAGTAGCCTCCCCTCCCCCTAAGCTTTTTTTCGCCTTGTGAAAAAGACATTCCAATGTATATTTCACACCACTTAATCTCACTTAGAAGTTGGGCAACAACAAAATTATTACAATAACTTAGAGACCCTCGACATTTGACTAGGACAGTGAACCTGCTAGATTCTTGCATTCTAGTTCGAGCCCATAAACTATTCTAAGACCTTTAATTTATATTTTCTTTTTCCTTCAATATTTTCCCAACAAGAAAATAGCCTTGGAATTCCCAAAAATAAAAGGTGTCTGGTTGGAATATGAAGGATTTTGAGTGATTGGTGGAGATTTGGTTGGAGAAAGCAACACCGGTGGTTTAGTTGGAATTCCCTTCTCTATTTCTTGTGATTTTACTTTGCTTTTTCATGGTTTGTGTTGTTTTGTGCAAGTTGGGATTGGTTCACCAAAACACCACCTTCCCAGTAGCTTCAATTTTTTATACGCCAAGTAAAACTGACTCCACTTTATTATCATCATGAAGTTGACTAAGGACCTTCATCACCTAATCTTTATTTTCATATCCCAATTATTGGTCTGCTCTAGCTCTTTATGGCATCTACTAAGCCAGCACTCAACCCAATTTTTTCAACCAACACAATAATCGGTATGTTTGGATTGAAAATAAACATGAAATTTGAACATAACTCAAAATTTCGCAATTGGAGTTGGTAATTCCCTTGTTTGGGTTAATAAGCAAAGACACTTATAATTTCCATGTGAAAAAATAATAATTGAAATTCAGAATCACAAGTCTCAAGTTTAAAATTTTTAAAATTTAATATTACAATCTATCTTTGAGAGGGGTACCAATTTCTAAATGAGTGGTGTAACATCCCATCCCGCTTTTAGTTTTAATTTTCGGAATTTTAAAGTGAAAGGATTGTTTTACCCTTAGGATTTCTAAGTGGTTTAGGATTCATTTATTATTCGGGAACTGGTTTTGGAAATTTTCATCATTTCCATTGCGTAAAGCTTGAGTTCACGAGTTCGTAGACACGCAGTGGGCTTGAATAAGAGTTTTAACGAGGGAGTTATGGTCAACGGAAGTGCAGTGCCACAATTGTAATTTTGAGAAACTCATATTCTTTAAAAAGGAGCCAGCGGGCCCAATAAGCCACTTTCTCTCTCTTCATCGTGATTAGACCTTTTCACTTCTTTCTCTCACGGTGAACAGTGACGATGTCACTTCCCAGCGACATCTCATCATTGTCCGGCCATTTCAGGCTGCACCACCTTTAAGACAAATATTCATCTCTTCCTCCTCTGAAAAAACCCAACCCATATCCAACCTTAAAATCGAGTGGATAGGAAGATTTTTCGATCCAAAAACTGTCCAAAAACAGTTTCAGCCATCACCGAATTTTTAGAGCTCGGATCAGCAGTTTCGACCACCTTTGGTCATGCTTCCTTCACCAAAAATACTCCCCATCCTCCCCTCTATCTTTTCCCTCAATCACCCGACCTTTTACTTTGTAGGAAAAGCCCAATTGAAGCCGAAGAAATTCTAGGGTTTTCTCGTTGGAAAAACCCCAAATCCAACCACTTCTAGGCACATCCGACCATCGATGCAGGTTCCCAAGCACAGCCTACTGCTTCGGACGCACTTAACTTGGGTTGAGTTTGCTTGGACTCTTAGGCCCCGTTTGGGATTGCTTTTTTTGGCCAAAAACCTGCTTAACTTTAAAGTTAAGCAGTTTCAGGTGTAAAAATAAAATATTCCGATTATTCTAAAAGCAGTGGCCTTTTGACAGCAGCTTTTAAAAACAGACTCTGAGTTGCTTTTCAAAGCTGCTTTCAAAAGAAGTAGAGATGAATATTTAATGAATTTTTTTAATTCCCAAAATATCATCATTCATTTTAAAAAATGACACCACCTCCACTTCCACATCCAACTCCACCACTTGCACCACCACATTCACTACCTCTATAACCACCGCCACCGCCACTGCCACCACCACCACCACAACCACCACATCTTCCTCCTCCTCATCCTCCGCCACCACCACCACCACCTCCACCATCACCTCCTCCACCTCCTCCTCCACCACCACCACCTCCTCCAAAACCTCCACATCCACCACCACCACCATGCTGCCACTACCACCACCACCACCACCTTCACAACCGCCATCCCCACCACCACAACTACCACAACCACCAACTCCGCCTTCATCTCCACCACAAACTCCACTCCATCATTACCACTACCATCACATGATTAGTGCATAACACTTTTAACATCATGTCTTTTTCTTTTTGTTTTTTGTTTGAGGACCTTTCCTATTGAGAGGGGCGATAGCATACTAAACTCACACACACTACACGAATGCTAGGACTCCCAGGACCTTGCCCAAGGGAGTAAATACTCCAAACCACTATACTAGTGGCTCTTTTGCAACATCATGTCTATTTTAGTCATTATTCACAGTTACAACAATTTTATATTAAAATTTACCAAACGGTTTTAACATTGCTTTTTGTACTAACAACACTTTAAAAATAGTGTTTACCAAACATAGAGCTGCTTTACTTTACAACTAATTATTTTTAAAGCACAGCAGAAGCAACTTTTTTAAAAAGTGACAGCAATCCCAAACTAGGCGATTGGACGTTTGTTTTCTAATCAATTTTATGAAAATATTGGATTTATGAATGTTAAGTTTAATGCTTTTACTTTCCAAGCATGTTATATATGATTTATATTCAGATTTGGATTGAAAACTATTTTAAATGTTATGCATGTTTTTAAATAATGAAAGGCTTGGAAAGTTGAGAAAGGATTTGAGAAGAGGTTTTAGAAATGATGTGAGCAACAGTTGTAGGGGAAGGATATATAGCAAGTTCAGGATTGGTTTTCAAACCTACCTTATGTACCAGATTTGGTTGCCTTCAGATAATGACATATCTTCAGACATGATTAGCTTACCTCTGTTGCCCTCGGATTAGTCTACGCGCATATGACATGCCCACACCTGCTTGAGGGACACTCGTATTATGTTGTCAGGAATGCCCGCATATGTTATGTACCTTGGCAGTTGCCAAAATATGCCAGCACAACAATCGGGGGTTCTTCTTGTGCGGTTGCAAGTGCCTGCACGTGCTGATTTGTTCTTCACGTTTGGTGCTAGGATAGTTCCCGTCTAGCTTGTTCATTTAGTTTGCCATGATTGGCCAATTTTCTTGCGTACAATTAGGTGGTGTTTATACACTTATTGAGATGGACTTGAATCGAGATTGTTATATATATATATATATATATCACTTTTTTTGTATGCCTACATGAAAATGGTTTTCAGGTGGCTTTCAAAATGGTTTGTAAAACGGTGGGGTTAGTATGTTCTATAAACTATGTTCAAACGTTTTGTTTTTGTTCATTCACACTTTTATTATTCTGCGCCCTCAGGAAGTAGATAGACGAGTACCGAACCGCCACGTGAGGCTATCCTTCTTCTATTGCTATTCAAATCTTCTCTGATAAGATTTTCTTTTGTTATAAACCTAATATTATTAGAATTCTCTGACATTGTCCTGGATGTTGGCAATTGGATTTGCTTGTAGTTATTTTGTGAACCTAACTTGTGCATGTTGAATGATTAGGAGTTATAAACTGTATTTTCCTTGTAGGTGGACTTTTGGGTTTAGAGGGATTTTCAGGAGAGAGTTTGTTGATTTTCTAGTAGAAGTTAGACCTTAGGGTTACTTTGGAATTAGGGAAAAATGATATTTTGGTAATTTGATTCCAAACACATGGTTCATCACGGATTCTAATGGGGGATTCGGGGCGGGTCCTATCAACTTAATATTAGAGCATTAGGTTATATTCATATAGGCTTCGCACCTTATGTGCATTTATGGTTTTTTTAATTTTTATTTTATTTTTAATGTAAAAAGGAGGGATAATACCCAGCATAAACACTAAACAATATATCTAGGAGTAGAAACCCGACACAAAGCATTAAACATTAGATCTCTCACAGCAGCAGAGTGAGTGTCCCAAATATGGAGCCCGAAGGCTCCGCGATCCCAATAAAAGCAAGTAAATCAACAATAGAATTACTTTCCCTGTAGGCATGTTGAATACGGCATGTACCACAAGACATGAGAGATTTACAACAGAAAATAAGGCTAAAGAGAGGATGTAAAGGGTCACAACTAGAGTCATTCACCAACGTAACAACCAACTTAGAATTAGGTTCCACAATCAAAGGAAAAAAAATTGGATTGTGGCTTGCAAGCCTTGAGCCAAAAAGAACAACCGAAATTTCAGCCTGTAAAACAGAGCCAATCCCAATATTACCAAAAAAGCCACCAACCCAATCACCATTAGAATTTTTTATTAGACCTCCAGCACCAATATTCCCTTCCTCACCTTTCCTACAGCCATCAGTATTCAATTTCCACCACCTAGAAGGACGAAACTTACAATTCAAAAGGGCTTCCACCTTAGCAAGCTCGCAGCTTGGCAGACAAACTCCATAAAGAAAGCAATGATCCAGATTAACATAAAAAATCTTCTTGCAACTACTCTTCCAAATAATCCACAAGGCAAAGCCAAAGATCACATTCAAGACAAATATTAAAGCAGTTCTTATCATCTTTCAAATTGAAAAATAGCCAGTTCGAAAAGTTATACACAAAGGATTGACGAATGTGCAGGTTCATACCAATAGAATTCCAAACAAGATTGGCATTGGGACAATGTTTGAGAAGATGACAAGCCGATTCAGAATAAGACTTACAAATTTGACAGCTTGCATCCCCAGTTAAACCCCTGGTCCTTCTCACCTCATTGGTAAGAAGTTTGTCTTGGCACAAATTCCAAAGAAATAATTTAATTTTAGGACGGAGGTTCAACTTCCATATGAAGCCTCATTGCCAATGATCCATACAATCATCAAGGAGAAGAGAAGAGTAGTTAGACTTCACGGAGAAATGATCATTAGAATTGGGATCCATCATTACCCTAGGGGCTGAAATATGGATACTAGAAATTATGTTCATAATGTCAGGAGGGAGGCAATTATGAAGTTTAGGGAAAGAGTTTTTTTATTTAAACCCCATACTTTTCTTTGTTCACCCCAATACTTAAATCATTAAGCTCTTAAGTTTTATTATTGAGTTAAAAGACAAAAAAGGTCATCCACTTATTATTGTGTTTAAACCCTATGCTTTTCTTTGGTTGCTGATTGCTCAAATTAAGAACATAATTCACTGCTATTAACAACAAAAAAACAAAAACCACTGCTTGCAAAGTCCAGGCAATCATCGTGATTGCTCTTCATTTGTCATTCATGAAGACATAAAGATAACCACTTGTAATTCTATCACTATTATCTTCTTGACACTGAGTAATCTTTTTATTTGTCTTTTCTGAATTTATAATTGTTTCCCAGACATTACTGTTATCTGGATTATTTATTATTCTTTTTTGGTATTTATTTGAAAGGATCCTCAGTAGTTGGTTCAGTATTTCTTCAAGTTTTGGTTACATTTTCCTTTTCTTTGGGGCTCTTATCATCTGGGTTCTTGGTGATTGTTAATTGTATTTGTGCAAATGGGTTTTTAGAGGTGACATTAAGTATTTTTTATTTTATTTATGTTCTTAAGGATTCTAGTAATTACTAACTTAGGTGCTTAAATTCATAGTGTTAATTATGCACTTTGTTTTCATTTGGTCATGGACAACTGAGATAAAACTTTGGTGGCTTGAGCCTAGTGTGGCTGTGGAAATTGATGGTAACCCAAGAAAAAAATGAGGAGAGCCGTTTCAGAAGAGATGGACCAAGAAAAGACTGAGGTGCCTAAAACTCCTGCCGCACCAAACACTCGGAGAAGGGCTCCGATTGCTTCTGCTCGACATAACACCACACATAAGGAGAAAGTTGGGTGTGGGATGTGAGGTTAATGAGTTTTTTTTAATTATTTTTTCTCATGGGTGTGTATTTAGGGGTAGTTTGGGAAGACAGTGGGGTTTACTTAGAAATTATGAAAATTTTGAATTAGAAGTTGGGGTGAACTTAGAATATGGGGTGAACAAAGAGAAGTGCGGGGTTTAAATAGAAAAAATCTTAGGGAAATTCCAAGTATCATTAATAAGAAAATCTTTTACCTTTTCCTACAAATGGTCCCAGGAAAGGACTTGACAAGCATAATTTTGAAGGGGCGTAAGCTCAAACCAAGGGTCAGTCCAAAACGAAACAGAGTAGCCATCTCCCAATCTCCATCTCTAGGCCATCCCCAATGGTTTGAGCTCTAACAAGGGGTTTTATAGAGCGCCCATATTAGAGCTCCGATTTGTTGGAATCTTTGGAGCTCTCTGCAGGAATCCTCTGGACACAATGGGAAGGGCTGGCTGGGATATTCTGTTCGGATCTCTATATTTTTTTATGATGTAATCCCTTGTTTTTTTTTTTTTTTTTTGTCCATTTTAATTGTGACTTTATTGTTTGTTTTTTTTTTTTTTTTTTTTTTTTTTTGTTGTTTCAACAACCAAAAAAAATCAAAATTTGGACAAGATTTGAAAATCAACATTTTATTTCATAGATACCAAGCTCATCCCAGAGTTGAAATAGAGCTGTTGACATAGCTTTGTAAATTTGGTTATATTTTGGCCAACATGCAAATGAACGTGGGCCAACATGCAAATGGAAAAACCAAATTAAAGGCAAGTATGCCACGTGGGCCAACATGCAAATGGACAACCAAATTTAAGGTAAGTATGCCCGCTCAGACTATAATGAGTGGTAACTTATAAGGGGTAAGTTATAAGGGGTTCACTTTATAGCCATCAGATCAATCCAAGGGCTAGGGAGAATTGAGATAAAGTTTGTGCAATCGGGTAGGTGAGGAACCCAAACCCAAATTTAATTATCCAGCATTGAAAAAATAAAAAAAAAAAAAAAAAAAAAAAAAAAGACAAAGGTGGGTTGAAGTTTGAACAGAAAAAAGCCATCGTTCTAAAACCCATAGCTCTCTGAGAAACCGCTAAGCTTGGGAACGATTGAAGGCAACGGTGACGACGGTTGAAGGCGACGGTTGAAGGCAACGATTGAATGCAACTCCGTTCTCTAACCCGTAAAAAAGTATTTATTTTGAGTGGAAGGGGCAAAGGTGTGGATTCCGAAATTGTGAAAGGGCGAAGCAGTGGAAGGGGAAGGAGAGAAGCCATAATCGTTGGAAGTGATAGGTTCCATTTGTGGAGCAAAGCCGCACAAAAAGCCCGCACAGACACCTTGCGATTGTTCAATAACCAGCATTTGGTGAGTAATTTATGAAATTTGAGTTTAGGGTTAGAGTAACGGTTTTCCCCAATTTGTACCATCAATATTGTTGGATTTGGCATCTCTTCTTTGTGCTTCACTTGCATGTTAATTTTTTCTTGGGTATATGTTAAAAATCGAATGAAAATCAAGTCAATAACATGTCAATAACAAGTCAATAATGATAGGAATAAGATAATGGTGTTGAATTGGAGTTAGAGTAACGGTTTTCCCCAATTTGTACCATCAATGTTGTTGAATTTGGCATCTTTTCTTTGTGCTTCACTTGCATGTTAATTTTTTCTTGGGTATATGTTAAAAATCAAATGAAAATCAAGTCAATAACATATCAGTAACATGTCAATAATGATAGGAATAAGGTAATGGTGTTGAATTTGAGGAGGCCCTCAAACCTTCCACATTTGAAGCAGTGCAGATTACCTCTTTGGCGCTAGAATTTATATATTTTTGAAATAAATATTATTTCCTTTGTTACTAAATTTGCCTGTGAAAAATGAGAACAGATAATAATAAACTCATGAATAAAAGTGCAAAGCATTTGAAAAAAAGGTTGATCTATGACGATTGTGGCTGACCGAAGAAAAAGCTAGAAAGAAAGAAGGATGTGGCAATGGCTTAGCAAGCAGATAGCAGAGCATATGCTTTGCTTTGCATCCTTCCACCATATTTCTTATTTATTTATTTATTTTGTGTTGTGTATGAGATGACAATAATTGTCATGTGTGTGAAGTGCAGAACTTGCCTAGATTGCACTCACACTCACTCATGCATCAACCATTGATTGGAGTTTGGATCCATAAATAAAACACATGATATTGCTTGTAATTCACAGAATCATTGCATTAACAGGTATTTGCACAAAATTTGTCATATTGCTTTGATTATGTTAAAGCCTGTTATCAGTAATCCCTATGCGCATGTACTTTGTAAAATTTGTAATGTGCCTGGTTGACTAGTTGTGTAAATACCAATATGATTGTGCAAATACGTGGTAGTATATGTGTTCACGTTATTTCATCTTGTATTTCAGGAAATGGGATCCAACGTGGAGCTGGTATGGCCAGAGTCAGAGGCATATTCATCACGAGTGAACAACTGCTCACATGCAAATTCATCCCTAGTTGCAATTCGAGTGAAGTTGAGTGCCGAACAATTAGAAAAATTCAAGACATCATGTTTTGGCCATCTTCTGAATATAGATAAGATTCAATTTAGTGGGCAGATTGTGCATGGGGTTGTGTTGCGTCGAGTAGTGAGGCAGGGTGTGAAAGACTTGGATGAATTGAGTTTCTTAATAGGGTGCGACGTTGCTCAGTTCACTCGTCAGGATTTTTTATTTATCACCGGGCTTCGTTTTGGGGAAGTGCCTGAAGTTTCCAGTGAAGAAAGTGATGAAATTAGACTTCAGAAAATATATTTTATAGACGAAGGAATTACATGTAATGCTTTAGAAGAAGCATTTCTGAGGTGCACAAAGGAAGATGACATCTACAAGCTAGCTCTTGTTTACTTTGCTGGTTTTGGGAAGGGACAAGTGATCGCTTAGACATCAATGTAAATTACCTGACCCTTTGTAGAGGACTTGGATCGTTCAACAGGTATCCGTGGGGTTCAGTGTCATTTGACAAAACCCAAGACAGTCTATTTTCTGCACCAACAAATATATGAAAAGCTTTGAAAATGAAGAGGGAAGAGGGAAGGGGAAAAGTAAGGTAACGGGAACAAGCCGGAGAAATGAGAAGGGCAAGAAGGATAAGCATGGTGAAGTGCAAAGGGGTGGCTGGAGTTTTAAAGGTTTCACGTATGCTTTGCAGGTACATAGTAATAATGTTCATGTCAATTTTGCTTTGTGGACTTTAAAACTTAAATAATGACTTTTGTCCTGTGAATTGTGTAGATATGCGTATATGAATTAATTCCTAGAATGGCGGACCTGAATTACTGCAAGGTTGTTGATCCAACAGCTGTCCCACGTATTTTGTGATGGAAAACCACTACGTCTGTTCCCGAGATGAGAAAGTTGAACAATTATTTTTTCCAGAGCAAAGAGGTTTGGTTTGCAGCCCTTGAAACTGTTTATAAGATTCAATGAAATTATTAAGCAGAATGATTGAATATGAATATTGTCTGTATTCTAAAACAGTCAGTTCAGTTGCGGGCGCTACGTCCGAGTGAAGAGAAAATGAGACAACCATATTGGAGTTGGCCACAGGATCGCCTTGCTGTTGTCTCGGTAGGGTCAATTCCTTCTTCATATGCTGACCTTGATGAGTTGAATAAGGTGGTAAGCTTGTTGAGGTCCGAGTTGTTTCAAGTAAAGCGGGAAAAGGACGTCCTTGAGTTAAAGGTCATACGGATGGAAAAACTTTTGGACCACTGTTTAGGTCCTCAGTTTGAGCAGGAAGTAAGGAGGGACCTAGCTTTATTGAAAGAGATGACGAATCGTTGTGCCATCTCACATCTATTTAAGGGAAGTGAGCAAATGGATGACATTCAATGTGATGAAGGGCCAAGTAACAGAAATGAGGGAGAGGAAAAGGAAGAGGAGGGGATTGAAGGGGGTGAAGAGCCAAGTAACAGAAATGAGGGAAAGGAAAAGGAAGAGGAGGGGGTTGAAGGGGTGAAGTGCAAAGAAAACCAAGTGAGGTAGAGGAATCTCAAAGGAAAAGAAGTGAGGGAGAGCAAGTGAAAATAAAAAGCAGCAAGGGAGAGGAAGCGCAAAGAAAGAGCAGTGATGGAGAGGAAGTGAAAAGAAAAAGCAGTGATATACTAAACGTTGTAAATGGCAAGTATCACATTCATACTTTCTTTACGGATAATAAAAGAAAAAAAGAGCAGGTTAGGTGGAAAATTAGAAACAGTTTACTGAACGTTGTAAATGGCAAGGTTTCGGCGTGTGGGATGGATTGGCTGAACACATATAAGGTGTATGCCCCTTGTATGTTGACGAAGTATAAGCATTAGGTGGCTCTAATGATTGATCTAGTTTAGTGTGAAATCAAAGTGTACGATTCAATAGTTTCACTTATTCCATATGAGATCTTAAAGGAAGAACTCGCCTCGCTTTCAATTACGATTCCAAATCTTCTCAACACCATCGACTTTTATGAAGAAGGTGTTTACGCAAACGATTGCAGCCGAGATTGGTGGTGTCCATGGTCAATAGAACGTGTGAATGTTCCACAACAGTCTAATCAGTGAGCACAACTTTTTATTTAATTTTATTACTTTAAATTGTCAATTACTTTAGAATGTCATTAGTTGAATTGATCGAGTTCTTGTTTTGCTTCAGAGGCGATTGTGGCATGTTCGTGTTGAAGTACATTGAGCTTTTGAGCTCTGAGATTCCGTTAGATACTTGCACCTTGCAGAACATGCCCTTTTTTCGATTGAAGTTGGCTGCAGAGATATTACGGGGAGAAGTTTACATGACATGATATTGGTTGAACTTGGTTTAGGTACATGATGATTAAATAGGTTTTGGGAATGTCCAATTTCAAACTCATGTAAATACACAATAGAGATCCACAGGTCCTTTTCAAATTCTACCTCTGCTCCTCAATTCTTCTTCGTCTTTCTCAATCTTAGTGTATTTTTGTACATAATTTTAGGTTTAAGTTATTGGAAAAGAACAATTAGAACCAAAATAGTGGCAAATATTATAGCGGATGCATGCTTATGCTTACGAAGATTGTTTATTATTTATTGATTGTTTATTGCTTGCGAAGGAAATAAACAACAATACACAGGCAACATACAAGCAATATACACACAATAGACAAGCAATATGCACGAAATAGATATGCTATATACACACAATAGACATGCATATACATCAGTCCCCAATTACACCACCCATAAGGATGTCGTATTGAATAGGAAATTCTACTTAACGGTTGTTTTTCCTACTAAAAGAAAGAATAAAGACCGTTTCCCCCCTTAAATCTAACTCCTTAAATCTTACTTGAGTGGTACTTTTGCCCCCAATAAACATGCAATATTGGAGCAATAACATGCGATATACATTCAGTAAACAATCAATAAATCTTCAATAAACATTCCATATCGGACCAATAACATACGAAATACATTCAGTAAACAATCAATAAACCTTAATAAACATGTAAACAATCGATAAACATTCAATATCGACTCAATAACATGCAAAATACATGCAGTAAACAATCAATAAACCTTCAATAAACATGTAAACAATCAATAAACCTTCAATAAACATGTAAACAATCAATTAATCTATATACACTGAATAATTATGTAATTTTAAAAAATGTATTGTCTTATTATTGCATTGTATTGGCCCTGTATTGTGATTTTATCGTCTTCATATGACTTAATTTTTTTAAAGTCAGTCTTGGAAAGTTTTTGCTGGGTTTCAAACAAATAAATGCTGTTGTTTCAAATAATAATTTAAACTCAATGCCAATCCACCTATTTCAAGAACAAAAATTGCAAATGGGTTTGAAAACTCATTGGTGGTGCGTGCAACATGTCTTTTTGGGGAAAACTTTACAATCCTTGAAACTGTGCACTTAATTGGTGATTAAAAGAACAAATAATATGAAAATTGATATAAGTAATAAAACTAATACCAAGTCCTTAATGGACTTCAGCATATTCAGCACCGTAGCATCATATATGTCATCTTGTTGTTCTGCTTAAGCGGAGGTTACATCAACCCATTCAAATCCATTGCAACTGGTGGCTCCCTAATTGCAGGCATCGTATATGCAAAATAATTCTGTCAGAGTTAAACCTAGGTTTTTTCCACCCACATACATATTCTGGAAATGCAAACTTACATAGGAGGTCAGACACTTCCAAAATGGCTTCCCTCGATTTTATCTGATTTTGAAACCCGAAGCACCATTGCAGCTCCACAATACTGACACCTCCTTGTTTGAGCGGGAGATGAAGACGAAGACATGTTGAATCTTCTCACTTGTACCTCTTCTCACTGAAACCTCTTCGGACTCATACCTTCTCACTCATAGTTCTCAGTCATACCCCTTCACTCATAACCATAGACTTCTCACCCAGCTCTCTCTCATCTCTACCCAAATCGAATTATATCCTTCTTTTCTATGTGTGGGTGGGTTGGTCACGATCTGGACACCTGTACCGTCAGAATTATGACACCTTTTACCCCAAAAATTAATATAATATTTCACTACCAAATATTAATCAGAAAATTGACAGGGCACTGCTTAAAATATATTATTTTAATTATATTTCATTAACCCTACTAGTTAGATAAGAATCCATCATCATTGGTTTCATTTTAATAACCTTACTAGGGTTATTTTGGTGTGGGAAAATGAAAAAGTATCTGATGGGACTTCTGTGACTAGTCAGTAATCCATCACATTTATATCAATGAATGTGATGGCGGGAAAATCCTAAAAATGGCTATGCAAATAGATTATTAATTGACTTTTTGTCTGTCAGACTCTCTTTGCATTTTGATGACGTTTTCCCTTCTCTTTTCTTGAGTTTTAGGGTGTTGGGTTCAGTTTCTTTAAAAGGGTCAACTTGGAAAAACCCCAAGTGGAAACACCTTTTCAAAATACTACAAACAGAGGCTAAAACAAAACCAAACCCCATATATTCTCATTTCTCCCCTCTTCCACTCCTCAAATCGTTCCATTCCAAAAACATTTCAATGAATTCGAAACATTTCACTACACTCGGAGGAAAGAGAAGGAAGCATCTCCATTTGGATATGCCCCAAGCCTTCATCCCGGAGTTAGCTTGGTTTAAAGTGATGTTATACGTGGCAACCCAATCATCAGAAGATCTCTTCCGTATGGCTTCTGTGTGCCCATTATTCCATACGTTGGCAAACACTCCACAAGTGTGGAACACCATTTCAATGGCAAAGTACCCAAACCATCCTAGTTGATACCATGCCAATCCTACGGTCCAGCTTTTCTTGCAACAATGCAGGGCTTGCGAGAACCCTGAGTCGATATTTAGAGAAGCGTTCGAAGTGTTTTCATGCAGGGTAAAGTGGAAGCGTTGTATGGAATGCGCATTGCAGCCACGGCAGGCCATATGGAAGTGGCATATCTAGTTGGACTAATTGGCATGTCTAGAATTGGTCAGTCAAAAGAGGATGCATTAGAATTTTTGTGTTCTTTGAATCAATGTAACAACATTGATATGAAAGGAACCAGGGATGCTTTGAGACGAAGATTAAGCCGAGTTTTCTTTGTTGCAAGACACATCGTAGATATGTTTTACTATGGGAAGATTAAGTTCAATCACTGCAGTGCTTGTAATAACAACAATGGTGTTTTGTTATTCAAGGCTAGCCTACTGAAACAAAGATAAATCTTGCCTTCTGGACTTGTTGCAATCGATGCAAATGGTACCGTGAAAGTGTTTTTTGGTTCAAGGTGATGCGTGTGTATGTTGTACCAGGGAATCCATACTTATAATTAGTTGTGGTATGTTTTTACGGATTTTATGCATTGTGGACTTGCTTATCTTCAGTTCTAGGTTGGCTGGCTACGTTGTACAAATGTTGTTTACATGTTGGGTATTAATCTATATTTTCTCTGGTGTTTGTGCTGTCATAAACCGTTTTATATATAAATGTATAATATATATATATATATATATTATATAGTGGAATGATTACTGACATCATAGATGCATACGAATGACATTTTACTGACACAACCATTTTGCACAACTGCAATATTAATATTTGGTAAACGAAAAGGCATGCATGGAGTGAGTAGGTGTCTTTTCACCGGTGCTTGGGAATACCATTTTCCCACTTATCATATCTCAAACAATTTGGTTACACTTTTTTTTAATCAAAACTTGAACAGTGAATGACTTTGAATAATTTTTTCCTGATGTTGTAGAATGGATGGCTGGTATATTGCCATTTTATTTTTCAAAACATCCCTTAACCCTAAAAAAGAAAAGAAAAAAAAACAAATTGAAGAAGAGAGAAACTGATTAGCACAAAAAATGGTCTATTCGCACGCAAAATAAAAATAAAAATAAAATTTTTGAGTAAATATAATTAACAAATGTACAGGCTAAAAAGTAATATAATAATTTAAGGTAAACAGTAATAAAATACTAATGTAGCGTAACCATGAAATAGGGAATTCAGTAGGAAGATGAAGTCTCAATGAGTTCGTAGCAATTTTTGGAACATTATTGTGATTTTTATGTATTTAGTTATGAATTTTCTAAGAAAAAGTAATAAAATAATAATTTAGGGTAAAAGGCAAGGATATGGCCATGTTGACTGACATACACTTGTGCAAGTGGTGAAAGGTGACGGGTTGAGATCACGTCAGGTATCCTCTTTCGATTATTTTGGCTTTTTTAGTGCAAAAATCTTTCAAAAAATGTAATAAATAGTAGAAAAATCCTAAAAAAAAGCCCCGAAAATTACTCCGGCCTCCTTGTAACGTTATAAAACTAGGGGAACATATAAATCATCCCTATGAAAAAATCGGAATTGTTTAGATAACTCACTTTCCTCTTAACCCTAAGTATATATGTTTGTTAATTTTAACTTCAATAACTTATATCAACAAGCATCTCTCGTTAATATTCGGAATTATTTTGTAAAATGCGTGACCACGAATCGGGGAATTCAGTAAGGGAGCCGGAGTCTCAATGAGTTCGTATCAATTTTCGGAATATTTTTCTAATTTTTGTGTATTTAGTTATGAATTTTATAAGAAAAAGTAATAAAATAATAATTCATGGTAAAAGGTAAGGATGTGGCAATGTTGACTGATGTACACTTGTGCAAGAGGTGAAAGGTGACGGGCTGAGATCGCGCCAGGTGTCCTCTTGCGATTATTTTGGCTTTTTTAGGGCAAAAATCTTTCAAAAAAAGTAATAAATAGTAGAAAAATCCTAAAAATGCCCCGAAAATTACTCCGGTCTCCTTTTGACGTTATAAAATTAGGGGAACCTATAAATCATCCGTTTCGCAATGAAAAATTCGGAATTATTTTAGATAACTTACTTTCCTCTTAACCCTATGTATATATGTTTGTTCACTTTAAGAAGTATATATTACTCTTTGTAAAAATACAAAAATTAGTTTCCTTTCATATATAAGGATGTAAAATTATCTGTTTTTTTATATAATAATGTACATATATAATAATTGCACACTGCTTTGAAGCCATCATTGCAACTGCGCTTAGAGCTTTGAACACGCCAGAGGTATTCAATAAGTTGTCCATATGCAACTGCTCCTAAAGTTTTGAACACGTCATAGTTATTGAATAAGTTGTCCATATGATGCCGTATTGGGAATCAGTAATATACTATCATGTCCAATCACATAAAATAATGCCATACTTTTTCTGAAAAACTCACACCATTCAAGCAATTTTAAAATATTAGTGAATATTTGTCCTAGTCTATATATGAGTGATTATATATTCACTTTGCATTTTTTTCACAGTATATGTTAACTTTGGGGATTCCACAAACATATAATATAAAGACATAAAGCAATAGTAGGAGATGAACCAGTACAAAAAATAATATATAACTGGTACAAAATAATGCCATAACCTTGTCACAAATGCACTCACAAATGCTTTTCCATAAACCTTGCCCTAACATATAATAAATAAAAGCAACAATGCATATGATGCAACCATGTCCAAATCTGATACGTGATAAATAAAAAATGGACATGGCAGCAACATATAACTGAAGTAGATGGGCACTTTGCATCTCGTGTTATCGTAATTAAAGGCATCAAAATATTAAGGTTGAAATCTTCCATAGTAGTAAGCATCAAAATAGGTTTGAAGCAGAGTTTAACGAAAATTCCAATTCCTCTTATTTGCCTATGCTCAAACACGAGAACCAAAATGGTTACTTCCCATCCGAACTCGCATTAGGTGCGTGTGTGAACCTGCATTGAGTGGTGCACATCTGAACTCGCATTGGGTTTACGTGTATGAGAACCCGTATTAGGCCAATTCCCATCCGAACTTACATTGGGCTTATGAGTATACGAACCCACATTGGACCGATGCCAATCCGTGCTCGTGTTGAGCTTACATGAATGTGAACCTGCATTAGGCCAAAGCCCATCCAAACCTATGTTGGGTTGTGCCTAAATCCAATCCCGTGACGTGGTGGATTGGTATCAAATTATTTTGCTCCCACATTGCCCCCTTTTTCCTCTTCCCACTCGCACCTAGCATGTCGGTTGAGGGAAAAACTTAACTTAGCTCAACTTTTCTTTGCTTTACTACGCTTGCCCTTTTGGACCATTGGATAAAGCTTGACAACAATGATCGTTAACAATGTCATAAAGGATTACAAGAGCTCTGGCATATCTGCATGAATAGTGTCCAAGATGTCAAATACAATAAGACAAGAACTCCCATTAATTATTATCAAATAGGGCAAGATACTTTTCAATGAGTATAAACAAGGGCATATTTAAATAACTAGCAGCTGGCAACGCAGCAAGAATTAACTTCAACTCTCTCAATTGCATTTCAATCACTTTAACTAGATGCCCCCTATAGTCCACCATGTATTCAAGGGATTTTCAAAAAATAATGGATTTCCACGACTTGACAGTTCAATCCTTCAAAACCTACTCCTGACATCAATTTAGTGCTTCTCCTTCTCCTTTAGAATTTTGCACCTCCCTCTTCCCTTATAAAAGAAGATGAATATATTGCAGAGGCAACAAGAAGGAAAAAAAAAAAATAAATAGGGGAAATGAGGAGAGGAAAAATCCCTCTGAATCTGCGTTGGCTTTTTGTTCGATTGCGTGTCATCTTATGAGCGAAGCTTTGGTATTTTCCTACGGCTGGCCTACAAATAGGTCCACATCTGGGTTTGGATCTCTCACCCACTGCTTTCTTTCTATAGTCTAGACTTTGCCAGATCCACCACCAACCACTATTCTTTTTCGTGGTTTCCTTCATCATCAATAATCTCTTTGTCCAGATATCAACTAAATATGCAATAACCTATGCACTTCTATTCGCACTAATTCAATTGTGATGAACATGTATATAAAGTTATGTTTATAAATGTATGCATGTGAAGAATATATGCATACATGAAAGAAATAGGTTACGTGTGTATATGCGTATCTCAAGCAAACATAAGTGTCATTTCGATATAAATATTTATCTATATATATATATATATATATAGGGCGGCTTATACCAACATACTGGGAAGAGATACGAGAATATGGAAAATCTAAGTCTATTTTCAAAGCTTTGATAATTATAACTTGGATAGGCCCCATAATTCTTCTCCAAATATGCATGGGAAACATAGACTAACAAAGAAAATACTAGCATATAACAAACCAGAGAGATAGTAGCTATTTCTTCGTTATTTACTTATGAAGGATATATAACGCATGCCATTGATACAACTAGTTCATAGAACAGAGTACAAGATTCAACCTTAGATATGGATATATATATATATATATATATATATATATATATACAGTCCCCTTCTATTGAGGGATCCCTCAAATAATTTTATTTGAGGGACGCCCTTTAGGGTACCCTACAATTTTTTTTCCAATAATCCAAACCATATATTTTTTAGGTCTTCATTCATAGATCATCCTTACAAAAAATTAGACAAATCGGAAATCGTTTCGACATCCAATTGTGTCTTACAAAATCAAAGAACACGGTGCTTCAAGAAAGTACTAAAATTTCAATAACTCAATTGAGTGGTCAAATGATATCGGATTCAAGTGATTTTTGTAGAGATGATCTTTGAATGAGTATCTACAAAATAGACGGTTTGGATTAGTGAAATACAATCCATAGTGGGGCTTACAAGGGGTGTCCCTCAAATAAGCTTATTTGAGGGATCCCTCAATGGAAGCTCTCTGTATATATATATATATATATATATATATTACTATACATGTATATCTACATATATATATATAAATATAAATCTATGCATGGCAAAATATTTCATGATAATATATATATATAGTAAAGTAAATAGATATATGCAACTTGTGCACTTTTTTAATATGTAATTATCCCGCGCATGCAATACATAAGGAAACAATAATAGTGATAATGCACTCATGCTCAATTCGCGTACCTTATGTCTCTGTAGTTGTTTTGGTCTATCTAAACTTGGAGTTTACACTCTTTAGTTGTTTTGTGGTTACCATGCTCTTGCAATTTATGAGTCTGCGTGAATAACCAACTTGCTTTCTCTAAAAAAGATTTTCCTTAATCATGCTTCTTTGAAGCTATGGTTGACTTTTGACCATCTCCTACTTGACTTCTCAGGAGACTTACTCAACTTGGGCCTTTCCAATATGAGGTTGCATTTTGACTAAACCGAACACCCTCAAGTCTTATTTATTTAGTTTAGGTTGCGCCGATCTCTGAACCCAACTCACATTTAAACTGACCTCGCAATACGCATCCCCTTATCAAGTTGCCTCCCTTATCCAATTTTCATTTCATCTGCTTGCTTTTTAATTACTTCGATGTCGAGACTTAACCTTTGGCTGAAGTCAAAGGTGGAATATCCCTCGAGGCCTAAGATAAATAATATGCTAGAGAAATTCCGCATTCTTGACGACGTTACAATTGGTCAAATACCTAAGGGAGCGGACATGTACACAGGGGTTGGAATCCCGGATGGAGCCTTAGTGCTCCCACCATCTCACCTAGAGTTTATTAGGTTTTCGCTTCACCCCTTATTTCACCTTGTGTTGAATTCTTTGAACCTCTACCCTATGCAGTTAAATCCAAACTCATACTTATTGATCAGTGGTATGCGAGCAATTGGCCTCAAATGGGGGGTGTCGCTAGGCTTCGTAGATTTCTCTTACTACCATTACGTTGCCACAATTAGATGTGAGACTGAGTATTTCTACCTAATCCCTCGACCTACTCGTAAGTTCTTTGGCTACAAACCGTCTTCCACAAAAGCTTGGAAGACCCAACCCTTGATGATTACCCGGAATTGGGCAGCCCCTGAGATGTCTTGTATTTCTATTCCTTCATCATTCGGGCATGAACCTGGTATTCCTGATTATGACTACTCTACTAATACCCATTCTGATATGATTTTACAGAGGAAATTTATTGAATGGTTCCTTTGTTTTCTAGTGCCCAACCCAACCCGTTCGAATATTGTCCTTGCTCATGAGCAGATTCAGTGTCTGAACTGCCACTTGGAGGGTCAAGATTGGGATGTTCAGTACTTCTTCGATCCCAACACACTTCTTCATATCTCTCAAGATCGAGATAACATCATTTACCCATCTTATCTGAGGGTTGATCTTAGTGCAGATCTACATGAGACAAAATTAGTTGGTCACATAGTTAGCTTTGATCGAGTTCTTCAATTTGAGGAGGATTCCTCACATCACATCCAAAGGAGTTACACAGAGAGACATACTCAAAAGGAAGAAGATAGCGGTGGTTACTCCCAAGCTGTCTGATATGTCGGGCCCACTACCCGACCTGTCGAAACGTGCTTCTCGACCAAGTCCAGGGCAGAGACCATCAGTTGATCAACAGAAAAAAAGGTCCAAGCATGTTCCAAATGCTGGGTTGAGTTTAGATCCTACAGATGCGCTCATTCCAGGTTCATCTTTCGACCAATCCCATCATGATGCGCTCCGTCGAGTTGGTTTGGCCACCTTTGCTCCACTTGTGGCTGTTAAAGATATTGACCTTGTCAATGAACCCATCATTCTTGTTGATGATGAGATATGGAGACCCAAGTTTCAGAGGTCAGATGGGAAACGTCTTATGACGAATAAAGAACTCTTGCATGATCCTGAAGCATTCGACGTCGTTTTAGGTGGTCTCCTTCATCCACAAGACATTAAGGAATGGATAGATTTGGATGATCGTGACTTTGCACTCCAACAGACTCACCACTTAATCTTGGTATGTTTTGTCTTTGCATTTCTCATTTTCTTAGTTCAGCTTTGTCTCACTTAACTAACTTATGTAAATGTCTTGCAAATGGTTGAACTTTGCTTGGTTGAGCTATCCAGGGTTCAAGGGCGCAAGGACGAGTTAGACAACTTGATCAAGTCCCACGAAAACTTAGGACAATGACTTAAGGCAAGTGAGGCTACATAAGCAAACGAAAAGGGTGAGATTTCCCGTCTTTTCAACAAAATCAATGCCCTCAGCCTTGAGCACAAGAATGATTTACTAGAAATGGTGCAACTAAAGAATGATGTAGGACGTGTTGAAAAGGAGAAGAAAGATCAGTACGATGCATATTGCACTCAAATTTTCAAGGAGTCTGCCAAACAATTTTGGTTTTGCTGGATGCAAGGGCAGCAGCCTGCCTACCATAGGGTTGTGGCTATGAAGGAGAGATAGGACTTGGTATCGCAGACTACGAGTTCATATTCGGGGTGATCCCCACAAACATTCCTCTTCTCGGATCTGCAGAGTATCACGTGCCTCCTAACTCTAGTGATACTGCGCCTTCCACCGTGAGCCATGACATTTCTATTCTCAACTACAAGATCGAGGAGTAGGCTTCTTGACGCAACGAGTTTTGGTGTGTAACACCTACTCTATTCAGTATTTATTTTATGTGGCATGTATCTTGTTTTGAGGTTGAACTTATGTACTGAACCTTATGTGGATGTACAGGACTTAACTAGACTTGACTTGCTTCCTTTTGATATCCAATCTTGGGTTTATTCTAATTGTGTATTTAATTCACTTGTCCTATTTAGGTGAGTACGAAGATGAATACAACCATCTTCACTATGAGTTCTCTTAGATGTTATTCGTCTTGGTCATTCTAAGTTTCAAATCTATTTCGATCCTATCCTGTATTATGTGTTGAGTTCATCGGGATACCACTATATTTTTTTCAAAAATCAAATAAGGTTGGAGTTTCAGTTTCTCAGATAAAACTACTTTTTGAATTTGAAACTCTGCACAATTATCTGAATTAACGGAGCTATTTTGACTGACGCTATAAAATGAAGGTCTGAGGATGGGTTTCAAGTACCTGGATATTATGGCTCACAAGCGTAGGCTAAAACTTACCTTCCGCCTTTGTGCCGACATCCCCAAAAATGGTTGCTCTCCCAAGAGAAGAGGTGCTAAAGGAATATAAATCCACTTTGGTGGAGGTTTTTCATCCGGTTCGCCAATGAGGTCATCTGACTGCTCCGAAGTTCTGAACTCGTTACCTAGTCGTGAATGAATCCAGGACTTGGTCGAGATCTAACAACATATGCAGACTTCATTCTGACTCTTCTTCAGTTAATTGTGGGCATTCATAGAATTGTGTTAGAAGAGAAAGAGAGGGTCCCATACCTTCTCACTTGAACAGAGGTGATGCTAGCCCTTCATACTCGATGAGGAAAAACCCTTGGTCGTCACGTTTCAAACTTCGTCACCTGCACTTTGATAGGGATAAAGAGACTTCTCCATGGACAAGTTATTATCAGATGGAGGGGGAGAGACCTCACCACTGAGGTAAACCCCTTTTATATCGATAGTACCAAGACCATCGTCAGTCAAACATCTCATCACTTGGCACATGGTTGATGCCTCACCATCCATTCTATGGATCCCATCTCTCCCCATGATCACATTGTAAGCACTCGGAGCATCTACCACCACAAAAGTCACCAAAAGGGATTTTCCAGCAGCTATGACGGGTAGTGTCATGTCTCTTATTGCTCATGCCTTACTGCCCTCAAATGCGAAGAGCTGTGTGGGATTAGGCCTGATCCTGTTTTCATCCAATTTCATTCTTTTAAAAGAATTCTAAAACATTACCTCTACGTTGCTTTCGTCGTTGATTATAACCCTTTTGACTTTCGAGTTTCCAATTTGAAGAGTTATGACCAGTGCGTCGTTGTGGGGAAATTGGATTCCTTCGAGGTCTCGTTGGGTGAATGAGATTATCCCGACCCTCTCCAATTATTGTGGCGATTCTGGTGCAAAGGCAATTCCACAAACGCATCTTACCTTTTCAGCTTGTCTTTTCTTGGTTTTGGGCTCAAGCCAGTTGACCCTCTAGCGGTTAAGGCCAACCATGGATAGCATTGATTTCCCGCAATCCCTCTTCAATGGCGATGTTGTTAGTCACTAGTTCAGCCTCGTGCTCCTCCTTCGACTTATCTCCTGGTTGGGCTCGATATTGCGAAAGGATCCCTTTTTTTAGCATTGCTTCAACTTGATATCTAAGATTTCGACAATCATTGGTAATGTGGCCAAAGTTATTATGGTATGCACAAGTCTTACTTCGGTCTCATTTCTTTGGTGGTTCACGTAATGTCTTTCCTTTGTTTCCGTGAAAAAGTTTAGCCAGACTAACAGTAAGTTTGGCTGGGGGAGAATTGGTCCTAGCTTGATTGCGGAGACTTCCATTTGGAAAATTTGTCCCTAGCCCTTGGATAATCTCATACGGGTGCTTTGGTGCTGAAATGGTTGCTGCGATGCCCTTCGACAGAGCAAATTCTTCCTCTTCAAGTCTGATGATTCCATCAACTAGAGCCAGAACCTCCCACATGTCGAGGGGTGGTGTCTGGACCAAGGACTTATGCATTTTTGTTCATGGTGTCACTCCCACGCGGAATGCCAGTGATGCAGTGTGAGAATCGTAAGTCTCTAGAATAGACATTTCCTCTGTGAAGCGCTTCAAATAATCTTTAAGACTCTCGCCTATCTTTTTATGATGTCTTTCTTTCCCCTTTGATTGCACACATATTGGGGTATGAAAGCTTCGCAAAGCTCAGTGAAACTGCCGATGGATTTTGGCTTCAACTGCCTGAACTATGTCAAGGCCGACCCTGGCAGCTAGACGAGAATAATTTGCACAACAACGCTTCGTCTTCGTTTTCAAGGACCATCTGCTGCTGAAAGTGATAAATATGCTCGATGGGGTCAACTACGCCTTCAAATAACTTGAATTTAGGTTGAGTAAACTTCGCAAAAGATACTCAAACGCTTGAGTCAATTTTTGTATGTATTTGAGTACACCAATTAATTTGAAATCGCATACCTTCATCTGGTTGTGAAACTGCACCTTTATACCTGATGACAGCCTTAGGATGCAAGCTCCACTTTGCACCCCTTATGTCCACTTTCCCCACTTTTGGTTAATGAGAGTTGTGTGTTATCAGCCCCCAACCGTATTTATATTGTCCCTCGATTCATGCGAATTGAGGGGTACGAGTGTTTAAATATACCCACGAACCCACGTCGAGCTGTTTGTGCATGAGTCAATATGGGGTAGTGCGTGTCTGAACCTGTGTTGAGTGGTGCATGTCCAAACCTGTGTTGGGAGGTGCACATCCTAATTTTCATTAGGTTTACGCGCATGCGAACCTGTATTGGGCCAATGCCCATCCAAACTTACGTTGGGCTCATGCGTATACAAACCCATATTGGACCAATGCCAATCTGAGCTCATGTTGGGCTTACACGCATGCAAACTCACATTGGGCCAAAGCCCATCCAAACCCATGTTGGGTTGTGCCTAAATCCAATCCCATGACGTAGTGGATCGGTGGCACATTATTTTGCTTGAAGGGTTCGGATTGAGAGGATTATGGATATTATAAGGGTGCTTGATAAACACATAATATCCAATGTGACTTTGTTCTTAGACCAAAATGCCTATTTTTTGTGGGAATGAGGCGTTGATACATCGACCCCTCAACTATTACGTGTCATACCTTCCGTGAGGATTTTGGTGAGCATTATCATCCCCGAGCTTACCATGAGAGCGTGATGGAAGAGTTCCTTCACCTCAAGTCGAAGGAAATGACTGTATTGGAGAGGTAAAGAGATTCACTGAGATCTCGAGATATTCTCTATTGGTGACTATTGAGGTTGGTAGGAATCAGAGGTTTGAGCATGGATTGCAGGACTCCATCCGACACCATGTGGTTGGTTATACCACTTATAGTAAACTACTGGAGGCGGTTACGAGAGTGGAGAGCAGCTAGCTAGAGGCACGTGGACGTTGGTTCGATTCGAATGGCTCTAGTTAGTAGTTAGTGACCATTCAAGAAGGGTCACTTCAATTCAGGATCTTCGGGAGGTAGTGGGCTTTTTCATGGATTCAAGATGGGATAAGCTAGTGGTGGTGGTCGTTTTCATATGGTATCAGAGAGCAATAGTAGATCCAGCCTGGGGTAAAGTTCTGGACCTCGTGGTGGAGGTAGCATAGCTAGAGGTTCTGTTAGCCGCCAGCAAACAGTCGGGTCCTGTAATGGCCACCCCTTGTGCGAAATGTGTAATAGGTATCACGATAGGCAGTGGCAGATCTATTAAGGCGCAAGGAGGTGCACATGCACCTCCCCTCACCGGAAAATCACCTGGAGAGGCCAGAATTTGCCCCTTTGATGGTGCTCACCATTTGTTCCATTAAATGCCTCAAAGAGGCTTTCCTGTTTTGGTAGTGAAAAATCACATCTATTATGACAAGACTCCTTCAGATGTGTGTTTAGTTAGAATTTCATATTTCTTTTTCTGGCACAAAGACGCTACGCAAGGAAGAAGATGCGTGAGGAAGAGGATGCGCAAGGAAGAAGATGTGTACTGTTTATTTTGGGGTTTTCATGAAAATGATGTCGTCTTAGTATATGAGTTTCATTTAAAATGAAACGATGCGTTTGCTCAAACCTTCTTAGGATATGAAAAAGGCATGTTTGGTGGAACAGTCACTGAATTTAACAAAAATAAAGAATGGAACGATGGATGCTCTCCATCCCTTCCTTTCAAGTCATGTCATCGTGAGCAATAGTACTCTCTCATAATCATATTATTAGGTTTTGTTATTTTAAATGCAATGGTGCCTTTTGTCTTTAGTAAAACCTTTATTAATTTTTTTGGAACATCTTCATTATTCGATATTACATTAGCCTAGCCTAATATGAAAACTTAAATGTATTTCTTAGAAAAAAAAATTCTTGTTATGAAAGGCTTACGCCTCAATATCTCAAGGCTCACACCTGACTTTAAGCCATCAAAAGGGTATCGCCCTTTAAAATTTTGGTAGGAATTAGGAGTTTGAGGCTTGTGGAAGGGTACAAATGAAGGCCATGTACATGTAGCTACGAATTTTAGATGGTATTAGTTGGTAATATATATATATTTTTATAATAGCTTTTAGCCTTTCAAATTTTGCCCCTTCTCCAAAAATTTCCTGAGTCCGCCAGTGACAACAGGCCATGTTAGCAGGAGGCCACAAGATTTTTTTTTGCGAACAGACGAGGCATTTCCAGAGGGAGTGCCCTATGTTAGGGGGTATTGCCGCTTCAGGATTTGTTGCCCCACATGGATGTAGGTGAAAGAACTCAACCAACTAAGTTATACCCCAATGACATTTCTTTGGTTAAAATAAGGAATAACATATGAGAGAAATAATGAAAGAGTAAGGAGGAATAAAGAATAAGGGACTAGAGAATACTAGTCATAATGAAAATTGAAATCTTAAAAATAAAAGCAATTTCAAATAGTTTTTTTTTCCTTCATAAATTCTCCTTAAGTTCTCTATCCCTCTCCTTTCATTTCTTCCATATATTTTTCTCAGTCTTTAACTAAAAACTAAAAATTCAAAATAAAATGATTACCAAACAAGGCTTTAAAATCCCCACTCAACTCAGGAACTACTTAATATATTTCTCCCATTCCTTTTTGTTTTTTTTTGCCACCCATTCCTCTCAGGGCATGTTTACGTATCAGTAATGGGAATGAGAGGAAAGGGAATGATTTCCATTCCTGACTTCTCCTGCGTTTACTTGCAATTAGGAATGAAAAAATAAGTGGGCCCCACCTCAAAATCCGTAATCACATTCCCTCAAAACTAGGAATCAGATCAACTAGGGGGGAGTAGTCGATACGATTCCCATTCCTGTTTTCTCTTAATAACTTCCAAAAATACCCTTATCACTTTACCATAATTCTAAAATTAATTTGGATTCTGATTCATGCAAATTAGTAAACAATAACAATGGGAATCAATCCCATTCCATTGCTAATTCCAGATGTTTAGTAAACAGCTTAATGTGAATGATTCTTCCCATACCGATTCAGTAGTTCTCCGATTCCTAAATTCTCTGATTCCTTAGTTTCTCCATTACTGATACGTAAACATGCCCTCAATTCATCCTCTTCTTTAGAAACATTTACTTAATTGACATTAATTGGATTGCCATTTTGGCTTTAATTTTTTGAAAATGTGGGGACTTGAACTGTTTTAATTAGCGAATCTTCTACATATTTCATTTATTTATTTATCACAAGATAATATTACATGTGACACTATTGGATGAAAAATTGGGCAAAATGTATATAAAAAACAATCCACGATATCTAGTAAATTTCAAAATAAAATAAAAAATAGTTCAAATTTCAAAATAAAATAAAATTAGTACCCCCAAAAAAAAAGGAGAAAATTGTCAGTGAAATTAGCATAAATCGGTGAAAAAACCTAAACAAAAAGGATCCGAGTGAGGAGGCAGCCAAGCCAACCACTGTCGCAATACAATTATCAGTTTATTGACCTTAAAAAACAGCCGAAAGCGGCACCCGATTTATGGACCCTACCTTTTTATTTTTCTCTTTTTTTGGGGTCGATATGGACCCTAAACCCTATGGACCCCACCTCAGTAGCGTAAAGAAACAAACAAATCACGACTCACCATTTCACTCTAATTTCCGCGCCAAACAGACACACACACACACACAGTCTCTCTCTAGAAAATCCCTGGTTTCTGGAGAAAATGGCGATGGACGATCGGTTAGCGGAGCTGAACCCTAAGCCGAGAACCTGCGTGGTCTTCGGTGGCCGAGGCTTCCTCGGGAGATCGCTGGTCCTCAGGCTCTTGAAACTCGGCAAGTGGATCGTTCGAGTCGCCGATTCGACTCAGTCTCTCCATCTCGATCCCTCCGAGCGCGACTCGCTCCTTTCGCAAGCTCTCTCCTCTGGCATCGCTTCCTTACACGGGGTCGATGTTCGCGACAAGTCTCAAATCATCACTGGTAAAATATTTTCGGAGTTTCTTTGTTCATTTGTTTTCCTTTTCGTGTTTGTGTTCGTGTTTGGTTGGTTCCTGTCTGAGAAAATGCGAGAAAATTTTGAAAGAATTTGTAGGCTTAGGACTGAACTGGTGCAAGTGCTTGATTCCGGCTTTAAGTATTAGGTTTTGATTTATTAATTCGTTTTCTAGTTTTCATTAAAAGGGGGTGAAAAATGCAATTTAGAATAAAAGTTGAACAGAGTTCGAAAGTATTAGGAGTTTTTCAACATTAAAAGTAGGTAGAAATAAGTATTAATGGGATTAAGAGATTATAACCGTGAAAAACAAAAAGATAAAATCTTTCAAGAATTATGGGAAACCAGACTGAAGGAATGGACATATAAACCTAAAATTAATGTACAAATGTCGTATTTGTCAAAACGTCTGATTTACAAATGTTGTATTTGTCAAAACGTCTGATTCATACCTCAATGCCAATGTTTTACTCAGGTAGTGTTCGGTTGCTGAGTGACCATTAGAATGGAATCCAAATAGGAATGAAATGTGGACATGGAAA